GGAATAGAAGAGCACATTCCTTATGATTGATTCATGAGATTCTTCTTACTCTTCTTTGTTTCTTAAAAATCCTAAATTCCTTAAAAAGCCTAAATAGTTTAACCTCTTTCCTTTCCTATTTTATCTTATTTTCTAGAAAAACAATAATACCGTATTTTCTCTAATAGTAGTGCACCCTGAGCGTCGCCTAAATTCCTCGAAATCTCGAGAACCGCTTATCAGAACCTATCGATGTGGGATCGGAAAATGTAGCTGACGATGAGATCTTGTGGGCGATTTGAGTGTTGAGCTTCTGGGAAAGCTTAGAAACTGTAAAATCGTCATCAACTCGGCTACAAATCGACTGTAACAAATCCAACAAAGCTTAAAGAAGCTGGTAACTAAAGGAGAAGCTGATCTCAAAGAAGCTAGTCCCTAATACTAGTCCATAAGCTTTCCTAAGTTCCTCGAAATCTCGAGAACCGCGTAAGAGAACCTATTGATGTGGGGTCGGAAAATGTAGCTGACGATGAGATCTTGTGGGGGATTTGAGTGTTGAGCTTCTGGGAAAGCTTGGAAACTGTAAAATAGCCATCAACTTGGCGCCGGGATGTACTACTATTAGAGAAATACGGTATTATTGTTTCTTAAGAATTCATTCATTTAATTAACATTCATTTAAAAATAGTGCTTAAATTCAGATTTCATTCATTTATTTAACAAGCTCGAATTTGAATAGAATTCATTTATTCTTCAATTTGAATAGAATTTCTATAGCTTTTCTCTTGTTCTGTTCAATAAGTTTACTTTGTGTCATTTTGTCAATTAAACATGTTCCATTGTCACTTTTTTATCCTTACATCAATAAAGTATTGATATTAATTGAAACAAGTGAGTAGAACTTGTCCCTCTGTTTGCTAAAACGTTTGTCAACTTTTAACTCAAGTAATCTGTTTCCAGTTCTAACCCAAATTTTGGTCCTATGACAGCCTGCAAGAGTACCAAAAGAGACAAAAAGTAGAGAGATTACGCTTTTGAAAGTTTTAGGAACTATTACTTGAGAGAAACACGAGCGATAAAGATCGATTGAGCACTAGATTACTCTCTTAATCAAATCAAAATACATACAGAGTATCCAAAAAAAAGTGATCATCAGTTTTCTCGTTGATTTTTCAAGGTTCATTACAAAATCATTGTCAAAAATGTTTTTGCCTCAGGTGTCACACAACAAGATCAAGTTGATTTTTTGATGATTTTGTGAATAGGAAATGCATCAGCTGGGGGAGCTTAGAATCCAAATAAAGTATACCATGAAAAAACACACTTTTAAATTCCTCTATTTAATGAAACTTTATTCAGATGATAAAGTGAAATCCAATAAGAATAGAGAAATACACAGCGGGTCATAAATTTAGAGACAAAAGAAAGGTACGAAGATACAAGATTGAGTGAAAATGCAAATAATCAGATTACCTACGAGAGAGCCGTTAGATCTAGAGCCTCTATTTGTTTCTTGAAAATGGAAAGTGACTGAATTTCTCGTCTGCAATAGTTTTAATATGTTGAGAACAAGTTCCAAACAAAATTTAAAAGTGTGTTTTTGTCATGTATTTGCATTTTCACTCAATCTTGTATCTTCGTACCTTTCTTTTGTCTCTAAATTTATGACCCGCTGTGTATTTCTCTATTCTTATTGGATTTCACTTTATCATCTGAATAAAGTATCATTAACCCATTCGAAACTTCTGCAGCGAATAATCGCTGCAGCAAAAAGTCAGGAACGGACCACTGCAGCGATTATTCGCTGCAGAGCTAATTGAGCTATTTTCATTCAATTAATTGCTTTTTTTTTGCTGTTTTTCAGCATTACATGTATATTCCAATCACAGCAGATCTACAAATTACGTGGGCAAAAAAGATGTTTCATATTTACCCGGAATCAATGCAGTCTCTGGTTTTGCATTGAAATGTTCCATAATAGCTCTAATCTTATAAAGCCGATCTCCTGCAGGATCCAGTTCATTATCACAAAAACGCAGGTTGCGAAGAATTTTTTGTCGACAATGATCTCGGGATTTCTTTCGAGATTTTGAGCGATGTGGGCGACGCTCAGGGTGCACTACTATTAGAGAAAATACGGTATTTAGTGATTTTTGTTATTTTCAACTTTAATATCATCGTTTCCTGAATAGTAGTGCCGAGTTGATGACTATTTTACAGTTTCTAAGCTTTTGCTGGTGATGTAAATCGTTTTTCAACTCACCGAAAATGTCGGAACTCCGCTCGCGGGTTTTCTTGTCGACAATGATCTCGTCCTGATCAGCGATAGAGGAATTTAAAAGTGTGTTTTTTGGTGGTATACTTTATTTGGATTTTAAGCTCCCCCAGCCAATGCATTTCCTATTCACAAAATCATCAAAAAAATCAACCTGATTTTGTTGTGTGACACCTGAGGCAAAACCATTTTTGACACCACAATGAACCTTGAAAAATCAACGAGAAAATTTTCCCAGACTCAAACTGGTGACCACTTTTTCGGACACCCTGTATCTAGAATCATTTTCCCACAAAAGTCTTTAATGCTAACTTTTTCCTGAATCCAAGAACATTTACGAGTCTAAGTCTTGCTTTCATTATATTCTTTTGTGATCAAAGAGTTCCCCAATACTTTTTTGCTCATTCGCATGTAGTCGTTTGCCCGATTTTTGCAATGCTAATGTTCCGCTTCCGGCTTTTTTTCTCATTTCTTCTAAAAGCACTAGTTGAAAGGTTATTAGAGATATTGAGGGGGCGCATTTTTTTTTGTCTTGAAGATGTGGGGAAGGATGGGAAGGTTAGACTTTGCGAGGGGACTGGATCTCAGTCTTAGACCTCCTCCACATCCTCTCCAACCCATTCTTCTCATTCATCCACCCGGAAGTCATAAGATTTTCCAAAACCGAATAAATTATTAGTGTAAAGAGTCGTTTTTGCAAAAAGGTTATATTCTTTTGTTGAAAGTTCTATATTTCCGCTATTACGCAAACCTTGAAATAGTTTTTCGGCTTTCAATCTTCAATTTGAGAAAAATCGAGTAAATTAAAAGTTGTAGATGAACAATCACAGGTTAATTGGTACTAAGGAGTTTCTCTTCAACAGGGAAAGTCTTGCAAAACGGTGATGATAAAATGGATTTCACTGTAGGCATGCACTTTCACAATTCAGCCCTTCATGCTATAAAATCATCTTCTCTCCTAACTCTCATCCGGAACTTAAAGGACTCTTTAAGATTTCGAATCACGCCAGAAGAACTCGTAGTCACAACTTTCAGATTACCCCCTTTCAAAGCTTTCATAACCGCCAACTGTATCATTCTTTTGCTTGTCGTGTTCCTCGTATTTGGAATAAGTTACCTTGTGATATATTTTCGTCTCTGAACTATTTTAAATCCTCAATATATAAGCTCGATCTTGTAGCTCTGTCAATTTTAAATTAGTTTTTAATATCATATATACACGTGTCTAATTGTAGTTGTGTTTGTATATCAATTATCTTTCTTCGTCTACGCTGTTCAATCTGTTTGCATTGTCACTTTTCCTTGTCGGATAAAGTATATATATATTCACTAGTTGTTTATTGTTTCAAACTCTAAACCCAACTTGTTTATAGTTTCAAAAGTGAATCTTAATTTAAAGATCTTCAAAAATAGTAGCTTGTTTCAGGAATTGCAGGGAATTTAGAAATTGCAACATCGAGATTAAAGCTTTTGTAATTTCTTGCTATTGTTCTATAGTATTAGGCTTTACCAGAAAGTCTTTTCGTTTCTTTTCGTACTTTCGTTTAAAACCAAAAAAAAAAGCATCAATTGAATTCCGATTCATTTCATTAGAAAGGTTTCATTAGAATCAACTTTTCGCATTCGGATCGATTCACGAAAGTGTGATTCTCTGCAAATTTCATTAGAAAGATCAATTATTTTACTGCAATTAACTTAAAAAGATCGAAAAGTGATTAAAAAAAATACTTTTTATTTAGAGTAAATTATAGGTTATTTAGTGAATTTGTTACTTTTCAATGGAATTATTGAAAGTGAAATAGAAATCAAATCAATTTGATCTTGTTGTTAGGCAAATTTTGATCTATCCATTTCACAAAGATCATTCCTTTTTCTGCATTTTCTGGGTAAGATGAGTCAAACGCTTGACGCTTGACTCACTTGCACATAATATTTACAGAAAGTGTCGTGTCTTTGTTAGTCACCTTATCGCCTATCATTCCCAAAAATGTCATCATCGAGTTTGTGCTTGTTTCTTTGAATCTATTCATCTATATTATAGTTTGTGCAATGTCAATCTGTACTTTTTAGCGAAAAATTTCATGGAATACATTTATTCTTCATGTGCATTATACATAAATACCCGTTTTAAGCAAAAAGAAAGACCCATAATGTGTTCAACCAGAATGAGGAGAGAGAAAAGGGTAAAGAAGTCGATTCTCTAGTGAATGAAATTGGATAAGAATTGTTTCTCAGCTCTTGTACAAGGATTGAGTCTCTGTTCTTGTACAAGGATTGAATCTCATTTCTTTTACAGTAATTAAGACAGTAATTCTTGTACAATTGTATTGACAAGAATTGTACTCAAAAAGTGATACTGTACAATGTTTTCACTCTAGAAAATCAACTTTTCCAATCAAATCGTTTCACGAAAGTGTGATTCTCTGGGAATTTCGGAGAATCATTACCACTTACGTTGGATGAATCGATTCAAGAAAAAAAGGAAGACACAAAAGAATTCAGATATAGACAAACAATGAGAATTTTGTGATTTTGAGTCAGATATGAAGATAATCCGATTCTCAAAAGGGAAATGACGCGAGATTCTGTGGGTGCCCGGATTTGAGAGAGAGAGACATTTCACAGAGAGTTTGATGAGAAAATGATAATTCGAGAGAAGGACTTTAAAGACAAAAATAGATGTGATTGCGTCAAGAGTTGAAGCTGATTGATTGGAGAAAATGCTGGTGACGAATTGTTGTTCTCAGAACTCCTCCTCGAAATCCTCATCTTCGGTGAGAGTCTCAAGCTGGGAGACGAAATGCACGACGAAACGGGGTGGAGACACTGGTTCGAAGGGTTCTAGAAAGATGGAGATTAGAATGTTTGAAAATTTAATTGAATGTTTAGACATCTTTAGTAAATTGCTGGTGATGTAAATCGTTTTTCAACTCACCGAAAATATCGGGACTCCGCTCGCGGGCTTTCTTGTCGACAATGATCTCGTCCTGATCAGCGAAAGTGACTCGGCGTTTCTTGGCTGTCTGAAAATTGTTCAGGTTTAGAAAAATGCTTAACAAGTAAAAGCTATATTTAGAATTTCTCTAAACTTTCCGCACCTTATTCTGCGCCATCGCACTTTTCGGAGCAATGAGTTGAATATGATCCAAAGAAAGAAAATGTTGATCATCAACGGGTTTTGTTTCAACTTCTTCTTGTTTCAAATAACGAGGAGTCGATGGACGACGGGATTTTTGTTGGCGACGAGCACGACGAGCCATTTGAGAAATGAAATTCGATCTGAAGAACTGAAGATTTGAAGATCTGAAGAAATCAGGTCAGTGAAGAGTTGGGGAGTTGGGGGAGGCTTTTATAGGGCCCGGATGGAAGAGGAAGAGATAGGGAAGACGGAAAGAATTCAGGAAAATAGGAAAGATTAGAGATTGTAGGGGGGAAATGGGAAAGATTGGGAATTCTGGTGAGAGGTGGGGGAAAGGAGATGGCTGAAGGCGGGTCTTCCCCTCCCCTTTCCCTCTTTTCTTTCCGATGCGAGGGTGGAGGGGATTAGATGATTTTCCTGAGATGAATAGCTCAAATATATCCCTCTGAAATTTGTCTCCTTTGTATCAATTAATTCAAGTAATCCAAGTGATCTGTAGTCCAGAAAAGACAATTTCCGGGAACAATCTTTCATTTATTGCTGATCAACTCAGTCAATCTCCAGAAAAACAATTGGAAATGAGCTGAATTGAGGAAGGAAATGAAAGTTGACTTTCAAGCGAAGATAATGAGTTTTGAATGATGAATGAAAACAGAATGGATCTTTTATTTCAAAAGAAGTTTGCAGCTTAAGCTTCCTGCTTGTTACAGCTTCCTGCTTGTTTACAGCTTCCTGCTTGTTTACAACTTCCTTCTTGTTTACAACTTCCTGCTTTAGATGAAGCTCTGTTTTTAGAAAGAAAAGCTAGTGATCTTAGATAAATACTTAAAAACTCTTTGTGAATATGTAGATTCATTGCTCTTTTACACAGAAGATAGCTTTATTCACTTATCCAAATACTCGATCAACATTCCACATCAGATGAATCAAAGCTATTGCTGCTAAATCACAAAATAAACTTAAAAACTTTCTAAATTGAAGTTGAATCTCTGAATTTGAGTTCAGATTTTGGTTTGTCTTTGGCTTTTGGACTTGATTAACGGCATATCTGGGTTGTTTTCCAGATGTAAGTAGTTGTATAAAAGTTCGGAACTCGTTTGTGACTTGTGGACTTGCTTGGGGGTTTCAGAAAGCTTAAATCAATTCAAAAGCTGTTCTTGGATTGATTTTATTCTGATTTAACATTAGATTGTCTTTTTTTACCTTCACAAGTCACAAGTAAGACTCAAAGAGTCATGCTTTTTAAACTTTTGATTGTAACACTTTTGACTCTGATTTTTTGAATCCAATGTCAGAAACTGGCATAAAAAAAAGCCGATCTTTCTCTGTTCTAAATGAGCGTGGGAAGAAATTTAGTGGAGATAAGCAATTTATTGACTTGTTTTTGACGTTTTTAGACTCTTTTTTTGAGTGATTAAGTCAGGTCATCGCTCAAGATGGAGTTGAACTTTTGATGAGTTGAACAGAGGAATTTGTTCACCTAGAGTAGTCAAGATTTTCATTTCTGATTTCAGCAATTGATCAACTTTATTCTAAAAGCTGTTAGTAGCTGATTTTGATACGATTTTATCGACTCTTATCATCATGCACGATTTGTGGTGTACTTTGTGCCTGGAAATGTAAAAGCACTTCTTCTCGGGTACTTAGTTATGTTATGAAATTATGAAATTTCCCTAAGTAGCCCTTAAAATGAAGCTTTCAGCGTGCCAGAAAGGAGTATAAAAGTACTCGAGTTTTTCCCTGTACTCCCTGTACTGTACTCGAAACTTCTTTCAATCCTTGATCGTAGCCTAATCCCAACAATCATAAGAAAACCGAGAACACATGATTCATTTTCTCAAAACTTTAAATATATTCTCACAGAAATTTACCCACAATCAGATCGAATATCTTGTGTTTTTTTCCTTGAATAATTCCTCGGATCAAAGTAATGTTTGTTGTTTAAATGTTTAAATGTTTGTTTAAAGACGTTTCAAATATTTACCATTCCTTTTTCGTAGATTTATCAAAAGAAAAAAAAACGTTCATAAAACTAAAAATCAAAAAATCACAACAGATCAAAGGATAGTTTTTGAATTTAAAGAAGGGCAGGCTTTAGAAAGATTAGGAAGATCAAGATCACGTCACTTTAAATCAAAAGAGTTTACTTTTTGGCTTTAAAATTGAATCGAAGACTCAAGAACTAACTAGCTTGCTATACTTTTTATTAGCTATAGCTAATAGCTTATTAGCTATAGCTAAATAGCTTATTAGCTAATAGCTAATAGCTTATTAGCTATAGCTAATATCTTATTAGCTAATAACTCTTAACATATAGATTTCTAGATATCAAGTGATGATGAAATATGAATAATGTACTGTAAACATTAGACTGTAATCAACTTGAAACTAATCAAGCGCAGGTTGTAACTGTTTATCGAAACGTTATGAGTTTCCCATAACGCTGCACAAAGAACACCTCGACAATCACTTTACAATTACAAAACTATCATTTTCGATTTTCCTTTGTTCTGTAAATGATTCCCAAATATATATATATATAAATACTTTATTTAGAAAGAAATAAAGTGCGAAAAAGACATGATGTACCAGATAAAAGATCACAAAGTCACTTAAAATGTAGAAGTAGTCCTTTTAAAATCAGAAATCCAGTGATATAGAAGTAGTCACTTAAAATGTAGAAGTAGTCCTTTTAAAATCAGACACGGTGGAGATCAAACGCAACTTGTCGGGAAGCGCATTTCAATCCTTAATCACATGAGATTTAAGCTTAGATTGTCGGTGATTCATCTGTAATTTTTGTAATTCATTCAATAAAACCTATTCAAAGAATTTTTGTTGACCGAATGATGCACAGGTTTACCCAAAAAAAAACAAAATTCCATAAATTTTACACCCAATTTCAAAAGCTCTGAAAATAGATAAGTTAATTTTGGTAATATTTTAAAGGTTTTTATCTATAAAGTAAATTTCTCCAATCCCAATCAAATCCAAATTTTTCGTTTCCACAAATCTTGATTGATTAGGCTAAAAAGTGTAATTGTAAGTTCTAAAAGCTCCCCACAGTTTCTTTTTTAAACGAGTTATTAAATTGTAAAGGCATTTAACCCCTCTCATCTTCGTGTTTTCCTTACCTTGCCTAGATTTAAAGCCCTCAATTCATTTCGGCAATTGATTTGACTGCTCTGTGTTTCTTTCTTGAGGTATCTTTTATATCATTTATATCTTTTAGATCTTTTATATCTTTTATATCTTTTAGATCTTTTATATCTTTTATATCTTTTAGATCTTTTAGATCTTTTATATCATTTAGCACGTGTGGCTGACTGGTTAAGTGTCTTTTATCTTAATCGGAAGGTCGAGGGTTCGAACCCCACATGCGACATGGTCACCCCCTTCGGATTTCCTTTCCCTTCGGGTTGAGAGGTTTTCTGGAGGGCAGTCTGGTGGTTGTGGCCCCAGTTCTTTAAAGTGACAAGCCACTCCTTCATCGTCATCTTCCCTTCACCACCAAAAAAGCTATTTAAGTTCCCCATTGAGCTTAGGGTTAGGGAGCCGTCTGTCATGACGTGGGTTAAGTTAAGATATAGCCTAGTATTGTGTGTGTCGTTGTATTGTGATTGATATATTTCGTGTATGCGATAAATTCACCACTGGTAGCCCCAATCGGTATTTTTTTTAAAAATATCTTTTATATCTTTTATATCTTTTGGGTGTGCTTTGAGTGGTGTCCTTGGTGATTATTTGTGATCTTTTTTTGTCGATATTCAACTAAATAAAGCATATATATATATATTATTAATCACTTCAAAATTTTAAACGAAAAGACATCACTCAAAAAGTTTCTTTTGTTTTAAAGATTGGATATCTTCAAATTCAAAAAAATTTGAGTTAAACCCTTGAAATCCGACGATAATCTATGGATTTCTTTTATATCTTTTATATCTTTATATAAAAGACGATCTTATCTATCGATTATCGTCGGATTTCAAGGGTTTAACTCAAATTTTTGACGAATTTACTTTTATTTTTTATTTTTCTTTTATTTTTCTGATTCGTATTCCTAATGGAAACCTTTGAGAACTTGAATGAACAAGAAATGAATACAGAGAATTGTGTTTTCAATGAAAGGTTCATCTAATCCCTCAAAATTCTGTCTAACTTGAGATCTTTTTTTTGTTTTTAATAACAAAAGGTTTTCTTTTGGTTTGAATAGATATTTATTGTAAAAGACTAAACTTTTCTAAGGCTTCAATGAGTTCTAAATTTATTTGTTAACAATAACAACAGGTGAAAACGAAATCAAAGCGAAAATTTGAGTTTCTTGTTAGAATTTCAGATTCATACAATCAAAACCTGTTTTGATAGGCTTACTATTGACCAAGAAATACAATTACAACCAAGGAATTTTCAAAAAAAAACCTCTATCCAACCAAGTTTTTAGATAAAAATTTGATACCGTATTTCTTCAAATGGAAGACCGGGTAAAGAGTATCATTGCGTACTCCTGCCCTTTTTAAAATTTCTTTTCTGCATAAAAGCCTTTAATGAAGTGCTATAGGGCTGGAAAATGACTCAAAAATACGACATGAGCTAACAGATTTTTGAGCCATTTTCCGGCTCTATAGCACTTGATTGAAAGTACGAGCGCTTTGAAAAAAATGAAATACTAAAAAATTTTTGCGACTACGCGACTGTACGAGGGCGGTGGGTACTATTACAGTATTTACGGTAGGGTTCGAAGCTCATCCCGTCTTTTAAACCAAACTCGAATCGGTTTGAGCTCTTTTTTTAAAGCTTTAAGAGCTCTTACAAGCTACAAGGCTAACATTCACTAGTATATTAAAGTATTTCCCATTTTCGAACACCTTAAGGAGCTTATCACACGCCTCCTTGACAACTGCTTTGGTAGTCTAGCGGATAGTGTCTTAGCTAGCGGAGCCTATAAATTTCTTTGACTTGGCTTCGTATCCGTCCCTAAACAATTTTCTTCCTTTTTTGACGCATTTCGATAAATATTGATCTTTTATGCATCATTTTACGGCTATTGTAGCCATGAATTGTGCTCAAATTTTCTGCACTGAATAACAATAACCCATCAAACTTAAAGCTATGTGGCAAAACACATAGCAATCAATAAGCAAGCTATCAATTCTGGATCTCCAATCAACAACACAAAAGTGTTGTTCTCAATACGCAGCTTCTGCTAACAAAAAACAAAAAAAAGCTTCCCGTGTTGTTTACCATAAATTTTCCTCTCTGACTATCATTTATTTTGATCGGCTTCTTTTCGATAAGCCATAAATAGCTGAAAAGAAACCTGAAAAGAAAGAGATGAAAATAGAAGGGACTCTCAAACAAAGATTTTCTCATTTGCAATAGTTTTTCGGTAATTACAAAGAGATAAATCCTTTCAAGAGAGATAAAAATGGGTAATCCTGTAAAAAAAAAAAAAACTTTTGACTCTTTGTATCTTTTTTTATGTTTTAATAAAACTGACGAGCTCTCTATTCAGTGATTCATTTGATTGTTTCTTCAAGTTTTATCTTACTTGTGAGTAACCTCTGTTTTCTAAAAGCTACCCCAAAAAGCTACCCCAAAAAGCTGCCATAAGCCTCTTGGAGTCTAGCCATCTTGGAGTCTAGCCCATTAAAAGATAGTCTGATTTCGATAGCCTTTTTAGAAAACCCTTCTCAAGGTACCAAGACAAACAAAACTAAATTCCAAATCCCAGAGAAAATCTCCGCAACTTGAATACTTTCAAATATTTTAAATCGGGGATAAAAGGATCTCGGAAAAATGGACAAATTGAAATCCCTGATTAGGCTTTTTTTTCCATCCCATTCTTTTTTCAATATATTTTCTGATCCTTTTGTTATTTCTCGGGATTTGAGACCTTTCTCGAAAATTGGAGATTTCACTCTTGCCTGAAATGGCATAAGGTTACTTTTTTTGATAGAAAAAAGAAGATTTGAAGAGTGAGTTCGTTGAGATAATGGATCGGATCAGCCGGATCACCATTTCTATCGGATCAGCCGTTTCAAATCGCAAAACACCCCCATTTCTCGCGAAGAGATCATGCTGGGATTTTGCAAAATCGAGAAATCGGGCACATCTTCAATGAAAGGATTTTCAGGGAAAATGCTATCAAAATTCATATCGGTCAAAGCTTTATAGAAATTGTTTTGATTTTTGAGTTGAATCAAGCACTTAAGAGCTTTAGAAAAGAACTTTAGAAAAGACAAGTTCCGGCTAAGTAGATATATTGAGAATTTAAACTCTGACCAATTCTTCTAAAAGATAGCAACTAATATTTTAACGCAAGAACAGCTCTACCTTGAACTTTTAATCTATATTCTTCATCAATTAATTCAATTTCTAAGACGCGCAAAAACAACCGTAGTCTAGGTTTTTTGAAAATTTGAGCACAATTCATGGCTACAATAGCCGTAAAATGATGCATAAAAGATCAATATTTATTGAAATGCATCAAAAAAGGAAGAAAATTGTTTAGGGACGGATTCGAAGCCAAGTCTAAGAACTTTATTCGTTCCGAAAGCTAAGACACTATCCGCTAAGCACTAAGCAGTTGTCAAGGAAGCGTGTGACAAGCTCCTTAAGGAATTCGAAATTTAGATAGCTTGCGAAATATTTAGATATTTAGATATGTAGCGTTCAACTTTCTGTATAGCTTAATTTATTCACAATCAGTACATAAAGCTCAATCAGCTTGAATATTGGTTAGTGATACAAAGAATTAACAGTAATATTGTTTAGGGACGGATACGAAGCCAAGTCAAAGAAATTTATGGGTTCCGAAAGCTAAAACACTATCCGCTAGACTACCGAAGCAGTTGTCAAGGAAGCGTGTGACAAGCTCCTTAAGGAGTTCCTTAAGGAATGATTCACAATGAGTACATAAAGCTTGAATGTTGGTTAGTGATACAAAGAATTAAGCGTAATATTGTTTAGGAACAGATTCGAAGCCAAATCAAAGAACTTTATTCGTTCCGAAAGCTCGCAAAAACAACTAGTTATTAATGAATCTATTTTTGATTTCAATCTCATTCGGGAACGCGAAATCAATCAGAAATTGAGTGGATAAAACTAGAGGCAAGATTACGGTACTGAAAGTTGCCACGTTTTGGAAAACAACCGTAAACAACTCTAGTTGTAGCCCTAAAGAATACAGTAATCTGTGGTAGACCTCTAGTTCTCAAAATCTCAGTGTATTTGGCCAGAAAGCACTATCGTATTTTTAGCTACAACTGAGAAATTTCTAGATCTTTAGCTCCTCTCAAAATATCACGGAGAAGTCAGAAATCACTAGACATCGTATTTTTAGCCACCTCAGCTTCCGTGCAACATTGATCAAACAAGGTTCTTCAAATCTGCAACCTCAGGAGATACGTTCAATGTTATTCAGTCATAAGTTCACACATCTAGAGTGTCTAGCTGCAAGGGTTTTCTCAAAATCACAAAACGTTTCATCTGAGAATACAATATCCAGTATTTTTAGCCAAGCACTTCAGAATCTGCAGCAGATCACAAAGTCCAAAAAGGCTGTAGACAGAGAGAGAAATCACGCGTTATTCTCTCTAATTTTAGGTAGCTTTAGGTGCAGGGTGTGAACTCGGAAAACTCGCTTGTTTTCCCCCGATCTCATCTTTTCTCTTTGATGTGCGCGATGGTGTTTCGAGGGTCAAAAGTTTGGGGAAAAGGCGGAGATTGGGAACTTTGGTGTGAACGACATCCTCCTTGTCTTTCCCCTTTTCGAATCTTTTCTGATAGTGAGTGGTGAACTTTCGAGAGGTTCTTGTCGAAAAAAGAAGCCGCGCCAAATCACATCTGCAAAATACCTTCAGACTGAGGCTGGGGACTTTCGGCGAACTGAAGCACAGTAAACCTAAAAAGTATCCCCAAAACTGTGACTTGATTGCCCTAAAACTTGTAACAAATAAGGTATTTACTTCAGAAAACTCTGTTGGAACAAATCTGGCTATTAGTGGATTCAAAATTTCCACATCCCATTTAATCTTTCCTTTTCTTTAATCCAAATTTTATCAATCTTTTGCTCGTTTAGCAAAAATCACTTTTCCCCACCTTAATTCCCATTCAGTAAACTCGGAAAAATCCAGAGCTCAGCCGAAAAGTTTTGATGAAAAACCGAAAAATCTGACTCCGACTTATTGAAAAGCGGATTTTGGAGAGGATTTTCGGAGGTTTAAAATTTTGGAAAAACTTTTTGTGTTGGTACTCAGAATTCAAGCAGGTCACATGTAGTTCAAGAAGTTGTTTATTCACTCGATTTATTGCAGAAACAAAATTCTCACCTCAAAAAAAAGGAATCTGTTAAAGGAAACAACAAAACATACGTAAAATGAAAAGAGAATCGCTTTTTGAAGATTGAGGAAAGCATCTTTGAGGAAAGCATCTTTGAGGAAAAAAGTGTGTTGCCATCTTGAGAAAGCCAAATGAAAGCACTCGTCGATTCTCTAAAAAGAAAAATAAGTTGGGCTAAATTTGAATCGTACTCTTACAAAACTTCAAAAAATTTTCACAAAATCACCAAATTATGCTTAGATTTGCTTTTTTAAAGCTCAAACCGGATACGAGCTTAGAAATAGCTTCTACTTGATACCAGCTTTATCACCAAGCCCACAATCAACGGCTCACCTCAATGCACGGATTCCTCTGCTTATCTTCAATCATCCACGTGCCATTGTAGTAGGTCGGATTGGTGAAATGAGGCGATGTCGGCGATGGATCTTTGATCTCCACGCACCTTGTGGCAATTTGATACTAAAAGAAGAAAATTTAATACTATTTAATACTATTTGGTACTATTTGGTACTATACTATTGCATTTAATGGTAAGAAATTCTTTTTTTTCCAACCTAACGGCCCTCTTTTGGGAAACAAAATGAAAAATATCAAAAATACCAAGTGTGAATTATTTGCATTAAAATGCAAAAAAGTACTTATTTGAGCTATTTTTAAAATGCCAAAAAGTCGATATTTTATAATTAAACCTAGGTTAAAACGTGAAATTCGTGATTAGCATAAAAAGTTACCCCAGAAAAAGTGTCCCCCTCTCCAACTAGGATAGTACCGAAAATCTTACATGTCCGATTAGATTTCACAGGTTGCCCAGATTGCTTTTAAGGACCATTTTAGTATTTTAGTAGATAAATTGAAATCAAAAACCCACAAGCCTCCAGAAATTCCCTCTTCACAGCCTTGCAATGTTCCCTCTGCTGCTGGCCTTCAATGAACATTGATAAATCGACATGAAGTGCTATCTAAAAACAAGAATTAAGATAGAATAAAGCTAGATCTTTTATAAAATAACGTTTTATAAAAAATTATAAAACATTTAAATAAAACTTTTATAAAAAAACTAAAAAGTTTACGGTTAAATCAGTTTCCGAGTGAATCTAATTAAATTTGTCTCCAATTTGTCTCCAATTTGTTTACCAAAGTTATAAAACCGTCATTTCCAATTACTAGTTCATTAACAATCAGCAGAGTAATTAAATTTTTAAAAATAGACCTAGAAAATCGCTCCTTCAAGCTCCTTCAAGCTCCTTCAAGTTCCTTCAAGCTCCTTCAAGTTCAACAATCCCGTGTCGTCGAGAAGCGTTTTTGCAACGATATTGTCTATTGTCATACTGAATTCAAAATTCAAAATATTCAACTAAAAGCTGATTACCGGTGTTCTTGTGCAAATGATTTGCGGAGATCGAATGGCATCTTTCAAAGAGACATTAATGGAGAATGTTTTGGTCGATGATCGTAGAAGGGATAGGTCCATTGTTCCATTGCAATATCTCAAAGAATCGTTTTTCTTTTTTTGTGCGTACATCATCTAAAACAAAAAAAATCTTTGCATAAAAGGTTTAAAATTTAAAGCAATTGAAAAAAACCATAAAGCAAGGAGGAAAAGAAAAAGAAAAGACAGGGAAAGATCCGAGAAAATGAATGAGAAAAATGGGAAATGATTTGCGAGAAAGTTTAAGCCGCCAAATTTTAAATGCCAACTTAGCTACCTAGCTACTTAGCTAAATGTCTATTTATGCAAATTTCGGTTGATTGAATCAAATTTTCTTTTAGGAGTCGACTTTTACAACAACCACTCCTTTTACGTCACTAAAATATAGAATAACTGTATTGACTACTTTAAATGAAGTGCATTTGTTTTCTAAAGTGCATTTTAGAACTTGAATAAGCAAAAAGTTTATTTATAACCCGTTTCTAGTCCTTTTCCACGTGTAATCAACATCGTTGCTTTGTAAATATTCACGAAATGATCGTCGAGTTTTTAAAAATCGTTTCCTATTTACTGTTGGGGTTTAAACTCTCCCGATTTTAGCGTTTATTTACTCACCCATTCAATTTCGATATTTCTTTTCACCGCTACTCCAAAAGTACTTTTGATTCTCGATTTTTGTGGTTATCATCGGAGAAAAACATGATATTGTACAATATTTATGTTTAAAAGTGTTTTCTTGCGAATCGCTTTTAAACATAAATTTCTTTTTTTCTTGCAAATCGCTATTTTGTAAACTTTTTGCATTGGTTAGAAACAGATGATCAAAGACGAAAATGCTCAAATTTCTTTCATGATTTTCAACACCGAATAAACATTGGGAGTTTACGCTGAAGTATTTTTCAAATAAGATTCAAAATCATAGATTTCCTGATAATACTGACAATTTGCTGAAAACAACTAGGCCTAGAGTAGCCTAATAGCCTAGAATAGCCTAGAATAGCCCTAAAATTCTCACTTACATCCAATTCAACCCCTCTACCCGAAAAATTCACAACTCCACGATTTGTTGATCTTCCGTCCATTCACAAAGGGTCAACATTTGAGGGTAAAAAAAAAGCTAAAACGATTTGCATAATATTTTTGTGGGATGTTGAGAAATCGATGACTTTTCATGGAGTCAATGACGGGAAAAGCCGATTAACGACACGGGTTGCTGAAATTTTTTTGGAAAAGTTATGTTCATGAAAATAGGATCTCTGAATTATAGAAGAAAGAACATGTTGTTGATGAGCATGAAAGGAATGCGGAACTCAAAAAAAAAACTGCAATGAGGTAAATCATTTAAAGTTAAAGCGGGAACAAGTGTAGGATGATTGTGGTCTTATCTTTAAGTATTTGAAAAGAGTTGTCTTTTCCGAAAGTGAATGCAGAGTGAAGATGAAGAAACTGAACAATAGCGTACTGCAACGTTTAAAGAAGCAAGAGGACAAGTAGATCAAGATCACCGGAAGACTCCTATACCAGACAATGACAATAACAATAAATTTTCCTTTCTTTTACAAAACTCTCAAAACGTTTTAGATCTGATTCCTCTTCTAGATCTTTTGAAGAGGAAGCTGGACGGATTGTAGTTTTTAGAACAACTCTAGTCTTGGCTCTTGGCTCTTGGCTATTCAACTTATAAAACTGGAGTTGAATAGCTTGAAGGCTCTCTGATCTGATTCCTCTTCTAGATCTGATTGTTTCCAGCCAAGGAAAGCCAAATGAGCTGTCTGTGAGCTGTCTTTTTGGCTTTTTGTCTTAACTGGATTAAGCTTTACCTTAGCTGGACGGATTGTAGTTTTTAGAACAACTCTAGTCTTGGCTCTTGGCTCTTGGCTCTTCAACTTATAAAGCTGGAGTTGAATAGCTTGAAGGCTCACGTCTCTATTGTTGTCTTTAGCTTTAAAGCTAATCAAGTTGATCAGAAATTTCACAGTTAACATGAGACTGTTACTGTTATCCGTTTGAATTTCTGATCTTTTAACTTCTACACGTTTCCAACGCAAACTTCGAAACCCCGTAATGTTAAAGATCGTCAAACGACGTGCACAAAAAAAGGCACATTTCGTCGTTTGATCTTCAACTTTTCCACGACACCTTTCAATCGAGAGGTATTTCCCAGCACATGGGATGAGGTGATTTCCTCTTCTCTTCTTCAATATATTTCCCTCTTTTGACCCTAAAATGGCGTTGTCAAATAGATGCAAAATAAACAAGAGAGAAAAGAAAAAAAAAAGGGGGAGGGATTACAGGAATGGGCATAAAAGCATTGAGATCGGTAGGAGAGAGAGTCATTTCACAGTCACAAACTCACTTTATTTTCTCTGACTTCAACTACAGTACTTCTTGAAAAATGACAGCCGAAACAATTCGCCGTGTTTCTTTCTCTGAAGAACCAACACGAGATATTGAGAAAGATGAAGATGACGAATTAGCACTCATTACTTGTGGTTGGTTTCGTTAAAAACATAGCTTTCAGAGCTTAAAGCTTAAATAGGAATTAACTATGTTATAGCACTCTGTAGATTACTGTAATACTGTAATAGATTTCTGTAATACAACCCTGAGTACTCTACTCCTGTCCTTTAATAACTTCTAAAACTAACGATAATGTTGTGAGCTACAGCTCTAAAGTTAGAGAGAAAGTTCATAATATCAAAGCTTATCTGGACAATATTAAGAACTCAGATCGAGAACAGAACTCAGAAACTTGTAGCCAGTACTTACATGTACAATACTCTTGTTCAAATGAATCTCCTTTTCAGAAGCCAAGCCAGTCTCCACCTATCTTCTTCGCCGTAAACCATCATTCGCTTTTGAGCGAACTCTTCCCCCAGTTCTTGAAGAAGAAACACAAAAAACCCTTGAAAAACAAGAAACCACACATAAAGATGAAGAAAATGGAAAAGATTAAATGATAATCAAGTGAACAACATGAATCAAATGAATCAACAATGAACATACGGACAATTCGAAGAGATCTCATTCCTTTCATTACTTGTAAGAGTGTATATTCTGTGAATATTGTACTATAGAAATTGAACTATAGAAAACTTTGTTATTTTTTTTTGTTCATTGTTTCGAAATCATTGAATAAATTATTTCATCTGAAAAAAGAGCGCTATGAACAGTCATTTATTCTAGTACTTTGTGACGGCAATATTTATTCTTGAAAATTTCGATGATTTATGAGGAAAAGATCTTTCTTTGTGGAAAGAACCCTGACGCTTGACGTCAAAAATAACCCCCAATCTCATCATTGTTTATATGGGATTTGAATTGAAAATACTGAAAAGCCTTTTGTCTCAATACAGTACCCGGGAAATAGACAATAGAAAGCTACAGTACTTTGTCTATTTATTGTATTGAGCTAACGATCTTCAGTCTAGAAATATTTTGATCTAAAGTACTATGAGATACTCACAAGGGGTTTCAGGGGACGATTTTGGATCAGCTCTGGATCAGAGTTTGGATCAGCTCTGGATCGGAGTTTGGGTCAGAGTTTGGATCGGAGTTTGGATCGGAGTTTGGGTCAGAGTTTGGATCGGAGTTTGGATCAGGGTTTGAATCAGAGTTTGGATCGGAGTTTGGATCGGAGTTTGGATCGGAGTTTGGATCAGAGTTTGGATCAGGGTTTGAACCAAATTTACCATACCTGAGATTTGAGACAAGAATGAACGGCTTAGTGAAATATTATTGTATTGAGCTAACATAAATCATGTTGATCGTTTTCTTTTGATTTATTCTAGTACTTTGTGACGGCAATATTTATTCTTGAAAATTTCGATGATTTATGGGGAAAAGATTTCGGTTTTAGGCTATATCAAAAAAAATGTTTCAATAAACAGAAACATACCTTTTCTGGTGCATGATCGATCGGTTATTAAAGAAAAGTTCTGATACAAGTTCTGATGAGAAGTATAAAAACATTGGGGTTGAAAAATCTAATCCAAATTGAAAGAGACTGCCTCTTTCAATTTGGCGCTATTTTTGTATGGGCGCTGTTTTGAATGGCGCTGTTTTGGCGGTGCTATTTTGAACGGCGCTGTTTTGAACGGCGCTATTTTTGTATGGGCGCTGTTTTGAACGGCGCTGTTTTGAATGGCGCTGTTTTGAACGGCGCTGTTTTGAACGGCGCTATTTTTGTATGGGCGCTGTTTTGAACCGCGCTATTTTTGTACGGGCGCTGTTTTGAATGGCGCTGTTTTGAATGGCGCTGTTTTGAACGGCGCTGTTTTGGCGGCGCTGTTTTGGCGGCGCTATTTTGACTAGGTCCCGAAAAAAATCTTTTGGTAATCTTTGTTTTTTGTTCTTAAAAAAACACACTTTTCTAATGTACGAAAATTCCTTTTCTTTAATAACCGATCGATCATGCACCAGAAAAGGTATGTTTCTGTTTATTGAAACATTTTTTTTGATATAGCCTAAAACCGAAATCTTTTCCCCATAAATCATCGAAATTTTCAAGAATAAATATTGCCGTCACAAAGTACTAGAATAAATCAAAAGAAAACAATCAACATGATTTATGTTTTCTTAAAGTTTACAATTGTTATTTTTATCAACCAAAAGTCAGCCGCGTCAACTCGCTCATTAGAACTTCTCAAATAAAGTTTTTTTTTTCTAAAATATGTCAACATTTAAAACTATTGTAACGCTTCAGTTTTCATCTAATCTTACAAAAACATTGGATAATTACGATTAGAGAGATTATGGTTGTTATGTTAGATTAGAAAGTTGACATGGTTAGAAAGCGCATTCCATGAAAATACTCATCAAAATAAGGTTTTCAAAACTTTTCCACTCACAATCACTTCTTTCTTTTCCTAATTGTGCACAAGCAATCCAATTTGAGGGCTCGTTTTTTGCATAGCTGAATGGTGTTGGCGCGGTCTCGCTAAGATTTTCGATTTTCTCTCTAATTCCTCAATTTCTCATCCTTTTTCCTCATTTCATAGCTATCAAAAGAGTTGTCACTTTTTGTAGGCGTTTTTTTCAGAAGTTTTTCAGAAGTTTCGCCCATTTCTCTCATCTAGATCTTTTTCATATAAATAGGGAACAATCGAGGCAATCGTTCTCTTCTCATTTACCAAAACTCATTGTTTCTCAAGCTACTCAACTCCTTTGTCTAACTTTTCTTATTTCGTTTGAAAGGAGCTTGTCGTAGTCTGATTACTTTTATGATCTTGATGTACTTTCTTGTCTTGATATACTTTCTTGTCTTCATGTACTTTCTTGTCTTCATGTACTCTTTTATCTTGATGTACTTATCTTGATAACTCTATAGATTTAAAACATAATCTTGTAAAGTTTCAATATTTTGACTCACTACAGTCACTTTTTTACACTTACAGGCGGTTCTCCTAGCTAAACTCTTTGTTCTAACTTTTGTTGTTTGATTTGATTCAAGATTCATAGTACTTTTGTAACTTTACGAAGCTCTATAGATGTTAAAAGATATCATGTTATTTTTCTAACGACAATTTGTGGAAACACTACAGTCTTATAGTAGGTTCACTACAGATTCCTTTTAGTGCCTTTAATCAATTCTCGTGAAATCACAGCTATTTGTTTTTCAACTCTATAGGAAACAACTTTCTAGAGATGGGTCGCGAGGCGGCTTTTGTAGCGATCGGTCTTTCAACAGCTTGTGTCGCTTTATGTTTCTTCCATCTTGCGCAAATTGACTCAAAAATTGGAGACATTCGGGGGAATTTGGGAAGGTCTGAATATCGTAATCTTTGAGCTTTGAGCTCTTTGAGCCTTCAATATTATGAACCTTAGAGAGACTCTAACTTTAGAGCTTTAGCTCACAACATTATCGTTTCTTTTAGGTTATTAAAGGACAGAAGTAGAGTACTCAGGGTTGTATTACAGTAATCTATTACAATTGTATTACATTTCAGAGGAATGGTTGAATTCGATAGAATGTCCAGTGACATTTGGAAAGAATTGATGGATGTGCGCGGAGTGGTCGCAAAGGAGAACTTTAAGAAAATCGTCAAGAGGCAATCCCAGCCTGAGTGCCGTAAGTACAGAAGTATCTTGATCAAATCATTTTTGACTCTAGATTGCACTGGGAACAATCTTTGCCCAGCTGGAACACCGGGAAGACCCGGAAATCCAGGATTCGATGGAAATCCCGGATCACAGGGAGAACCTGGAATCATCGGAGCACCAGCAGCAAATGTCTTCTTTATGGTAAAATCGAAATTTGGTTGCTATATAGGAATTTCTTTTAGTTGGCTCACAATCAGAAGTGCCGGCAGTGCCCTGAGGGACCAGTTGGGCCACCTGGACTTTCCGGAAATCCCGGACAACCGGGAAGACCTGGAGAAGCCGGATCTGCTGGAGAGATTGGAAAACCCGGTACAATGGGACCACCTGGAGCCACAGGAGATACGGTAAATTAAAGAAATTTATTAAAGAAATCAATCAAATCAATTGTCAGGGAGCTGACGGGCCACAAGGGAAAGAGGGAGCACTCGGACCTCGCGGAGCTGAAGGAGTACTTGGAGGTGGGTGATAGAAGGGGAATCTTTAGCAAGTAAGTTTAGAACCGGGAGATCCGGGAGAGCCGGGAGAGCCTGGACCTGCTGGACCGCCAGGATTCATGGGATTCGAGGGAGAGCCTGGGAAACACGGGAAACAAGGAGAAACGGGACCAATTGGACCTCCAGGACACGAGGGTGGGTTTTAAAAATTGATAAGGCCATGTCTTGGGCTTAAGATATTATCTGTTTATGAGATTTCTGTCTTGAGATTTAAAATCGAATTTCTAGGAGCCCCCGGCTCACCAGGAGGTCAAGGCTCATATGGAGCACCGGGAGCTCCAGGAGACGATGGAAAATACTGTCATTGTCCTGTTCGTCATCCAACAAAAAGATCAAAGAAAGCGAAAAGAGTTGTCGCCTGAATGGGTACATTTGGATAAATCGTTTACTCGTGCTCAATTTTCTTTTTTTTTTTAACTCAACCATTTCGATTTAAAGATAATGACTTTTCGTTTGACAATTTTTTCAACCTCAAACGAGACACCTGTTATTTTATGGTTTTCTGAAAATTTTGACATGCTTTCATCGCTGAGAGATGACAGGTTGACTGGATTGTTTTTTGTCAAAGATCTATTTGAAATATTCTGTTTTGGTTTTGGTAATTGGTCTTTAAACTATAGTTGGCCAGAAAGCCGTGTCTGCTTTTTTTAATGATTAATTTTTGAAATGAATAATGAACCAATCGATCTATGTTTTGTTTTATCAAAAAGTCCTATTATTTATTTACAAATTTTCCTTTAAGAAATTCAGAAAAGGTGAAAAGTTTATGCTTTTTTAAAGGTGTGAAGTCGATGAGACAAAAACGATGAAACACAAAGTTCTCATTTGTCACAGAAATCTATTTTGATGTCAAAAGATAAAAGATCGAGAATAAAAAGTTAGGTAGATAGAGAAATTTTCATAATATTTCACTAAGCCGTTCATTCTTGTCTCAAATCTCAGGTATGGTAAATTTGGTTCAAACCCTGATCCAAACTCTGATCCAAACTCCGATCCAAACTCCGATCCAAACTCCGATCCAAACTCTGATTCAAACCCTGATCCAAACTCCGATCCAAACTCTGACCCAAACTCCGATCCCAACTCCGATCCAAACTCTGATCCAAACTCCGATCCAAACTCTGATCCAAACTCTGATCCAGAGCTGATCCAAACTCCGATCCAAACTCTGACCCAGACTCCGATCCAAACTCCGATCCCAACTCTGATCTAAACTCTGATCCAGAGCTGATCCAAACTCCGATCCAAACTCTGATCCAAACTCTGATCCAGAGCTGATCCAAAATCGTCCCCTGAAACCCCTTGTGAGTATCTCATAGTACTTTAGATCAAAATATTTCTAGACTGAAGATCGTTAGCTCAATACAATAAATAGACAAAGTACTGTAGCTTTCTATTGTCTATTTCTCGGGTACTGTATTGAGACAAAAGGCTTTTCAGTATTTTCAGTATATCTACAGTATTTTCAATTCAAATCCCATATAAACAATGATGAGATTGGGGGTTATTTTTGACGTCAAGCGTCAGGGTTCTTTCCACAAAGAAAGAGATGTTGAGAAATCAAAGATAGTGCATGTGAGAGGAGAGCAGTTGGTCGGGGAGGGGGGATGGACCTGCAAAGGTCTCAGCCTCAGCTGCTCTCCCCATCGATGTCCATTATTTTTCCTCCTGGGAAGTTGCCTTTTTTCCCCATCCACACACGATCCGCCTTTAGTCTTTAGTATTTTTTCTTCCTCTTCTCCTTCTTCTTCTTCCTCTTCTTCTTCTTCTTCTTCCTCTTCTTCTTCTTCTTCCTCTTCTTCTTCTTCACCTTCACAATCGACCACTTGTACTCACCTCGATTTGTACTGATTTATCGGCTTTCCCACTTCTTATCCACCTGAACACCGGCTTAACTTTATGCCTGCACAAGATATACGAATTGTTTTCATTCATGCTTTGTTGACAAATTTGAATTTATTGGATTTCTCTTGGCTTGCCCAATTACTAACCGATTTCTGGGCAATTTTTGCATCACTTTTGATATTTTTAGTTGATTAATATTGATTTTTATCTATTTTTATTCTTTCCGCCTATCCAAAAAACCCTCTTCACTTATAGAGTTGGAGCCAAAGAAACGAGAAACAAGTGATCATTTCTGAGGGAGGTTTTTGACCAAAAAACACACGAAATTTGATCCACTGTTAACCGGGAAAGCGATTTTGGACATAGGAATCGATTGGAGAGAAGAAAAAGGAAAACAAGTTTTTTGACTGACTACAAGAAGTGCTAGTGATTCGATCGATACGTGACACTGCAAAAGCAAGAAAGCTATTTAGAAGAGGTAAAGTTGGGAAAGCAAAACTGAAATCCCGAATGGCCATAGTCATTCGAGAACCTGACCAGCCAAAGTTTAGGCCTGACTTCTGGCGAACTTTCTTTGGGTCTGCGGGTTAGACTTGCAGGAAAGCTAGACAGAACTCTACTCCTTACTTTTCACAAGCTCAATAGAAACGTACACTTGCTGGTGCACGCAATTCGTACTTTTTGTTACTTGGTTCAGAATAAAAAGTTAGGATTCAGTGAGCTAGAAAGGGATGTGTTTACATGTTAAGGTAGTATTTACATGAGCCGGAGCCTGAGCCTGAGCCTAAGCCTAAGCCTGAGCCTGAGCCTAAGCCTGAGCCTGAGCCTAAGCCTAAGCCTGAGCCTGAGCCTAAGCCTGAGCCTGAGCCTAAGCACAAAGCACGTTACAAAGAATCTAGGGCGAATCACAACGTTAAACGATCAATTTTGCTATCAATTTTTGTAAAGCTTGAGAAAACCTTTCAGTTCTTTCAGTTCTTTCAATATTTTCGTCAACTTGAACTCTTTTCAGCATCGTGTTCTCGATTTCTGAGGTGATTTCTCATCGCCGAGTATGCCGGTGTTATTCCGTAGCGGGGGCGGGGCGGGATCCGCCCGTCCCCCCGCACCCATCGGATCATCGCTCAGATCGAGTACCGGATCGAGAGATTTGTTGAATGTTCAGGTATTGATTCGAAATATCAAGAAATTTACATTTACATTTTACAAAGCTTATTTTCAGGCAGATGGCCGAAAAGGATCTTCGGCTTCACGGGGAGTCGATCCAGCGAGAGCCGTGCGCCAACTGTAAGTGCTATTTTTTAATTTTTTTAAAAAGTTACCGTATTCTCTCTAATAGTAGTGCGCACTACTATTTTTTCAACCCCCTCCTGGACCGCAATGCTATTAGAGAGTGCACTACTATTAGAAAGAATACGGTATTCTAAAAATTCAAATGCATTGCTTCATCTCAACAGAAATCCTTTTCAATTTTCCAGAAAACAACGAATCGCTGAAATCCCAAAACCTCCAGCTGATTTAAAGCAACGGCTGAAGAGTTTCTACAAGAAACATCACTTGAAATATCTCAATCCACTTGTTTTCATTATGATCTATATGTTTTTTGGTAAGTTTGAAGAGAATTGAAAAAGAAACTCATTCTCTTGGAAGTTTGGAACAAAATGTGATGTAACTGTACCGACTATAATGTAATGTGCCAGAGCTGAAGGCCTGGCTCTACAGCCAATAAGCTGTAGACATCAGGGTTAGGAGGATCCGGATCTCTACGCAAGAATACAGAGAACGTGATGACGACTAAACGCCTACACAACGGTAGTATGAGCTGGATATTGGAGCGTTGCGTAGCGTTGTTTGAATTCTTGCGTAGAGATCTGGATTCGAATTCGCGCAGCTCTGCTAGACATGGTTTGGCCTTGGTGGGCTACAAATATCCAAGGTCAAAGCCAGTCAAGCTATGAAAAGTCATAAAAACTTTGAAATTGTTGATGCGTTGGTGAGTTTGAAGAGAATTGAAAAGAAACTCATTCTAGACAGCTCTGCTAGACACGGCCTAGGCATGGCTCTAGCCTTGACCTGGCTCTAGCCTTGACCTGGCTCTAGCCTTGACCTGGCTCTAGCCTTGACCTGGCTCTAGCCTGATCTGATTACTGATTAGAATTCACGGGGCTTTGTTTGGGATAAGATTTCAATCCTAAACACAACCTTTCCCTGTTTCAGGCGCACTCTTTTTCCTCTGGCTAGAGGGTTCATCAGATGAGCGCCGGAAACTCGACGACTACAATCATTTCACAAAAGAGAAAGAGCTCTTCACGCGGCGAATCGAGGAAATAATGGGTATTTTGATAAAAAATTCCCCTTGAACAACCGCTTCCCCAACCAATCCTCATCATTTCCCGATCATTTTGTAGACCGCTATCCAAAAGGAGGTCTGATTTGAAGCACAAAGCAAGACACAAAATAGCGAATAAGCATGCTTTTTTTAATTTATTTTTCCCGTTTTTTGAAATAGATTTTTGTTTTTTTTTTGGGTGACTTTTTCCAATCCTTGTCTTAGAAGAGAAAAATGAGACGTGATTGTTTTTCAGAAATGCACGCTGCGCGATCACGTCTCAATCGCACAAATGGTATGAAATTCCTGTAGAGAAATTATTGTAATCAACACTTAGTTTTTGATATTTTTGCGTTCCTTTCGGGTCTTTTCATTGTGAAGGGTTCTGGATAATAAAGAATTCGGGATAAGGTTCAGGATGCTAAGGAAAAAATTCACGATGTTCCCCAAACATTTTGGCATTGCGATGTAAGAAGCAGCGAAAGCCAAGTCCGTTTGCCGAGTCTGTTTGCCCCAAACGGGAAGCACCTTATGCCGGGGCAGTTTGTCAGATCGCTAGCGATTACGCGGCCGCACAAAGAACACCTCGCCGGTCATTTACACAGTGATTTCTCTTTTCTTCTGTAAATGATTCTCAAATGAGATTTAGTGTTCAAAATTTGTGCTCCGAGGATTTTAGGGTCGTAGAATTTATTGACGGGGTTTATTTTAACCTTTTGTTCTAAGAAAAGTCCCAAGAGAATCGAATTGGCTTTGGATTTTGTATATGATAGCTTTTCACAATGAAAAAACCCAATTCTGTCAAAAGGTCCGGATTTCCGAGAAGAACCTATTTCTGCTTTACGTATCTAATGTTTTTACTTGTAATAGATTACTTAGAATATTCCGTTCTTGAGGCCCAAACTCATTTGAAAAGCTTTTACGGCTGTTACGGTAATGCTAGCCTTGTTTCATGCAACGTACTGCATAAATATGTTAGAAACGCACCGGTTCTGGCGCATTGAAAGCTTTATTGTCTACCCTAACGGGTAAAGGAACGATTCAGTGCACCAGAGAGGTTTCGCTTCTCATTCTTGAACTCAAAGTACACACACTAGTGTCTAGTATCAATAGAATTGGAAACATTCAGTTCTAGACAAGAATCACAGCTCCTTCTATAGTAAGACTTCTTCTACAGCTTCTTCTACAGCTTCTTCTTCTTCTACAGCTTTTTCTTCTACAGCTTCTTCTTCTACAGCTTCTTCTTCTACAGCTTCTTCTTCTACAGCTTCTACAACTCTTTCCAATGTTTGTACCTCTTTGAATCATTTTCCTTCAATCTTCTGACCAGTCATCACCAATTTAGCCATCTTAACTCCAGCCATCTCAACTCCAGCCTTCTCAAATATTCCCCACCAAAGCCTTTTCCCCGTCCTGGCACGTGCATGCCAAGACAATCCTAATTTCAACACAAGCATGATCCTTTCAAAAACTCCATCTCACCATTTCCCTTCATTTAGCCGACAAAGCGATCAAAACAAGATCGGGAAAACGGAAATCGATCAACGAGGCTATGGAGTATTTTCATAAACAAGTTTGCAATAGTTCGATAGACAAAATATTCTTTTTTTTAGGTCGGCTTCTCGGTGACGAATCAAACACATTGGGATCTCGCGACAGCCATGTATTATGCGGGCACACTTTTCACCACTATTGGTGAGTTGTGACTCTTTTCAGAACTTTTCAGAACTCAATCTTACTTTTCCCACAATGTCTAGAGCAATACGAGTTCTTTTTTTTCTTATTTCTAGTAAATTTTTAAGCTTCAATTTTAAGCTCAAAAAAAGTGTACAATAGAGCTTTAGATATAGCTTTAGATATAGCTTTAGATATAGCTTTAGATATAGCTTGGCTTTGGCAAGATTTGCTCTTGGCACTCAAAACTGATGATTTTGTTGTCTTTATTGTGCTTAAAAGTTATTCAATCACAAGCATTTCTAGTTGATTTCTGGATAGTTGACAAATTTAAGGTATTTCAAAGTGAAAATTTTCAGCGCAAAGAAAGGCTTTCCTTTTCTAACTTTCCTTCTGATCTTCTAGAGTTAAAAATAAATTTTAGACAACAATTTAGCTGACAAAAAACTGATTAACAAAAAACTCTGCTTAAAGCAACTTTTAAACACTTTTTCTACAATTCTGACCAATAAACAGCTGGAAATTTGTTGGAATTTGTTGTAGAAAAAAGAAATATAAGTAATTTCAATGTTAAATTATAAAATCCCATTGAATTCTTTGAGAATTAGGGAAATCAGCTTGTTATGAAAACTGAAATTGAGAAATTAGACGGGCGTTGCTTGTGATTCAATAACTTTTATGTATCAAAAAGACTCATGTGATCATTCAAAACTCTGAAAAGCTCGCATTTCGTTATGAAAACCCTGCAATTTTCTTGAAAAAATGAAAAAAAATGAAAAGAAACACCTGTGTATGTTTTCTATTGAAAGAGTGTCATGTAGAAAAGAGATGGGAAAATTATTGAGAGAAAGGAAAAGAGATTGTGTAATATTCTCTCTGTCATCATTGAAGAAACCCACCCTCATTTTTTGAGGGAAAACGAACCGATCTTTCTCCTTTTTTTTTTTTAAAGCGGGATTCATTTCAAGATGACAACGAGAGGGTGGATGATGACGTCAAATAGGAATTTAGGGAAATCTGTTTGTTTTGAAAGCTGAAATTGAGAAATTAGACGGGTTTTGCTTGTGATTCAAGAACTTTTATGTATCAAAAAGACAACAAAATCATCAATTTTGAGTGCCAAAAGCAAATCTTTATATCTAAAGCTATATCTAAAGCTATATCTAAAGTTATTTCTAAAGCTATTTCTAAAGCTATATCTAAAGCTCTATAGTACACTTTTTTCTTAAAATATTGCCCAGAAAGTAAAACTGTACCGTAGTATTTGCTTCAGAATATATATTGTGTTCCTTTTAGCTTTTAAAAGCTATTAACTTTCAAAAGATATTGGAATCTTTCTTCCAGTGGTCTATCAGTAGATGATTTTCTTCTGTTATGGACTAAAAAGATACAGAAATATATAAAAAGTGGATAAATTAGAGATCATTTTCAAATAGAAAAAGGGAAAATCTGATAGATGATATTGGGATGAACTTGTTGAAAATGTTGAAAAGTATTGGGTTGATGGAAAAGTCCTTTCGGATTTTGTTGGGAGAGTACCTTAAATTTGTCCAATTTAGACGTTTTATAGCTCATCCTAAAGCTGAATTCAAGACGGATCGATTGGTAAAAAACCGTTTTGAGATATCTCTTTTCTAGCTATTTTAGTAAAGGGCGGCAGAGCCAAAAAAATAGCTGTTTTCACGTTTCGTTAGTTTTCCTGGTTCGACTTCCACCGGTGACAATATTTTTCAAAAATTTTTTGCTAAGATTCTGAAAATGCGTGTCTAGGGGTTATTTTTGACGCCGATCACGAAACACATGTTTTTAGCCTAGGTTTCTGCACGGAAAACTAACGAAACGTGAAAACAGCCATTTTTTTTTTGGCTCTGCCGCCCTTTACTAAAATAGCTAGAAAAGAGATATCTCAAAACGGTTTTTACCAATCGATCCGTCTTGAATTCAGCTTTAGGATGAGCTATAAAACGTCTAAATTGGACAAATTTAAGGTACCCTCCCAACAAAATCCGAAAGGACTTTTCCATCAACCCAATAATTGCTTTGGGAATTTGACAAAAAACATGGAGAAGAACAGTAAGAAAGTGGTTTCACCCGAGGAAATTACTCTAGAAGAACATGGAGAAGAACTCTAAAGTGGTTTCTCTAAAGTAACTCTAAAAAAACTCATTTCATTATTAATTTCTGCTTATTACTCTGCAGAAAATACAGAGAATTTTCAAGAAATTCAGTGTCAATATTTCTTACCTTGTCAATATTTCATTATTAACCAATCGGCTATAAATGGGACACAGATTATGGCATTTCCCTTCCTATAAATATTGCCGTGATATCCGCAATTGATTACTGATGGATATCTTTCCCTTTCACCCATTTTCTTCAATCTTTTCCCAATGCCAACCACTAATCGACAACTGTTTTCTCTATTGTGTTAAAGAGAAAGAAAATAAAAGAAAAAAAGTCCCACTAAACACCCTTTAATTTATAGCTGTGAAAATTTGAAAGAGGACATTGGAATGAAGGCTGAAAAGTAATTACTTTGCAAATTTGATCGTGACAAAAAAAAACACGGAAGAACGTTAAGAAACTGATTGGTTTATTTAAAAATTCTCTTTTACAGCTTCGATTTGAATCAACTTTAAAGATATTCAGTCAAGGGAATAATTCTTTAAATGTAACGGTGACGGTTCTAGGTTACGGTGATGTGTCTTGTGCAACGACTGCTGGTCGCATTCTCACTGTCATCTATTCATGTATTGGTGAGTGGCCAAAATAAAAATCTCTCTCTTAGTCAATTTCTTTATCTTAGGAATCCCATTAATGTTGATCACTTTGAACGATCTCGGCAAATTCCTCTACACGAGTATTAATGGATGTGTCATGGTTTGGGAGAGTTTAAATTCAAATCTGAACATCGTTTTCAGAGCATCGACGACGCATGGACCTATTTGGGTGTTTTTCGAATATGCAATCGAAAGAAAAACAATGTTGACATTAAAGTCGATGAGGTGAGTTTAAAAAGCTTTCACACGATGAATAGCTTTAAAAGCTATTCATCTAAATACTTTCATACAAATAATATGATCCAAACAATAAACAAGCACAGTCATAAATCTAGAAAAATCAACCCAAAAAACGGAAGCAGTCAGCGGGATTGAACCCCTGACCTCCCGCCTTGGATACCGGGCTCTTAGCCAGTCAGCCACAGCCATGACGAAAGGCTCCCGGTTAAAAGCAATTATTTCAGGTGGAAGCAGTGGAAAGAGGAGAGAATCAGTCAATAACGAGTATACACTCCGAATTGGGAAGTACAAACTCGGATAGGTTTGTTTTTACTTTGAAAAGCTTTACTCTCTTGAAAAGCTTTTTTCGAGAACTAGGCTTAGGCTTAGCTCATTCATTCAGAAGCAACTCATTCAGAAACACACAACCACAAGAAATTCAAGAAGTTCTACCTACTGATTTAGGGTTTGCGATTTAGGATCTTTTCCTTTCCCAGAAGTTTTTATTTGCTTGCTCTTGCCCTTGAATTGTTTAGCTCATATGGAACCATAGTTCATATTCATATTTTTTGCAGAGAAAATGACCTGGATGAACTGTTAGAAGAAGAGGAGGCGAAAACACCGAGAATGAGTGTAAAGGTAACGTTTTCAACGATAAAATCTAGCTATACGGTACATTTTTCAAGGTTTAACTTATCTCAAGCGGCTTTTCCATATCTTCTTCTAAGTGTTACCTCTTTCGAAAACGTTTTAGTTGAGAATCGTACTATCATACTTTGTCACTGAACCAAGTCTCAATTTCCATTTCCTACAGGTCGCCTTGGGCATCACTGTCGGATGGATTTTCTTCTGCTCGGCTCTTTTCCGTTTATGGGAGGATTGGACATATGGAGAATCGTGCTATTTCATGTTCATCTCTCTCTCGACAATCGGACTCGGTGATATCTCGGTCGCTCATCGAGGGTGAGTTTGTTATAGATAATCTATGAAATGGAGAAAATAAAAACCGGTACTATATGGTTAAATCCCCATCAATATCAATATCAAAACAGCAGACATTGAGAAAGACTTCACACATAAACCATAAGTACAATTTTACAATGAAACAAGTAGAATAAAATAAGTACAATAAAACAAATACAATTTTGTCTCACCAGACGACCCCAACATTCACACACAATCAATTGAAAGCCTGTGGGGAGCGGCGAACTGTTTATCATTTACAAAGCTATCTAACGGAGTTTATGATTCATTCAAAAGTTGGACCAAAATGATCTCTTCGAGTGGATCCTTGATCGCATTGCTTCCACTCATCCAATGAACAAAGCATACGATCCAATTGACCGTATGCTTTGTTTTATCCATCATGATTGAGTGTTAATGAAAATTTTAAGGATATAACCGTATAGCAACTAAAAACCTATAAAACAACTCTAAATAAATCTATAGAATCTGTAAAATTGCCAAAATCGAATCTCTTTTTCATCTCTTTTTCAGAATGATGGTCCTTTGCTTCGTTTTCGTCATCGTCGGCCTTTCACTTGTCAGCATGTGCATCAACGTTGTTCAGGTAAATGAAAAGGAATTTAATTACTTATTCTGTTTTTAATAAAGTTTACTATTACATCAAATTCTAACATAATAATCTACATAATAATCTACAATTTTTGCAGGTAGCAATCGAGGAGATGTACATGGCTTTCCTCATGAAATTGATTATGGAATATCAAGAGAAAATGGCCGCTGGTGGAGATCCAAAGGTAGTTTTGGAAAAATTTTGCATAAAAATTACTGTAGTTTTTACTGTTATTTCTCACTTTTCGATTTCCTTTCATTTCCAGGGTGCTAGCATGGGAATGATGCGAATGTGGGGAAATAACAAGACCGCCAAGTTGTTGATGCCACTGCTTGGGTAAGGGAAAGGGTTAGATACAAGTATTAAGACTTGAGCATCCTTCTTCTTTTTCTTCTTCCTCTTCTTCTTCTTCGTCTTCCTCTTCTTCCTCTTCTTCCTCTTCTTTCTCTTCTTCTTCTTCTTCTCCTCCTTTCTTCTTCTCCTTCTTCTTCTTCTTCTTCTTCCTCTTCCTCTTCCTCTTCTCCTCCTTCTTCTTCTATTTTTGAATCATATCAATAATGAAAGTCCATTTCCAAAACAAATCTCGATTATTCTAGCAAAGAAATGAAACGAACGGCTATGGAAAAGGTTGAAGTCGAGGCACAAAAGAAAGGAATCGAGGTTGGCATTTTTATTTTTAAAAAATTCAACTTTTATCTCATTTTTTAGATTCCATCGATTCTCAAGGATGTCGATCTTGAAACGGGAATGCCAAAGATTTTACAAATTGCTGAACAGACACATTCGGTTGGTTTTTAAGGAAATATTATAAGAGGTTGAAGTGAATATTTTGAGCAATTGATTAAGTTCCTAACTTCATTTTTTATATATTCGAATTTAGAAGAAAGATGTGCCTGATGAGGAATTCCAAATGCCGCCCGAGCTCGAGGCAATGGTCGAAAGACATGTAAGTTGTCGAGAAATCAAAAAACTACCTACTCGCAATGGCTATAGAATAAATTGAATATGAAGATATTCAGTCAGTTTTCAGCTACAGTAAGTAGACTAAACTATTTGTTGTACTACGGTAATACCGTTACCATACTTCGCCTCTTTATTGGTCCCTTTAGATCGCGGCGGCCGTATTGGAGCGTCAAGCCTCCGAGAAATTGAGCCTTCGCTCGCAAAGCGTAATATCTAAATAAAATAGCACATAGAGATTCTCCCTTTGTCATTTAATAAATCCAATCCCTGTTTGGAGTGTCCATCAAATGTGATCCATTTGAATTGATGAACATTTAGTTGTTGGATGTGGCTGTGGAACCACCGAAGCCCCTTCATATGACCCCGTCGATTGCATCAATGTTACTTGGACATGACGCTGACACGCAAACAGATATCTTGCAAACGTAAGTGATTAGGAAGTGATCTAGGAAAAGAATAGAAGAATCATTGGAACTATTTTGCTCCAGAAAGTCTATTCAATTTCTATTCAATTCCAGATTCGATGAAAGCGAGCAAACATTGCAAACGATACTCGACGATTCGTCGACACAAACGGAAACCACCGAAACAAAACATGTATTCATTGTGAGGAATTTGAAATGAATAACTGAATAACTGAATAGCTGAATAGCTGAATAGCTGAATAGCTGAATAGCTGAATAGCTGAATAGTTAATTTCAACAAATTCACTTTCAGGAAAGAGAAATGCAAACTGATCAGTTAATCGGCATCGTCGTCGAGACTCAAACGACCATCCGGCAGTACTGCGAGTCATCCACATCGACTCCTGTCATACACACTGTCGTATGTAGAATTTGTATCAATCAATCATCAATCAATCAATGCCAATTAATGCCAATTAATGCATAACTTATTTGATCTAAGATCAAAATTCTAATCAATAAACACACGAATTTCTAGGCACCCCAAAACGAAGAGAAAAGTGAGGTGTGGGGTTGAAATGAGCCTTTTTTTGCCTTCAAGAAATTGCTTTCGGTCAATTTTGGCTTTTTTTTAAACATAAAACAAGCTCACATTGATATTCAATTTAAAAATTTAAAAATTGACAAAAATTTTCTAGGAAAACGACAGTCAAACGTCGACGAGTCAAATGAGAGAACAAGAGATTCAGACGTACATTCATGAATATGCTGACGCCGAAACATCTACTGCGGTTGGTTTTAAATTGAAAGCTTTGAAATAATTATTTAAATAGTTATTTAAATTATTTAAATATATATATATTCTTTTTAAATGTAAATTTGATTATCATGATTTATTAGGTGGAAACGAAGAACATCCGCATTCAAACCCCTCATCCACAGATCATGGACAAAACGATACAGTCGGAAGATCTATCGGTAAAGACAATAAACAGAAAACAAGCTTTCTTGTAAACAGAAAGCCTTCTTGTAAACATTTTAACAAATTGTTGGACTCAAGAAAAGGATTCCCCGACCCTGAAAACCCACGGGTACAAATTTAAGCGGAATACCTTTGTACAATCCAGCAAAAGAGAAAGTGCACAAAGAACCCCTGAAGAAAGAGAGGTTCTTTGTGCGGCAGGGTAATCGCTTGCCTTCTGGCACACCTTGCTGATAATCATCCCGTTATCATCTGAACCCTAGTCCGCTTTAGAAGTATAGTGCCAGCTCCAATTCACGCCCAAGCCCAAGCCATCGATCAATCAACCCAAGCCACTAAATCGCTTGTACCTAAATTTTCAGGAAGGCAAATCGCATTCACCATCGAAAATGTCATCGGCGCGGAAACGAATCCGACGAGCGCTGCGAATCACATCGGCAGCAAGAGGCGGTGGAAGGAGGAACACCCTCGATCATACACCGGCGATGAGTGATTGGGTTGTGAGTCTCACTAGCAATAACTAATCTAGCTCAAGCTCTAATTAATTCCAAATCTTGCTTAGAAATCTAGCTTACCTCAAGAGAAGCATTTTAATCAAAATAAACAATCGTTTTCAAAAGTTTACCCTTTTGTTTAGGAGGATGAGATCGCCGAGGAAGATGTAAATTTTGCATTGCATTTTTTTGCAAAATTCTTTATTCCACCAAATAGAGCTTTTGAAAAGGGAAAACAATTCTTTTATTTATTACTTCGAAAGCTCTATTTTGTCGGTTATTTTCTCTCCCATTGCCCAATGCACGGCTAAAATTCCTCCAAAAATCACTTAACACAGAAATTCGTTTTCCATTTTCCTTACCCTTTTCCAGTTTTCATTTTTCATTTTTTTTGTCAAATTTTTGAGAACGGAATGTTTGACTCAAGGACATTGGAGATTTCGAGGGGAAACTTTGGATCGAGTGGTCATTGCATGAGTCAACTGGGGCAGCAATTAGTCTATATTCCTCGCGCGTTTCCTAAACTTTTTTAGCGTTCAAATGTGTCAGCGTAAACTAAGCGTGTCAACTTTCTAAAAACTACCATAAACTTGTAATCTTGTAATCTTGTAGATTACCCTAATCTACCGTAACCTCCCGCAAACTACTGTAATCTTTTCGTTGTATTCAATCAACGCATTTCTCAAGAAGAAAGCACTGAATCCCTAAACACTATAGCATGTTCAGTCGTCCTTAAGCAATGACGCCTCAATGATCATTATCTAGACTCAAGTAAAGCATTCGACACCTGCAAACCCGTCGCACACATAATCCACAAATAATCCAAACTTGTGTACTCATTGCAAAAAGCCAATCCCAAAAATCAGACCCATTTCCAGGAGGAGGGCGAGGGCGAAGAAGGCGAAGAGGACGCGGGTTCAGTCGAATCTCTCCATTGGGATCCCGTTGATGGACTTCATGCCGAGAAACAATTACCCGTTCAGAAATTGAAAGCAATGTTCGATCGGAAATCATCACTCAAATAAAACTCTCACTCTGATTTCCTTTCTCCTTTCGTTTCTCTTTCTTTTTTTGTGCTCATTTTCTCAGAGCTTTACCCCACGGTGCTCTTATTTCTATCAAAAGAACATTTGTTGCTTTATTTATCGTTAGCTTTCATTTTTTTTTGACTAATGCTGTACAGTTTTCAATCTTTTTTCCATGATAAAGTGATGAATTGGATTCAGAAAAGACTCACTAAATAGGTGTATCACGTGTGTTATTCTATAAGTGATGATCTAACTCAACAGCAGCCCCGTTTCCATTGTTTCATTCAACAGAAAAGAGCCCGAACTCAACTCAACTACCAGTCACGGTAGTTCGGCTTTTAAATCGAATTGTTGATAGATTTGTGTATGAATTTGAGATCGAAGAGGAGAGAAGAAATGGGGACAAGCAAGGGGTGTCAAAGGGATGAGCAGAGAAAAGGGAAAGAGGATTGAGAAATGAGAGATGAGGTGGTTGGGGTAATCGGGATTGAGGGGAGAGAGGGGAAGAGGGAAGGCCCTCTCACTCAAGAGATCGACCCTCTTGAGTCTCTTGAGAACCAACTGTTCATCCTCGTTTCTTCATCATTTGGGAATGCCTGCAAACAACACACACATTACTGCCTTCTCCCTCCTGCTCAATTCCATGTTACCCATCTCTGTGTTCCCCATGACTCGGAAAGAGTCACAAAATAACAATTCGCTCATCTTTGTCATCTTTTGTTAGGCATTGTCAGTGATTTCAAACTTGAATAGTTGGATTCTCAAAGTTAATTCAAATTTCAATTTGCAACGGCGAAAAGTTGAATACTTTAAGATTTTTCTATACGTTTCATTATCAGTTGCACTCGAACAGCTTTGACTTTATCTCCATTTCTTTCCTAGACTCTCTACCAATCATAGACTTATTCTGATCACATAATTCAGAATGGCAATCTCTCGATTCGGTCTCGCGACTCTCGCTTGTATACTCACTCTGACACAGGCCGGCCTGCTCGATACAGCCGTGAAAGGTACAAGAAAACATTCTGAAATTATTAAAGACATTTACAGGAACCACAACCGACTATGCCAAATTCTTCCAAGATTCTTTCAGCTCCGTCAAGGATCTTGTCCCATCATCTCAATCGGTAACTCAAAATCGACTCTCGAAAAAAACTCACCCCTTAATTGAATTTCAGGAATTGGTTCTCAATGCGAATCGAGTCAAAGACCTACTTCTTGCCGTCAACAGCAAAAAAGCGGTAAAAAGGGTCTAATTTAGTGCGTTATCTCCAGTTTCATAGTTGCTGGGAGCGTTGGCTGGAACTGATCAGAAAAACACGCTCAACATGGCTGGTTCTCTGTTAAGAGAAGTGTCAGGATTCAGTAGCAAGGTAGGAAGAAACGGGAAAATTTAAACAAAAACCACTTTAAAAGGTGTCTCGGGATGGCGAAGCTCGTTTCAATCAAAACAAAAGCATGTGGGACTCCTTGTTGAACAAAGTTTTCAATGTGAGTTGAAGATCATTGTCTGGCTAAACGTAGTTCTTTCTTTCAGACCGCTGGACTCCTTAAACTTCTCCCCCTTCTTACAAAGGCTTCACCACAAGCCCCAATCGTCTCGGCAATTTTGGCTCCAATCGTCCTTGCCATCTACCGCTTCTAAAGCTTGTACTACTAACAAACTGTACATAAGATTTTGTCTTTTTGGCTAGTTGATCGAAGATCATTAAAGAATTTATAGAAATTACAAATTCAACAAATCAAAAACAACGAAATTTCTAACTACATCCTAGATACAAAAAAGTACAAAAACAACTCAATTTACTCGAAGACCTGGCACTCGAAAACATGAGCAAGACGATGAGCCAATAAAGGGATAACCTAAAACAGTGTAATCTTAAAAAGCAATTTGGAACATTACCGTATTTACATCAACATCTCGTTTCGTTTCTTTTGAAATAGACGTTACCTCGACGTCTTGAATACCACAAGCAACAATCTGAATTGTAAATTTAACGAACCAAAGATAAATAAATCTTACATGCGAAAACCACTTGAGATCGTTGTTACAATTGAGCGCTAAACCATGAGAAGTGATTCCATTTTTGACAGCAATACCCATCGCACATATTTTTTTGTTGGCACCGACCCAAACTCCTAAATAACAACGTACTTGCAGAAAATTGCAAGCGATAAACCGGTGTTTTTATCACTTCGCCCAACATTTGAAATATGAAAGTCGCCTACAGTACAATCAATCACAGCTTGTTCCAAGGTATCGACATATTGCTAGAACAAAAAACACTTTCATATTGTAAATGGCAACCAAACTTACTCTAACACCAAAACGGCGAGGTGAGAATCGTCGAAGATCCAATATGGGATAAATCACTAATTGGCCAGGTCCGTGAAACGTAATTAAACCACCACGCGATGTTCTAAAAATCAGATTGGCACATAATATTGCCTGAATAAACTTTTTAGATACCTGTGAAAATCGGCTCCAAGCTGCTTAAGACGTTCTTCCTCTTTTGAGTTATAAACGTTTGATCGAATGCCAACGGTATACACGGGCGTGTGTTCAAGACAAAGTAAATAATTTCTAAATGATAGATGCCTATAGAGAAAAAGTTAATGACTTACTTCGACGTAGGCTCTGTTTTGGAATCGGCAACTCTCTGAACATATTCTGCTTGCTTAAGTAGGCCATCTGAGTAAGAAGTTTTCCCGAGACGCACAATTTTTATAGAATTAAAGAATGGTGAAGAAATCCGCATAGTGAATTGTAAAGCTTTAGGTAGGTTTCTTCTTGGGTGTTGGTGGAGCAACACTGAACAGACGCGCCTCTCGAGTTCTAAAACACAATAAGTTTAACTGTCTTGTATTCTAAAATCCACCTTGTATACCACTCGTTCTTTGGTGTATAAAAGATTTCTTTCAGCTCCGAGTTGTCAGGAACCCTCGGGTGTCGTTTTGAAACCGCCGACTTGAGAGGAGTTGTTGACTAAAGGCAAAACATTTTCCCGCAAAAGCTATTACTTACCTCTTCAACTCTGGAAAGATTAATCGGTTTTGTGTGTTCGTATGGGACTTTCGTTTGTGGATGCCAAGAAGCAACGACACCGTTTGCACAAACAAAGGTTTTCCTAAAAAGAAATGGGTATTTATATCTGAGCATAAAGATTACCTCACAGAGTCTGATAAAAATCTTTTGCTCGGTCCGGCAATCAGACTAGACAATTGGAGCATCACCCTGTAACATTTAGTGTTTCTTTAATAATAAGTCATTTGCCTTTTGCGATACTACATTTTCATGCGCTCACATTGAATGATAGCGGACAGCGTGCTAAATACTGCAGTTTCGTTAATCTGATACCAAATACCAAAAGATTTATTGAGAAAACAACAACTATAGATATGCCATAAAAAATAAATAAATCCCGACCATAAGTAGTCAGAATAAATACACAACAAACACTGCGCCACACGTTATTTGGTGTAAAACTTTCGTACCCATAAACATTAAATAAGGAATGCAACAATAACAAACAAAGAAGAAAAAGATAGCAGATTTTGTTTCGATTTTAGAATCACAGGTTAGGGTACTCTTGTTTCATCAGTCCATTCAAAGAGAAGTTAGGATGCTTTCGGAGCGGACGCGTGTCTCAGAGATCTAAATATACCAATTTATCGAGTTTAATTAACGTCGTTTGTTTACCTTAGTTGCATGAGCCTTGTCTTCGGGACCATCTTTGGTGGTGCTTCTCTTAACGGCAGCCAGATAGTTGGTCTCAGCATCCTTCAGTTGACTATCGTACTTCGACAAATCAAGAACCTAAATTATGTAATAGAATAAACAAACAAAACCCAAAGCTAACCTTCTCATAAACGTCTTGTTGGCCCTTCAACGAAGCAAGAACACGCGAGATCGAATCATTCAATTCGGCACGGACGTTGTCAGCCTTTGCTTTTGCACCATTGAGAGCCGATTCATCTCGAGAAGACTAGAATCAAGAAAATTGTCTAGCTTCTTATACTTGCACAAACTTTATATTGTCGAGCAGCTTCGGCAACATGATCATAGGTTCTCAAGCGCTTATCGACAAGACGTTGAATTTCATCAATGTTTCCTTGAGCCTGATCACGAGCCTCCTTGGCGGGATCCTAAATTGATGATTAATTTGATGGTCTGGCTACTATTTAACACATCAAATTGTGTCCAAGTCTTTGTATCTACTGCATACCTGTTTCTTTAGTTTAGATTTTTGGCTAATGAAGCTAATAAAATAATAAAACTAACCGAAACAATAGTGAAATCAAGGTGAGAGTAGATGATGATCAACAAGAAAAGCAGGAAGAAAAAGGCCGAGGCGAGGAAAGGCTCACGAAGTAGATTGTGATAGTCGAAATCGTAGTACACCTAAACGTATTTTGAATTATGAGGACCCAATAAAAATACCGTGAAAGGTTGAATGTGACTGTCTACAAGGTTATCCTTTTGAAGAACAATCACGGTTCGGCCAATCGTATCAAGATATGTAGCAATTGATTCATCTGGGCGTCGTTCAACGGAATATGGAGTTGCAAGTTTGACATTACTATAATAACAACAATAACCAACCATAACAAACTTCAACTGGTTTAAAACATACCGAGCCGTTTCAGGAAGAACAATTTTCACTGCCAATTTCTCCACGACAAGATTATCCATGATATGATCATAGAGCTTCATTTTTAAGCCATAATTTATACCCTAAACTCCGACATTCTTGCTCAGTGATGCATAAATTACCTTGCTGTACAAATGTTCACTAGAGGGAAGATTGTATCCGAGAATGTAAGTTGTCTTCCATCCTCCAAAAAGAGGAAAACGAGGACGAATTTCAACATCAACGCTGCTCTTTCGAAGCTGAACATCCGAAGTTGAAATGTTGCCAATCACGTCACGATAGTAGATATCCTTTGCAGCTGCAGGTAGTACTGTCTAAATAATTGTTGTAAAACAATTACTGCTAACAACGCTTACCTTAAACTTCTGAAGAGCTGGAATTTTGCCTCCGCGCCGATCCATTTGATAATCCAATCGTGAGAAAGGACCCTAAATTCTATTATAAAACAAAATATTTACAAAGAAATCTTACATCCAATTTGGCTCCTCTGTGTATGATTTCAATCTTTTCTTCGACGGCGATGTTTCCCCAGTGAGAGATTTCGATCAAACGCTCAACCTTAAAGTGATGAGTGTACTCTTGACAATTTGCAAAAACTTACATTTGTTGCAACAATAAATGGCGAATTATTCTCGTAATGAACACGAACAAATTTCTAAAATAACAAGAACAGTTGGGTTAAAAAATCAAACTCTTACCTCGGCGAATGGTTCTTGGTTCTCAAAAGGTCCATAAGTGACCCCAGCTGAATCCTTTGAGCTTGGAGAAACCTAAACAAATCTGATAAAAATTTTTTAATTCTGTAAATACGTTTGTGTGACTCTGTAGCTTGCTGCCGGAAGGGATCTTTACAACAGTCTTTTGCTTGGTCACCGTGTACGCGGATGGAGCATACGCACTTCCATCATAAAAAACAAATCTGAAGGTTGAATCAATGTTTCAAAAGCAAGGATGAATCTCACTGATTCTCCAATTGAGTAATCTTGGCAGGCAATGCAGTGAGGACTTGGGTGACTTTGTATTCAACCTAAAAGAAAACAATTTGATTCAAAAACAACTAGGTATGTTAATCACCTTGATGGTGGCGCTTGATCCCTTTTGAAGTGGTTTTGGTAGTGCGATCTTGAAATTGACAAATCCTTCCTTTGGCGATTTGTCCTTGACCACCTGAAAAAATAAAAATATAACAAAGACCTTTAATAAAGTTACCTTAAGTTTGCTATCCTTAACGCCATTTTCTCCGGCTGTGATGTATGCCAACTTCTCGGCCTCATTTTCTGCAAGCGTGAAGAAAACATCGCTAACCGTCGATTCGGACTCGTAGCTGATAACCGAAGTTCCTTTCACAATCTAAATCATCAGATACAAAGAATTAATCATTAAAAGTCACCTGTGTCGATAGGTCGACGGTTCGATCCAAGTTGGTGATCTTGACATTTGCCAACGAGCCGGTCACTACCAGCAGAAGCAAAGGAATTACCCTCATCTAAAATTAAACAGTTAGAAAATTCATGAAACAAGAAAATAAAAGTGCGTGGTGGAAATTGCAGCAAACACGAAAGCAAGCTCGAAAATTTTTTGAAGGTTTGAAGAAAAGTCAGGTTTAATCGGAGAAATAGATGCATAAAATAGTCAGTTAAGTTTTTTAGTGTTTTTCTGAAAAAATAACTCGGTTTAGGGTGAAAAGTCAAAATAATTTCATTTTCCGTTGCTAAACAATCTTTGTTTGGTTGCTTCCCTCAGCGTTCAAATTATTTTACGTTACGATCTTTAACGTGGCACGACTGTAGAGAATCACATATAGACACTAGTTTTTGTACGAGACCCTTAACCCTGAATCAGGTTGTCAGCAGGGCTCGTTGCCAACTAACACCTTTGCCTATTTTTTATTCCCTTTTGTAATCCTTTCAAATTTTGGCCTGCCCACATTGTTACTTTTTGTCTTTTTTGATGCAAAGTTATATTTTTCAGACGGTTTTACATTTAGATAAAGGATGGTTACTTCTACAGCTGCAAATGAAAAGGAGAATATCGAGGAACCAAAGGCCAAGAAGCCCCTAAAGGAGGAGAAAAAGGATGAGATGGTCAGTTGTGTTTTTTTTTACTTTGATGATTTGATGGTTGTTTTTGATCAAATTTGTGTTTAAGACCGAAGAAGACAAGAAACTTGAGGAAGATTTGGGTATGCTCATGCAACGGCTGAGTGAGAAAGACGAGTCGCTGTGGAAACCATCACTCGATGCGATGCGGAACCTTATTCGTGCCTCAACAACATCGATGACATCCGTTCCAAAACCACTAAAGTTTATGCGACCCCATTACGCCAAAATGAAGGAGCTTCATGGTGCAATGCCGGAAGGACCAGTAAAGGTAAACTGATTCTTTGAAAATCCCCAATCACATTTTTTAGAAAGAATGCGCCGACTTGATATCCGTGCTTGGTATGACATCAGACGAAAAGAGCGACTGCATTAAATATCGCCTGTTTGGATCACAAGAGCCGATCGGTGATTGGGGACACGAGTTGGTTTTAATTTAAAACTTGTAAACTTGAGGTTTTGGGTATGTGCGTCATTTGGCAATGGAGCTCTCGGATTATTGGAAGTCATCTGGTGTCGATACGGAAGAAGCCAAGAAAAGGTAATAACATGAAATTTCTGCAATACAACCATTTGTTATTTTAGGCGTGTAGAGCTCGAAAAGCTGGCTCACGAAATCGTGAAGCACCATATGAAGCACAACGCAGAGGTCGAGGCTTGTGATCTTCTCATCGAAGTTGAGCGCCTCGATATGCTCGTGGAATTCGTTGAGGAAGTGGATCATCAACGAGTTTGTCACTACCTCATCAGGTATTGTCACTCATTTAGTGACTAAAAGTAAGGTTTTGTTGCAGTTGCTCGCCTTTGACGCCGGATCCGGATAACTCTACGTTGATTCAAACGGCGAAGACTCTTTACCTGAAATTCGGAAAGCCTTTGGAAGCGGTGCGATGTGCAGTGATGCTCAATGATCCAGAGGAAATCAAACGAATCGTCGCTTTGACAAATGACCCGTATGTTGTTGCAACGCTTTTAAACTAAATCAATTTTTAGAACCTTGAGGCTTCAAATGGCTATTATTCTTGGGCGCCATCAAATCTTTTTGGACTTTGAGGTTTGCTTTTACACATTCTTCATTAGCGAATCCATCTATAGAAAATTGAAAGCGGAAACCAACTTGCCGACATGAATTCAAACTCGCATCTCTTCGAATATTTTCACTCATTGGCTCGTGAATTGGATATTATGGAGCCTAAGACGCCGGAAGGAATCTACAAAAGTCACCTTGAGCACACTCGTAAGGATAGTGCTTCCTAACAAAGACTAATTTTAAAAATAGGTCCATTTGGCGGAACTTCAACTCATGATTCGACTCGAATGAACATTGCAGCTGCCTTTGTCAATGGTTTTGTGAATTGCGGATTTGGAGTGGATAAGATGATGGCTGACCAAGATGAAGCAAGTCGCTGGTTTTACAAAAACAAGGAATACGGTACTTGTTATTTTTATAACTTTACGTTATGATTTCAGGTATGCTTTCTGCCGCCGCTTCACAAGGTTTAGTTTGGCGATGGGACATCGACGCCGGTTTAACTCAATGTGATCGTTTCCTTTATGTCAATGAAGATTACATCAAGGTAGTTCTATTTTATTTTTGAAAAAAATCTTGTTTAGTCTGGAACATTGCTAGCTATCGGAATCATTTCGTCGGGTGTGCAAGACGCGTGTGATCCAGCCTCCGCGCTTTTGCTTGATCACATTCACTCGGACCGGTCTGTAATGCGAGTTGGATCAATTTTGGGACTTGGACTTGCTTATGCAAACTCAAAGAGAGAAACTGTGGTCAAGAATGAAGACGGGGGAATCATTGTCGAGCTTAAAAAAGTAATAATGTACGCACTTTGGTGGAACTTCTATTTGTATAGGTATTATCTGACAACAAGCCTTCTGCCACTACCGAGGTCAAGGGATTGGCCGGTTTATCTTTGGGAATGATTATGGTTAGCGGATTTAACACTTTATAAATTATTTTATTTGAAGGTCGGAACTGCCGATCATGCTACTGCCGCTGAAATGTTACAATATCTAATGGAGAAGAGTGATGATTTGTCGGACCATAATATGAGAATGGTTGCTCTGGGAATCGCCTTGATTTTCTTGGGTTTGTAATTTTAAGAGTAACTAAATATTAACTTTTTAGGAACACAAGAGAAAAGTGAAGTTTTTGTTGAAAGCGTTCGCGCGTTGCCAGAACCTTTTGGATCTATGGTCGCTACTTTGGTCGATGTTTGTGCCTACGCAGGATCCGGAAACGTTTTGAAGATTCAACAACTTCTTCACATATGCTCGGAACATTATGAAACGCCTACCGATTCGAAGAACAAATCCAAGGTATTTAAAAAACAGCAATGAAAATTTATATTTTTTTTATTTTAGAAAGGCTCCGCCCCTCCAGGCGGCTCTACTCGCACCGAACGACCAACAAACAATTTAGCTGCTAGCTTGGCAGGACAAACGCCGGTAATTTATCAAAAAATTCATATTGCTTTGTTTGTATGGTGATCGACTTTCTGCTTACTAGTTTTGGGTATCTGAGGATGGGGTATATTTTTGTCCACGTTTACACCACTACCAGCACTGTCCTGTTTTTAGAATCCATCCGGAGGACCAACACCCCCTCGTGTGCAAATTCCAACATCTCCCGTCTCTACACCATCAGTTGGTGGTGTCCCTTTGCTTGCTTCTGCACTTCCTGACGGGCTTGGTGGTCTTGGGATTACTGACCAAAAGGTCATTTTTTTCACTAATGCACCTGCACTTACTTTTTTTATGTTCTTGATTAACTCGATTCTTTTTAGAAAGATGATAAGAAAAAGGAGGAAACTCGTGCGGATTTGTCTTCGCAGCAAGCGGTTGCGGTGCTTGGAATTGCTATTATTGCCATGGGTGAAGAAGTTGGTACCCAAATGGCGCTTCGGATGTTTTCGCATTTGTTTAGGTTTATTGAATTTTATTAACATGTTAACATATTTATTAAATTTAGGTATGGAGAACCAGTGATTCGTCGAGCTGTACCTTTAGCTCTTGGATTGATCTCGGTTTCAAATCCCCAGTTGACCATTTTGGAAACACTTGGCAAATTCAGGTACTCGATTAATTAAAGTCATCACTTGATTTATGCCATTTAGTCACGACTCGGATTCCGAAACGGCCCATAACGCCATTTTTGCTATGGGTCTTATTGGTGCTGGTACAAACAACGCTCGACTTGTCACGATGCTTCGCCAGCTTGCTAGCTTCCACAACAAAGATCCAGTATTGAATTTAACTCTATAAAAAAAAATGATTCATTAACTTTAGTACTCGCTCATGCTTGTTCGCCTTGCGCAAGGCTTAACACATCTTGGCAAAGGGACGTTGACGTTGAATCCATGGCACTCGGATCGGCAGCTTCTCTGTCCATCGGCGGTGGCTGCTCTTTTCTCAACATGCTTTTTCTTCCTTGATGCCAACAACACCGTAAGCACTTGATGTTTTGAAACCTGAAATACAACTTGTTTAGGTGCTCTCCAATCGCCAGCATTACCTTTTGTATGTGTTGGTTTCGGCCATGCAGCCACGTATGTTGGTAACGTTGATGGAAGATGAGAAGAGGCCCGGGCACCTCAAGCAAATTCCAGTGACCGTGAGGTTTGTTTTATGATATTGGTCCAGTAGTCAAAATTTTCTAGGGTGGGACAGGCTGTGGATGTTGTTGCACAAGCAGGCAAACCAAAGACAATTACGGGCTTCCAAACGCACACGACACCCGTTTTGCTTGCATTCGGAGAACGAGCTGAACTTGCAAATGAAGAATGTTCGTTTATAGTTGTGTTGCTTTAAATTTCTGGTTTTTAGACATTTCCTACACTCCTCATCTCGAGGGTTTGGTCATCCTTCGAAAGAATCCAGAGTACGAAGCCATGCAGCAAGCAACCTCCAAGAAATAAATCCGAAACGCCATTGCGAATTTCAAATGTTTTTTTCTTGTTTACTTGTGCAAATTTAGCGGGTTGCTTTTACCCGTGTGGTCCCGATCTTTTGTGATTGTTGCGATTTATTTTTGCAAAATCTCAACTTAATTTATGCTTCTATTTATGTTATTCACAATCCAAAAGGTTTTGGTTCTGTGCTATCATACTGTCTTGGTCATGAAAATTGTTTTGGCTTTTATTTTACTGTTTTAAAGTATAAATATGTGTAATAAACTGCAACATAGACAAACAGACAGTTTTTATGGGCTTAACTACGAGCAACGGAGTAATGTAGGAAACGACGAGTTGTCGATTTAAAATTTCGCCAGATCTAGGCTTGATTTTTTGAAAAGTTTAGATTAAAGTTTTTTTTGCCCTCGGTTGCAAAAGATTCGCGAGAGTCGGTCAGTATTTTTCTCCACAATAAAGACGTCAAGGCCACACTTTGACGAATAGCGGCTTTTTGAGGATAAGATGATAGAGATCTGTCTGCGAGGAGGATTCATTGAAAAACACAAAAGGTAAACAAGCTTTTCGAAAAAATCATAAATGGGGTTTCCGGTATGCCGGCAGCAGGATTGAAGGCCACCGCTGGAAGATTAATTACCCGAAAAGTTGTATATAAAACTTTGAGATAGCCTCAAAGAATTTACTGACTTTAGTTTCATTATCAGACTCCCTTGTTTTTTGATCAAGATACGTAACACAATTGGAGATCGTTTAGAATGCACAAATTGTTGTTGATTGCTTTGTGCGTTGCTCCAGCGAGTGCTTTCTTCAACTTGTTCTGTAAGTTTTTTTAAAATGTGCTGACTTGAAAGCTCATTAGAAATTTTTAGCTGGACTCTTTGGCGGTGGATGCTGTAATCCCTGCGGAGGTTGTGGAGGTAAGGAAATGAAAAAATTGAAGACTTAATGCTCAAGAAAGTCGGGTAACAATACGTTTCAATCTAGGAGCCCAACAAGCATTCCCACCTCAACTTGGGTACAATTCTGCTCCCAGTTACGGGGGATACAGCTCCGGATATTCTCAGTCGCCTGCATATGGAAGCTATGGACAATCGTCGTATGGACAATCATCGTATGGGCAATCACCATATGGACAACAATCATATGGTTTATACAAGAAAATGATACAATCTACTGTAATACCTACAATAAACATTGTTATCAATAGTTGCTCTTCTCATTTAGGTGAAAGGCATAATAGAGATGAGCCCCTTACAGGCCTTATACTCGTTAAACAAGACTTGACCACCTCTTTCAGCTCCGTCTTATGGATCCACCTACCAACAATCCTCTTATCCATCCTCCTCATGGTCTGCTCCCGCTTCCACCTATTCGTCTCCATCGATGAACACTTATGGATCTAGCTATGGGGCATCGAACTATGGGGCATCGAATTATGGGGCATCGAACTATGGGACATCGAACTATGGGGCATCGAACTATGGATCTAGCTATGGTGCTGCCCCAGCTGTGTCCTCGTATCCAGCCCCGGCTCCAACCTATTCGGCTCCTGCCGCCCCTGCCCTTCCTCCACTCCCTCCACCACCCCCAGCCGCCCCACTTCTACAGGTAGAAAGTTTAGAATTTAAAAAGAAAAGCGAAATTTATAGCCTTCTGTTGGAGCTTATGCTGCTCCAGCAGTCGCTGCTCCAAGTGCCACTTATTCGGCTCCAGCACCAGCTCCACTCGCTGCTCCAGCTAGTGCAGGTAAAATTTACTTCTCAAAAAGTTCAAAATAGATATTAAAACTGATTGCGAGTTTAAAAAGAAAGTTTTGAATATAAGCTGAACGCCAAACATCCCGATTTTCAACATTTTCAGGTGGCTACGTGACGGCTCCAGGAAAATAGGATTTTTAGCTTTTTGAGCATACTTTATATGTCGATCTCTTTTATGATTATCTCAATGTGATTTGAGTTTTTGAGTCTTTTTCATATTTATACAAGAAGCAATTATGCTATCAGAGAAAAGAGAAAAAGCTTCGAATTACGCGTACAGAGGAAATACCAGAATCAATATCAATATCAATATCAGTAATGCTATGTTCAGATTTTTCTTTTCTTTTTGGAGTGATGTGGGAAATCACAGACGAAAACCCAGTAATGGATTAAAATTGGCAGGGGAAATATCAACAGAATGTGGGAGAACGGAAACGCGAAGTGTCTGGTGCATTGAAAGCTACAGTAGTTTGTCGGTATGTAGAGGTACTGTAGTAGAAAAGCTACAGTAATCTAGACTTCTTGAAAAGCAAGATCTTTCAATGCACTAGATAATACGGAGTTTGTAAAGTCACAGGGTTAAAATATACTCAAGAGTTACAGCAACCCTTACAAGCTATAGACAAGCCATAGGTAAATACCGTAGTCATATTGTATTCGAAAGATTTTGTAACTCTTAAGTATTCAGCGAAGGGTATACACAAACAAATTTTAGTCGCTTTTGAAATAGGAGACATTTACAAGCTATAGACAAGAAAAAAAAACTACCTTACCCTTAGATATTTACAAGTATTAAACTGTCCAGAAAGTCAAATGCGAACTCAAGAAAACAGTCAAGGCACAATCTACAATTATCAACAAAAGCTATAATCAAAAAGCTTTCATTTACACGCCAATAGGCTTTTGTGCAGCGGTCGCCTCTCCGATTGTGTCGAAGCGGTGTTTTCGGTATCTGGAAATGGTTGTGGGATGGATTGATCGAATATTTACTTTAGACAAACCTTGTGATAATCTGATCAAGGCTGTATTTTCGATCGAAAAAGTCGGCGAGTGGAGACTCGGAGAGAACCGAGGCCAACACTTGCTCGAGGGTGACTCGCCATTCACCATCGACAACGCTGAAGAAGTTTTCTTATTGTCTTATTGTATTTTTTTTGTAGGCTTACTGTAGCTACACTACTGGACAATGAAATATCATATTTGAAAAAACACTTTCGCGCTTTCGCGCGTCTGTAACTCCCTTGTCTTTACCGTATTTCTAAATATTAATATTACCATTGTGTAGCCCTTGAAAAGAGCTTTCAGAAAATGTATAACACTAATAGTTTAAACTCAAAGACAAGGGGGTTACAGACGCGCGAAAGTGACGATCGTTTTTCTAATATGATATTTCATTGTCCAGTACTGTACTTGCACCGGAGACTTGGCTTTGTCTACTTTACTTGACAAGCCCATAGTTTAAACGTTTTTAAACAATTCATGATCGTTTTAAAGTCAAATACCAAACTGGTTCCGATCGAACGAACCTTTTCGAGTGTTCTCCCACTCTCCGTCTTGTCGCTTCCACAAAAGGCTCTTTCCTTTTCCGGAATTCCTCATCGGACTCAGTGATCTCTTCCTCATCTTCCTTTTCTTCTTCCGCATCATCCGAACTCAACGCCGACGCAATATCAGCTTCCAGCTTTGCTTGCAACTCTTTATAAGTTTCTCCGATTTGTAAAAGCAGTGTACCTAAAGTTTTGAGGTAAAGCCTTTTAACCTTCAACTTTTTTCCCGCCCACCTACAACCGCCAGCGAATGAAAAATTTTCTGATCGACATTTTCGGAGGAGACCAACTCGTAGAAAGTCTTCCACATTTGGATGAATTGAGTCTGAAATTGGTTACGTTTTTGAGTGCGGCAACCTTTTTCTGTACTTGATTCATTGGTGGAAGAGCTCGGATTTCGGCTCTCGTTGTCTCATGGCCGGTCGTGTTGAGATTCGCTCGAAGAACCTTCATTTGCTCCACGGATTCAGCCACCAAAGAGAATGTATCTGAAAATTTGAATTATCTAAAAACTATTTCTTATCTCCAAACCGCTATTCGCAGTCTCGTTAGCAGCTTCACGAGCCGACTCGGGTTCATCGTCGGAGGCTTGTGACCGAGAGGCGATCAATTCAATCAATGAAGATGAAGAGGATGGAGCTTCTAATATTGTCGCTGATGTCACCTGAAAAATTCTTTTTTATTCTTAATGCTTTCAATTACAAACTGTCAAGCAACACGCTCCTCTTTTAAACGACTTTTAGTTGTTTTCTAAAAAGTGGAAAATACCGTAGTCGTCAGCGAACATATAAAACGAGTCACGGGAAAAGAATTTTGTCATTTGTTCGGGGGTGGTTACTTTGCGGCAAATTTTTTTGCGCAATTTGCCATAACTTTCTTCTAAGTGGGTCAATCTTTATGATTTTGGTGTCATTTTGTTGCACTTGTTGAGATCTACAAAATGACACCAAAATCATAAAGATTGGCCCACTTAGAGAAAAAAAGTTATGACGAGTTGCACAAAGAATTTTGCGTAAAGTGGCTAGTTTGTTCATTCGTCAGGGCTGGAGTGCCATGAAATTTTTGTCAAAGTTGCACAACTTGCAATAATTTGCGTAATTTTCTAAAAAAGAAAGATGTTTGTGATAAAAGACGATGTAGGAACGGAATTTTAAGCTTTTATAAATAGTTGTCTGTAAAAACACGCGGGTTTCTTAGTTTAAGGTGCACTCAAAAATTTGAAAGCTTTAAAAACTCACCGTACTGCTTCTGCTGCGATCTTTTGTCGATTCATCACTCGAATTCGGTCCTAGTCGATTGCGCGGGGATCCCAATAGGTCATGCGCTTCACATGCGATTTCTAGCTCATCTGAAATTTTCGATTTGCTTTTTCGAATTTTCATCTGTTTTACATTTCATTCACTCAAGAAAACGATTATTTAGATCACTAATCTTTTCATCGTAATTATCGCTTGAGAATGGCTTTCAATCAAAATGAATGGGTCTTCCCCATCACGGAGGTATTTTTTAAAGTTTTTCACTTCTTCACTTCACCTTTTTTTCATTGAGCATTATAAATCTAAGTAACTTACGTAATGAAAGTAATGAAAGCTTTATCATTGGTGATTATTATATGGTCTGTTTAGGCTTACAACCCAGATGAATCTTACATGGTGGCTTACGCACGATGGATTGTACAACAACAAAGTCTGCGCACTGCTGTTGCTCCAATAACCGGCTACCTTTATCCATGGTACTGTTGTTTTAATTTATGCATTGTCTTAGGCATACTGGGAAAAGATTAATGTGTTTTGTTTAGGATCATTCGCTTGATGCCAGGCGCAGGCGATTACCACAGTTTCGATGTCAACTTTCGCCTTGCTTTGGGTTTAATGGTGCCGATCGGGATCGCGCTTCTTTTTGTTGCTCTGCTCATTTGGGTTATTCTAAGAGGTAATGTTTTTGGTTGTAGATCTTGTAGATTAAATCAAATACAAAGCGACATTACAAAGTGCTTTTAGCTTTTGGCTTCTCGAATAATGAGTGTATTGATAAGACATGCAAGGATGCCGCTTGTCACCCTCTTCGCCGTGCCTCGGTAATTTTTTTATTATTGCGTTTTTTTATTTTTATTATTTTTAGGTTGATCCATATTTCGATGATAGCGCTGATTCGAGCTTGAGCTCCAAAGAAGAAGATCAGGATGAGGACAAGCCCAAAGAAGCAGCTATGAAATCGAGCGATCCTCTCAAGAAACCAAAGAAGAAAGTTGCAAGTGTGGTTGGTGCTTTGCTTGACTAACATTTGTCGATACCTTTTCGATTGTTAAACTTATTTTATAGGCAGGAGAACTGAAGCTGCGCAATCGCAACGTGTTAAAGACTGTGGAGAAACCTGCAGAGGATGAGGAGACTGAATGTTGAAGAAAGTCTCCGCTAGACGGATTAAAAATAACCTCTTCATAACCATCAATCCACGACCAAAATAATTCTGTTAGTTTTTTGGTAGTTTTTTTTAGTAGATTTAAAAGTCGTTGTGTGCCTATCTTTTTGTTGTATTCAATAAATGTTTTTAGGGGAGATTTCTTACACTTACTGTGATATTCTTTTACATCTTCACAAATTGGTTTTACGTCGTCTAGGTCAGAGTCGTTAAAGGCCGGCGGCAAGTGGCATTTGTAGAAAAATGCTAGTTTTTCGGTCGGGTCGCCCTGAAATTGGGCTTTTAAAACTTTTAAAACTTGCACAGTTTACCCTCAAGACGATTGATAAAGTTACGGCGATATCCCGGAATGTCAGTAGACCTGTTTCGGTGATGTCAAGCAACTAAAGTTTGACTTTGATTTGCAGGACATCTTGTGTTTACCCTAAACATCCGTACGATCAAAATATGATCGGCAGCCCATGGGAGAAGTCGAGGCACAATTTGTTCGAAAAGCTCAAAGTCAACCCGATATTGCGTTGAAGAGGTGCCACGAGCGGACCTGGAAATGCGTCATAGCAAGATTGAAGAGATATTTATCGAAGCTTGACTCTTGTTTTTCTTCCAACCTCTCAAGCATGGACTCCTCTTTCCCGCGAGCGGCCATCGCCAGACGAGCCCTCCACGAAAGCAGGTGTTCCTCCTGGTAGTGAATGATTTATTTCATCACCAAGGATTCTCTTACTTTGATCAAGTTGTACAACTTTTCGAGCTCATCCTGTGAGAATTTGCACTCTCGCCCCACACTCTTGATGATACTCCTCATTTGAGAGTCTTCGAGACCCTAAAAACTGGTGTTTTCTGTCAACTTCCCTTTGTTTTACCTGCACAACTTTCAAGCGATGCTTAAGACGGAGTTTCTCGATTTGTTCATTAGTGAAAGCGCAGCCGAAATCCCGATACGAGTTTGTGAGAAGATCACCGATCAGAATCTGAGAATACAATTTAATTCACGCGATATCCCTTATTATTTTGATAAGTATTGCTAAAATCTTCATTTTCCCAAGTTTAATTCAATAGGTTATCTCTTTTATTCACCTTTCCATCAGCCATCGCTTCAGTGTCGACAACTTTCCCTGTGTAGCTACTCAGCGCAACCTAAAATAGTTATATTTTGGTAAAGATTTTAGTGCTCTCTCAGTTTTTCGACATTCTCGAAAATTAACGGATAATTTCATTTGATAAACTCGTTTACCATTGTATCTCCATCGTCTTTCGATTTCGAGAGCAATTCCTCATTTTCTTTCAAAATCTCGAGTGCCACTTGGAACATCAACTGAATTTTTTTTATATAAATCTAATTTTCATTTTTCCCCCCACCTTGGCTCCCTCGAAAAAGAACAAATCGAGAATGCGAACGGCGGCGTTGAACTTGATGTCGGAAAGGAAAACGGTCAGGAACCAGGATAAAGCTATCTGGAAATGGAAAATTGGTCGACGTTCTCATAAATCGAGATAAAATAAAAGCACAACAAGTGCACAACAAACCATTTGATCTAATCCCATTCGAACGAGTTGCTCGTGAACGGAGGGCAGAAATGAGAAGACCAACTCGCTGAACACTCCTGGAAAGGATTGAGGCTATGGTATTGCTTTTAGAATTGAAACTTTAACATTACAGTGCATATTTGATGAATACCTTGATCCACAAGTGCTCCAACGACTTTTGTGTTGTAATAATCGGGGAGAAGTCGCTCACAAACGGCCACCAGTAACCAAAATGCTTCCTCTTCGGGTACAAATAAAAGAAGAACCGAACCGACAATGTTCATCGCTTGACAATATCCTGAAAAGAAGATTTTAGATTCTAAGGAAAGCACAAACCAATATTTGGATTTCGGAAAGAGTAGGCGGTTAGAATCCTTCGCAATGCGCCGATTCCTGGCCCTTTTTGGAAAGCGGGATGCTCGGGAGACTCCTGGAAAGTAGAATAGAATGTAGAATAGCTCATTGCGTCAATTGCAAGTCTAGTCCTGCTTGTGCAATAGAGGATTACGCTACTTGTGGCGAATAGCCACTAAAAAGTTACCTAACTCTGACAGCCTAAAAATTGGAAAAGTCTTGCGGAAATCCCTGCGCCTTCATTCTAGTTCGCGCCCCAAATCATTTATTGTTTTGTAGCTTGTTAGCTGAATATCTTGTGTTAAAGCCTATAGGCAACTGTTGTTCATTTGATGCGTTTTTTTGGGAGTGGGACAAATGCTACCTTTTTTGCGCACCTGGACATTTGCGCACCTTTTTTTTTGCTGGAAAAGGCCTTAGGAAAGGCTTTAGAGCTTCAAAAATGTTTCATATAAGGGAATCGTATACTTAGATTCCGAATTTCGACAAATCAGACCTCGCTGACATGTCAAATTTGGGCTAAAAGGCAAAAACTACGCAACTTAACGCTTTTCCGCAGTTTTTGCCTTTTAGCCCAAATTTGACGTGTCAGCGAGGTCTGATTTGTCGAAATTCGGAATCTACGCATACGATCCCTTATATGGAAATATTTTCGAAGCTCTACGGTCTTGCCTAAAGCCTTTTCCAGCAAAAAAAAGGTGCGCAAATGTCCAGGTGCGCAAAAAAAGGTCGCATTTGTCCCACCCCCGTTTTTTTAAACTTTTTTTTCTGCTTTCCTTTCATCGTGTGAAAGTTGTGTCCTAATTAGGAGGAAATTTTTTGGTACTTTTCCAATATCGGGGGAGCGGTCCGATTATCGGGGGAGCGGAAAGATTATCGGGGGAGCGAAAGGAAAATCGGGGGAGCAAATTTTGCCCCCTCGAAAAATGCATTTCCGGGACTGTATTTTAACTGCAACGTTTTTTTTTTAAAACTTTAACGACGGCATCGTCGTTAAAGACTTCTCCGATATTTGTGCGTTCAAGAAATCGACAGCAATCGATTATTTCGTCACCAAAGGAGTCATCCAGTCGTGGATTTGAAACTGTGGCGAATCGATGAAAGTCCGCTCAAAGGGAAAAGATCTATTTCGCTGGGTATGTGACAATTGCGCACGGCGAAAGGTCCCCAAGCATTCAAGAGGGAATTCGAGTCGATAACTTTTTGCAACAAAGCAAGCTCCCGTTCGTCACAATTTTAAATAGGACATATGTAGCGCTGCCAAAATTTGCTCCCCCGATTTTCCTTTCGCTCCCCCGATAATCCTTCCGCTCCCCCGATAATCGGACCGCTCCCCCGATATTGGAAAAGAACCAATTTTTTCTGTTTTTATCGTCGCTTTTAATTCAATTGTCGATTTTTGTGTGAAAATTGCTCAAGTGAGAGCCCAAAGATTCCGAGTCAGTCGGCTATTGAATAAAGTGAATAAAACTACTTCAAGTCAGATCAGATATCTCGAAACAAGAAATAACGTGTCTTGAGTGAAGAGTACCAAGCACGCAAAGAATATTTCTTTACACTACTTTCCACCCATTCTCCTCACCGATGCAAATCCCTTTCAATCTCCTCGATAGCCACTGTGAATTGACCGTGATGAGTGCGAAGGAGATTCTCGTAGTAACCCGGATGAAGACCCATCTCTGCTCCAGCACCCGAACACAGTAGCCACATCTGAATATGCTCATTTTTTGAATTTGAATATGTGGCTTCATTGAATAAAACTATCATTTTTTTTTGCTTAGAGATTGCTACCCTTTTCCTCACCTGTCCCCTCCTGTGATTGGGTATTCCATCGAGAAGCAATCTGTGCATGTCAACCGTTCTGTACATTCCCACTCCCCATCCGTACTCGTCCGCCAACTTTTCCCATCTTTTCGTTAGCCTCAAAAAGATTTTCTATATTGAGGCTAAAGGAAACTTACGCAGGAGGTGTGTCTTTGTCAAGTGGATACGTTGTGGTCAGCGGATCTTTCAACGTCGTTAACTCGTCCGTTGCCTAGATTTTTTTGAATCTCTACATTGAATTTTCGATTCTTACTGGGCAATCGATTTTCTTCGATCGAAGCATGCTGTTCTGGATTTTTGCCTGTTCTCGAAAAGCGATGATTCTCGCTAAGACTTTGTCTCGATCCGGCACCTCGGAGAACATGATCGCTGCCTGGAAATCGTTCTTAAAACTTCAAATACCTCCCAGCAAGCTCGATTTCTGTTCTTTCTGTTCTGTTCTAGTTGTAGCAATCTATTTAAATGATCTTTGATACAGCCAAATGCAGTGAGTCAAACTAGTAACGTCTTCTGGACAAATAATGCAACTTTGATCAGCTTTGATCAGACAAAATCGATAAAACTCTTGCGAAGCATACCCCATTTTGTAGACAAATGAGAATCCCTCGATTCTTCATCGCCACCTCCGTTCCACCCGAGCATTCCTCGACCGAATCCACCTCCAACAACGGCATCACCACACTCACCAAACCCTCAACCTGAAGCATTTTATTAAAGCCATTAAATGAAACCTATCCATTAAATGAAACCTAGACTAGATAAGTTAGAATTTATTAGTGAAAGCGATCTCCAACCTTTTTGCTTGCGCGAGATTTTCGTCTCTAAAAAGTCAAAAATTTCACTCTCTAAATCGATCGAATCTTATGATCCAATTCTAGATATACTCTCAGATCTAGATTGGATCTATTCAGAAGAGATTCTGATATATTATGCCCTTCGATTTGTTCATAATCATGGACTTCATTGTTTGTTTTTTGTTGAGTTCGAATGTTAGTGAAATGATAGTGAAATAAAAACTCACCTTGCTATCAAAGCAAACGAAATTCGCAGACACATAGAGATTCCCGCGGGTGTGTCGTCGATCGAATGGCGTAAAGAGACGACACTCGCAATCACCGTCCAATTTCTCGGCAATCGGTAAACAGAAACGGGCACTGAGATGTTTTCTTTTAAGTATGATCAGGATTCTAACTTAAAATCCATATTTTGCTCTATATTCTGCTTTAAAATCTATATTACAGCCAACCACTGGGCCAGCTAGTGGACCAGCCAGTGGACCAGCCAGTGGACCAGCCAGTGGACCAGCCAGTGGACCAGCCAGTGGGCCAACCACTGTGCCTTACGCTTATTTCCGCCTAAAATCTGATCTGTTAAAATCTCTAAAAATCTCGTTTGCTTGAATCATTTAAAATTATGACACTAATAATTCAATCATTAGTGCCTAAGCCTAAGCCTTTTGTACGTTTGCTCAAAAATCTGATCACAAAATCTGACTCTAAGAGCTTTTCACAATGAATCAATGCTTTTCAAAGAAAAATAGGACAACGAAGCGCGGCTGTGATTCAGAAATGGAGAAGAATACGGAAAGAGGCGAAAATAGAAAAAAAATGAAGAATACTTTTTATTCCTTTTTTGGCAATTGTACTGTTTTTCATGATACTTGTTAGAATGTAATTTCTAGTTTGAATTGTTTTTCTAAAAAGAAGTTAGTCGAAGTCTAGAAGTCTAGAAGTTATCAACAGTCACTAGACTTTATCTTTGAAATGTGCTTTGAAGTAGCTTTCGAATCGCATCTTTTCTGGTGCATCATTCATACGAATTTGCTCAAATTTATCAAGTTTAATGAACACAATTCTAAAAAAGAAGTGTGCCAGAAAGAAGCGTTTCCTCAGCACAAAGTACAGTATCCAAGATTCAATGAGAGTTTTTTAAAGTTTTGAAAAAGCTTTCAAAAGGAAAAGTTGTCCTTTTTTCTGCATTTTGTTCTTATTTTTTAAACTATTCTTGTTAAAGCTCTTGTTATTGCTTTTTATGCAAAATAAGATCGCTTTTTATGCATAATAAGATCGCTTTTTATGCATAATAAGATCGCTTTTTTAATTAATCTTTCTCTTTCTCGACTAATATTCTGATATCATTTTTGTTGAGATATCATCTACTAAATCAAAAGATGTATTTGTTGATGAAAAGAAAGAAAAGAAAGAAAAGAACGGGAAAATCTCCTCTGATATCAAAGGGTTTCCCCTTCCACCAAATGAATATCCGATCTCCTCTCAATCAGCAAGGACGATCATCCATCTCTCCCACAATTCTCGCTCACTTTTCGCTCTTTTTATCTCTTTTTGATTACAATTTTTGAGTGTGATTAGTTATAATCTCTAGTATTCTTTTTTTTTAATCCAATTTCTTAATGAATTTTGGGTTTAAATTGTTGAAATGATATGAAGTTGATCGTTTTTTCTGTTATAGTTGTTCTTGTTCTTCATCTCACAATTCTCTCTCACTTCTCCCCTCTTTTTATCTCTTTTTGATTACAATTTTTGAGTGTTTTTTTTCTGTTATAGTTGTTCTTGTTATCATTTTCTTTGTCATTTTTCATCATCTTCTTCCTTGATCACCACTTGATCAAGTTTTTAGACATTTTGTGTCTAAAAACTTGTGGGTGATCAAGGAAGAAGGTTTTCGTGGGTTTTCTTTTTTTTTCTTGTTGACAGTCTAGATGACAGCTTGAAATTCGGTGGGTAAATATAGGAAATGAAAAGAAAAATGAAATAAATAAAGAATTAGTTGAGATTATTGAATATTCAGTTAATTATCGAGCTTTTCATATCGAGCTTTGCATGAATCTTTTTAAAATTACTGTAGTTTCAGACTTTTGTCTCACTACAGTAGGATTAGTCGATAAATTGGCTTGAATGTTACAGTGTTTAAAAATTCCGTAACACTCGAGCACTGTCATAACAATAGCAGATTGAATATCGTTGTGTTAGATCGTATTTTTTTTTGTTTATCTTTGATTTCGCTCGATCTTTTGTTTTTATGCGATAGTTAAGTTCGTCTGGAGAATAAATTAAGGGAAATTAATTGCATTGTAGTGGAATGGTTAGGACATTTGCCCGGTAAGCGGTATATTCATCGTCGCGGGTTCGAGTCCAGACAACACATAAGTTTTGATCTCGCCTACTTCCAACACGATTTCTTATTGGTGATAGTTGCTGTTGCTGAGTTGCTGCTTGTTGCTTATTGGTGATAGTTGCTGAGAAATCCTATTCTATAAAGGTTCTCGTTCTCGTCATTTCGGAGAAAAAAAGATCTTTCTTTCACTTTCTTTTCCCAAATACGGGGAGAACCCTCTGAGCAAATAGGAAGGGAAAAAGGAAAGTTCAAATGAAATGGGAATTCGATCAATGAACAGATCATTTGATGGGATTCATCGATCTTCAATATTATGGGATTGATCAATCTTCAATTATCTTCAATTATCTTCAATTATCTTCAATATTATGCTTAGCTCACTTGAATCTTAGTTCACTTTTTGTTTGTTTAAGTCTCTACAATTCTTCTTACAATCCATGCCACCACGGCATTCGATCAAACCACAATCCATGCCTTTACAAGTTATTCTTTCAATATTTTTTCTTTTAAAGACAAAGCTACATTATGATTTGGATATTTTCGTGTTTTTATCGTAATTTAAAACAAGATACAATTATTTTAAATCCTTTAGATTTCAGTTCATCGTTTTACATTCTTCAGAATTTCTTACTAATTTCAGAAATTTATGAAACAAGACGAGAAGCCTTATTAAATCAATTCAAAGCCAACAATGGGAGATTATTTGGAAATGAAAGGGACAGTTATTGTCTATTCGATTGTTGGATGTGCACAATGTATAAGAGCAAAGAGAATACTCAGGTAAAAGAATACGATTTATGAAAGAATCTAATAACTTACCGTAAATACTGTAATAGTACCCCAGCCCCATAATGACGGTGCGGAGGGTTGCGTAGTTTAGCTTTGAACGAGTTTTTCTCGACACTGGTTTATGCTATAATGCGCGTTTAGGTATCAAAAAATAGCCCTGAATTTCAGCTATTTTTTGATACCAAAGACGCATCTTTTGAAAGTACGGGTGCTTTGAAAAAAAAATGAAATACTAAAAAAACTTTTGCGACTACGCGACTGTACGAGGAGGGTGGGGTACTATTACAGTATTTACGGTAAGTAGTATTGGAAAGTTTTAAAAGTAAAGGTAAAAGTTAGATTTGAACGGTCAAGCTTTCAGCCAACGCCGAGTTCCCTATACTGACATTTCATTGGACAGCTTTCCGCAGGTATTTTTTTGTGAGATTCCAAAGCTTTACATAGATACAGTACTGGACAATGAAATATCATATTTGAAAAACGATCGTTACTTTCGCGCGTCTGTAACTCCCTTGTCTTTGAGTTGAAACTATTAGTGTTATACATTTTCTGAAAGCTCTTTTCAAGGGCTACACAATGGTAATATTAATATTTAGAAATACGGTAAAGACAAGGGAGTTACAGACGCGCGAAAGTGACGATCGTTTTTCGAATATGATATCTCATTGTCCAGTAGTGTACCTTTAGTGTCACAATGAAATGGTGGAAAGATCGGGCGGAGATCCGACTCTTCCACAAATCTTCTTCAACGGTGTCCACATTGGGGGAGCTGATGATTTAGAGGATTTGGTGAGAAAGAATTACAAAGAGACTTACAAATTTTCCTAAACTACTAGGCTCTCCAGAAAATCTTTACGTTCCTTTTTGTACTTTTGTTCCGTTTAAAACAAAATTGAAACACAAACAATAAACACTTTGTTTAGAGTAAACAATAGGTGAATTGGTGAATTGGTGAATAGTTTGATTTTTCAACAAAAGAAGAGCCTGAGGAAATTAGGATGTCCTTTCTGAGCAGCTTAATATTACAGATTTCGGTATTGTTTAGGTACATGATGATCGCAATTGGGAATCCCTATTGGAAATCGTGCGAACAGAGGAAAGTACAAGTGGACCTCGTTTACCGTCACCGAATCAAGCTGTCGATATTTTGGATGAGAATGCGAATGGGGCAAGTGAGTGATTGGGGAAAGAAGTGATTGTTGGGGAAAGAATTGGTTGTTGAGGAAAGAGGTGATTGTTGAGGAAAGAGGTGATTGTTGGGGAAAGAGGTGATTGTTGGGGAACTGTTGGGGAAACATTGTCAAGTCAAGAGGAAACTATTGTCAAAGATGGCAAAGATCTGCTAAAAATTAGTTAAGGTCACCAAATTATGTTGAAAATTTGACCAGATGAAGGATATGCTGGCAATTTGATCACTACACTTAACTGCAGTTGTAAAACCCTATCCTGTAATATTGCAAATCTACTCACCATTGCCAAAAATGAGATTCTTTCCCATAAGCACGTCTACAGGGATTATGATTTCTGTACATAGATCGGTTATGAGGCATAGTGCAAGATCTAGTCATAGAACTATAGTCAAAGGTTTAGGATGACAAATATCCCCAAAAAGATCTGTAGTTCTATAGTCTTTCCGATGATTCATCGAGGAAAATCTGGAAAAAAACAAATGATTTCAATCGTCAATGGTTTGACAGCAGATTTCCAAAGTTCAATCTAATTTCTGGTTTATGCTAATGAATGTGTTTCAAAGATGAACCAAATTCGTCCAGGTTTCCCCTCCAAACCCGAGAGAACCTCCAGCTGAATCCTTATCAAAATGAACCAAATTCGTCCAGGTTTCCCTCCAAAGAGAGACCCCAGCTGAACCTTATCAACCAAATCGCCCCCCCCCGGGAACCCCCCCTTAAGCTTCGTCGGTTTCCCCTCCAAATCCGATTATTTCTGTCTTCTCACCAACGCGATCGTTTTTTTGATGAAAAATTGAAGAGAATTAAGTAGAATGAATCGTCATTTCCTATTTTCCTTGTCTGTCAATCGAATTTCATTTGCCTGATCCAAGACACATGAATTTCATCTTAATTTCATCTTAATTTCATCGCATTTCATTCCCAATGTCACAATCTCCTCCTGGAATCTGTTCTGAAGTCCTGGATAGTTTTTTAGAACTTTCTATTCTATTAGATCAATTCTTGTTTAGCTTAGAGCTAAGAATAGACTTACAGTATGCAGATGAAATGCATTTGCATACTGTATGTCAGTCTTTCAGTCGGGCCTTTTAAGATCCTCAAAAAAGGGTAGCAAAAACAGCAGCTTGAGAGAAAAGGGCGAGGAAAAGCAACGGAATCAATGTGCTTCCATGGTGGATTGCCAGAGCGTCCGTCTTCTAATCCAAGGATGTAGGGTTCGGTCCCGCCTGCAGTCACTAAGTCAGTTTTTGGCGAACACCCGGGCCCTTAGTTCCCAACTTTTCTATTTTACTCCGTTATGCCAGAGAGAAAACATTGAAATTTTTACTTGTACGATACTTGTTACTGTAGCAAAAGACTGGGATTAGTACTTTAATAATTAAATAAAAATAAAAAAGTATTTTAATAATTTAAAAATTTACCTCAAAAGCCTCAAAAGACTCAAAAGTTAGACCTTAAATGAATGATCGATAGCGTTTTGTGTTTAGCAAGTTAAGAACAAACAAACAAACAAACAAACAAACAAACAAACAAACAAACAAACAAACAATTGTATAAAATAGAGAGAACTGCTATTTTTTAAGATCAAAATCTCTCTTCCTTTAAATGAATCAAAAAAACAAGAACTGGCAAGCTTGTTTTTAAATCAAACACCGAGCTTATTCTGTCCCCAATTTCCAACGTAAATTTACAACCTTTTACACCCGTTTCCCCCATCATTGACTCATCTCTTTTTCTAGATAATCGTCGTCATTCGATTTCTTTTCGCAAATTTTTCAAGTGATTTCTCTTTTTTTCCCCCTTCTCTCACCCCCATAATCATAACATTTTCCTTGGGTAAACAAAAATCTTCTTTCAAATTCTTCTTCCACTTCAATCTTCAAAAAAAAATCAAAAATCAAAATTCTTCAAATCGAAATTTTATTTTGCTCATTTTTTGGCTCAAAAATATATTTTGTCTAAAGTTTCTAAAGTTTTTTTTAGTTTTTTTAGTTTTTTTAGTTTTTTTTCTCGTTCTTGTAACATGACGTTCTCGTAACATAAAAAAAAATCGATTTTTATGTCTTTTTTTCTTTAAAAAACTGAACTTTACAAAGATTCAGCTATTTTTTATTGACTATTTTCTTCCAAATGGGAATGGGAACGGGCACGGGTCTGATGCTCGACGATCATCATTTGGTACCCGCTGTACGGGTCATCAAATTGTATCCATTGCAAAGGCCACAGAAACAGCTCGTCTGCTCACTCAATCATCAAGGTTTTAATTATTGTTTTTAGCTACTGTACTGGACAATGAAATATGATATTTGAAAAACGATCGTCACTTTCGCGCGTCTGTAACTCCCTTGTCTTTGGGTTTAAACTATTAGTGTTATACACTTTCTGAAAGCTCTTTTCAAGGGCTACACAATGGTAATATTAATATTTAGAAATACGGTAAAGACAAGGGAGTTACAGACGCGCGAAAGTGACGATCGTTTATCAAATATGATATTTCATTGTCCAGTAGTGTACCATTTTACTTGTTTTCTAAATTCTATCAACTTACGAAAACTACCGTTACTTTATCTCTACTTGTTATCTAAACAATCGACTTTTCTTTTCCTTCTCAACCTTTACAGAAACAGCCTAGAACTATCGGTTAGCTTACGGTATTTGCTAAAAGCTAAAAGTTATCTGTTTTAGAAAACGAATTACTCGAAAGATACAGAAAGCCAAAGAAAAATCAAGTAAAACATTAAAAAGTAATTCTATCAACGAACACTTACAATAACACCATTCTATACTTGTTCTGGCTATAAGACTTACCCCTAATTCCTCAAAACTTTCAACCTGAACCCTTTCTGCTTCCTCTTTTCTTCTACTTCCTTCAACCTAAACCCCTTCTGCTTCCTCTTTTACTAGACTCTCCTGAGTTTTGTTTCTAAATAACATTAGAAACAAATAGAATTCTTTTTCTTATCTTTCACTCAATCTTTTTCATCTCTGAGTAAATGTAAAAGAGAATTGACGTCGTTTCATTGAGAAATAAGAAATTCTGAAGACAAGACCCTATCTTTGGAAAGAATTATGTTGTTAACACCATGTTAAGCACCGCTAAGACTTTAGAAATAGATCGATCGATTTGATCTTTGATAAGAAACGAAATGATTTCATTTTTTTTCGATTACATCGCTCTTTAGATGATGTATTTCTGTGGATACCGGACGAGTACACGAAAATCGTGAACGATATGAGAAAGGCGAATATTATAAAGGTGGGAATAGATTAAAGATTAGATTTGTAGATTAAAAGAGTTTTTTTTTCATCAATTTTTCAGGATAATCGAGTTGGTCTCATCAAAATGTACAAGAACTCGTTTAAAGGACAAGATTTTATCGATTGGATTATGAAAGAAAGAGGGATAAGTAAGGGAAATCAGTAAAGAGAAGAATTTCACATTATCTTAACAAATTGACAATGAGTTAAAGTTTGTTTTGTTCGTTTTGTCATTTTCAAATTCTAAGGCTAATTGCAATAGCTTTGAAAGCTTGTTTGAAAGCTTTCAATAGCTTGCAAACTTTCAGAGAAATCGGAAGCTCTTGAAATTGGACAAGAATTGATCGATCGACATTTTGGACAACAAACGAGCAAAGAAAGAGGAGAAACGTTTAGCCCGGATAGGTGAGAGAAAAGAAAAGGAACGAAAAGACTGCATAGATTCTATTGTTTAACTTTTCACATTCTAGATACTATCAATTAGTGGAAGATGATGAGAATAAACCGCTAAACGCTGGACAAATCGGTGGAGAAGCTGATTCAGTGATTAGGTGAGTAAAAGAAACCCATTTAGTCAGGCACCAGAGCCAGGCACCAGAGCCAGGCATTCCCTTTATTCCCTAATTTCTTTAGTGTCGATGAGTTCAACACAAAATTGGTGAAAATTGTGCAACCGATCTATGACAGTATATTGAGCGATGATAAACAGGTAGTGGATCAAAAAACTATCGCGCCGCCGGGACTCGAACCCTCCACCTTCCGCTTACCGAGCAACTGCGCTAACCACTATACTACAACGCACTTGACGCCGCTTCCTCCACAGGGGGCTAAGTCAGGTGCTCATTTAAAATCGCCCTCAAAATACTTTTTAGACAATTCACTACCATCGTCTTGTAGACAATGAGCATTTCAATCAATATTTATCTTTCATTCGCGATTTGAGTCGAGTCGATTTGACAACATCGACGATCGATCAAAGGTAATAAATAAATAAAGAAATAGCTTCCTAGCTTCCCAGCTTCCCAGCTTCCTAGCTTCCCTAGCTCCCTAGCTTCCTAGCTTTCTAGCTTCCTAGCTTCCTAGCTTTCTAGCTTCTTAGCTTCCTAGCTTCCTAGCATACCATTCCACCTTTTCCAGACTAGCTCTAATGATCAATGTCTACAATATGATGACAATTCACATCACTCAACGATTCGGACCACCAGTCGGCGTCTGGCAAAGAAGAAAGGTATGAAAAGATGGCTAAAAACAATCTTGACCTAAATCCTGATTCAAATCCAGGTCTTCAACAGCACTTATTATATTATTGGTGGTCACAACTATTCCCTAAACTCTATCTTGAATGGAGTTTTGCGAGGAAATCGTAAAGGAAATGGTTATTTATGGAAACCGTTCGGGAAACAGGATTTACGATTACCGGTTAGAAAATTTCGATAAGAAATCTGAAAAAAATAACAAATCACTTCAATTCTTCTTGAGTACAGAACTAAAGTATTAGTCTTTTTCTTTTCTGTAAGTCTTTTTTCTGTACTAAAGTACAGAAAAAGAAGCAATAACTGATAAGATGAATATCTTTAATTTAATTGCCAAAAAGGTATTTAGATAGGTCTGCAATGATTGGAGAGACTAGAGAAAAATAGAATCTGAATTCAGATTCAGTTCAAGAAAATAGAATCTGAATATCTGAAGATGAGTAAAATGAAAATTCAGTTGGTGATCGAGAATGGAGAGCCATTAGCGTTTTTCGGAATCAACATTGGAACGCGACATTCACCGCCATTGAGAGTCTATTCAACAAATGTGAGAAATCAGAAAAGAATATTGGTATTGGAGAGTATGATATTGGAAAGATTTCAGCGTGTGCGCGAGGAATTGATCGAACAAGTGCATAAAGTGTTGGACTCGGAGAATTGTTTGCGCTTTGAAGCAAAAAAGAATGTCGTTTTGTTGAGCAAGATCTTCAAGTGGCATTCGGAAGATTTCGGGAACAGTGTGGAAAAGGTATTGGAGAATTATAAGTAGCCAAAATCATAATTTGGGCTCAAAAGGTATTGAAGAATTATAAGTAGCCAAAATGATCATTTGGGCATAAGTTCTCTGTAATTGGGATAAATTTTAGATACTTGAATGGGTTGTTGAAGCATTGCAGGGTTGTGAGACAGAGAAAGCGAAAACAGTGACAAAAATGTTTTTCACCGGCGAGTACAAGGTGAATTTTCGTACGAATTTTCATCATTTCATAGAAATACGATAGAATTCGAGTTTAGATCGTTTAGCTTAAAAGAAATTTCACAGGTTGCCTACATTCACTACGATTGGGCATTTAACGGGATCGAGCGAAACAACAACACGAAACCGAAGCCGAAATTAGAAAGGCTGAAAGGAGATTTAGTAAGAGTGAAAGGCGATAATTTAGAATTTTTGAAATAATGATTTCAATGAGATAGAGACTTTTCTTTTATCAACTCTATCAAAAAGCTATTCAGGCAAGCGACTCAAACTCCCTTCACACTCCAATCACCGGACATCTCAGCCCAAAGAGTCCCCAATTCGACTTTGAATCCTCTTACAGGATGTAAACCAATTAAAGATACTGTAAAAAACCCCCAGTAATCTGCTACTACAGTATGCCAAAATACAGGACAGTACAAGTACAGTACTTTTACTGTAATAGGATAAAAGACTGGGGCTTTACAGTACTTTTGAGTGCTACAAATTCTCGAATTCTTTCATTTTCTCAAACCCACCGATAGCTCTCGGATCTTTGTCTCGCATCCAAATCTCTCTTCAAAAAGGATCCCGAATTTTTCTTCTTATTCGCCTCCGTCTCTCGAAGAACCTAAAATTTTTCGTTTTTGAAGCATATTTTTGTTGGTTTAACCTTTTTGCGCAAGTTCGTGTCCTCACAAAAGCCCTCTTCTTCAATTAATCTAAATTTCTCTTTGTTTTTTTCCTTTTTCAAATTTTCTAACTGTTTCATTGCGATATTCGCCAATTGAGACGCCAATTTGTAGGTGTCTTCAAAGTTCAAAAACATTGAGAAATCGTAGCGATTGTCCCGCGTTGTAACTGAAATTTCTACAATGACCAAACCATTTTCTCTCTTTACCAGAAAGTCCTTGGGGCAAAATCAATGTTGTGACTCGTTCCAATTTCTGGAAATTTCTCCTTTGCAATATTTTTGCGTTGTTGATTTATACCGTGATGTCCGTCCATTTCAATTTGATTTTTGTCTTTTTGCCCATAATAAATGAGTAAAAGCAGAGGAAATTGACGGAAAGATAGAGATGGCCTTGTAGAGGGACATGGCCAACGAATAAACAGCACGTGTAATCTGAAATGCCATATTTATTCACGAACATTGCTATTTTCATGCAAAATGAACGATAAATTTATGAGAATTCAAGTTTAGACTCATGTAGGGTAGAAAAGTAGCATTTACCGTTTTGCTTTTTTAAACTCACAATTCACTAATCGTTCCTCGAAAGGAAGCTGGAAGAGTCGTTGAAACTTTGTGAGCACGTTCCGATTGTTTAGTGAATCAGCATCTTCTAGAAAGTATTTACATATCGTGCATGAATTCTGAATTTTGTATTGCCAACTTGGCACCGTACTACAACAGAAGACACTTTGATATGTGTTTTACCTGCGTTTGGATGATCACTGGCCACATTGACGAGACTTTCGATTTTGCACTGCACAAATCGTCGCACATCTTTTTCGAGATCAAAAGAAGCTGAACTGGTATTTAGATAGAATTATTCTTTTTATCTATTACCCAAGGTGTCCATCAGATTCTTTCCCAACCATTCCCAGTGCTCGAGGATTTCTTTTCGATGGACCGCAACAGCCACGACTAAAATGCCTTCGTTAGCTGATGATTTTTTTGATTTACCAAAAGCGACATATTCCACATCGTTGTCACTCTCGTAGATGATCCTGTATGGAGCCGGTCGAGTGTCGAACACCTAAACTGAAAATCATTACATTTATGCCGATGTAAACTTACCGAATCAAGTGTGGCCACGAGGATCGAGCTTAGCCCTTTCGTTCCATGCCCTTTGCGGCGTTGCACGGCAAAATAGGGGTTGCGCAGCTCAACGACCCTAAAATAAACAACTGTTTAAATACCAAAATGTTGTTAAACTCACCATAGCGGCTGTGCGATGGCAAGCGGCTCGGGCTTAACCCACACCATGCATACGGAGCTATCTAAAATTTATTCATTTTCCAACGATACATAAGGAATCATCTTAAAGAAATTTAAACGAAAACCATACACAACGGCTAGATCAAAAATTTAAACTAATTTCATTACAAACATTCAACTACAAAGAAAGCAGTGGTTTACTCGACAATCTACAACTAGAAAATGACATCCAGTTCAATTTCAAATACAAAAGCAATAGATTGTAGTCGGAGTGAATTGTGTAGAGCAATTTACAAGCGCCACCACCACATTCGCTGTCGGATGTAGCTGTACTCGGGGAAACCTTCGGTGCGTCCCACACCGGCTGTGGCAATGTCCCTATCGTAGATGTGACGGTTCATAGCCTGTCCGATCGAGTTGGCGGATAAGTTGCTCAATTGTTCCTCAACATCGGCCAATGAACGAAGGTGACCCGTGTACAAAAGTTCCTTGGCGTTGAACTTGGCCTTTCCGGTGTTGGACTCGACTTTGCTGAAGAATCGGTTGCGGTATTGATTTATCAATCCCTCAACCTCTTGAGCTTCCAAAGCACAAGCCATGTGCTTCCACTCCTTTTGGATGATCGAATGGATATTGGTGACATTCTCGAAATCTTTTCCATCGGCCACAAAGTACACCCCCCAAAGACCGGTATTCTTGTAGTTGATGTTGAATTGCTCAAAACCGTGAAGCCCGTATCCTTCAACAAGTCGTTGCACGTGTCTCTTGGGTGCGTTGTGTGAGGATCCATGAGTGGCATCCCACTGACCGATTCCGTTGGCCACAACAGCCAAAGGAAGAGCATCGGCATGTCCGTATCCAACTCCTTCCACGGCGATTGCGGCAAACATTGCTGGAAATTTGTCGTTTCGGAAACGGAATTCGGATCCAGTGAAACGGATGCCCAAATCGCTGGGCACTTTCCCAGGGTACTCGTTCGACAAATCACCAAAGTATTTCTCAGCAAGTCCAACAAGCTTTCCGTGTTCCGCTCCTCCACCAACAGCCGAAAGCACCATTCGAACAGGACGGTAGTTGTCGGCTTGCCATTGTCGAATCTGATCAGCTGTAATTTCCTGGATGCTCTTCGTGGTTCCGTGTGGATAATGGGCAAGTCCTGTTCCTTGGAAAGCGGTAGTGTGAAGCATGTCGAAGGTCAAGTTTTGGTAGTTTCCCTCCAATTCATCAAGTTTGTTCAACAACACTTGACGTTCTTTCTCAACAGCGGCAGCATCGAGCTTCGGGTTACGAAGGATATCGGCAACGATGTCGACCACTTTCTCGACATCCTTGGAGGCGGCTTGCACATAGTAAGCTGTGTGATCACGTCCAGTTTCCGATGAAAGAGAAGCTCCAAGGCCAGCCAATTCTGTCTCGAGCTGTTGTTGCGTTCTCTTGTTGGTGCCCTTGTAGAGAAGATGCTCAAGAAATGAGGAAACGCCGCTGTTTTGTTGCGTCTCGAAACGGCTGCCATTCTCGACAAAGATCCCAATAGTGACGGTTGGCTTTCCATTGTCCTCGGAGACTACGCGGAAACCATTCTTCAACGAAGTGACATGAGCAGCCGGGGCCGATTCGAGGATCTGCTTGGTGGCGGCAGCAGAAGCACTTCGCGATGACTGAAGTGTGGCGATCGGACGCACAAGCTGACGCAAAGACATTACCTGAAAATAGAAAAGATAGTTGTGGCAAAAAAACAAGAAAATCTAAACAATATAACATAGACAAATATCTTGGCTAAATGTGGGGCAATAATAGCAAATTTAGGGGTTTAACGCAATCTTGTATCAAAAATTTAAAGTTTAATTGTTACGTTACAAGAGATAATTAAAAAGAAGCATTGCCACAGGCGCACAAAATCTAAAACTAAACGTTCTTTTCCTAAACAAGACCTAGTAAACGCTTAGTGTGTATGTAAAGGGTATTAAGCTGTACTCGTTGATAAATGAGACCAAAACACACTCAAATATCTAGAGGGGCGTGACAAAAATATGTAGAAAAGGTGTAGCTCAGTGTTTGCGTGAAATTAATGCCAAAATTAAGTTTGCGAATCAAAAAGAAGTTAGTGTTAAATAGAAAGCACCGATGCGATGAATAAATTTAAAATCCGTCATTGTTTTTCCACCATAAACATTTTCTATTTTGCCCTAACTTCGGTTTTGAAGCAAAGCTGCTATAAAAACTTTAAGAATTTGCATTTTTATGCGCAACGACCCATAAGCTTACATACCGTAAATACTGTAATAGTACCCCACCCCCCTCGTACAGTCGCGTAGTCGCAAAAGTTTTTTAGTATTTCATTTTTTTCAAAGCGCCCGTACTTTCAAAAAATGCGTCTTTGGTATCAAAAAAATAGCTGAAATTCAGAGCTATTTTTTGATACCTAAGCGCGCATTGTAGCATAAACCAGTGTCGAGAAAAACTCGTTCAAAGCTAAACTACGCAACACTCCACACCGTCATTATGGGGCTGGGGTACTATTACAGTATTTACGGTAGGTAATTTTTAAAAACAAGAAGCATACTGTAATTATTCGCAGCTTTAGCTAATTAAAGAGAACTAAAAACAACTTTTTTTGGGCATTCTCAAAATAAACTTTCCAATTACCAAATGGTTTCTTTATTTAGAAACGGCTTCTTGTGTGATTTCCGATAAAAATTGTTGTTTATAGGAAATTTCTCGTATCTGTCAACAACTCTGGACCAGAGATTATCGAAAACTCAACATCTGTAATTTGTTGTAGTTTTTCAGTGGTTCATTGTGTCAACTACGAATACCAAATTTCTCTTTCACCAATTAGTCTGTTCTTTAATTTCTGAGCCTATCTTTCCCCTTCTTTTCTATAGCTTTTCCCTTTACACCAAAGTCTCCATGGAGATATGATCAACTTTTTGTGTCTTTTGTTTTCTGAGAAAATGAAAAGATCTATGGAAAAAGAGGGTCTTTTTTATATGGTTTCTCCGTCATAGACTTCACTCGAAACATATCCGTTAGACTTTAATGTTTTTGTCCAACAATTTTATTAGTCTTTTCAGAAAATCTTTCGTTCCTTTCCATACTTCCGTTCAAAAATAATTCCGTTCAAAAATAATTCACCAATTAACCTACCGTAAATACTGCAATAGTACCCCACCCCCCTCGTACAGTCGGGTAGTCGCAAAAGTTTTTTAGTATTTCATTTTTTTCAAAGCGCCCGTACTTTCAAAAAATGCGTCTTTGGTATCAAAAAATAGCTGAAATTCAGGGCTATTTTTTGACACCCAAGATAATGACGGTGCGGAGTGTTGCGTAGTCTAGCTTTGAACGCGTTTTTCTCGACACTGGTTTATGCTACAATGCGCGCTTAGGTATCAAAAAATAGCTGAAATTCAGGGCTTGTTTCACGAATAGTCAAACCTCATTGCTATTTGTAACAGTTCAAAAGCTGTTGTTGTTCATTTCAAAGTTTGCCTGGGATTCAGATTGATCAGAGATCTGATCTAAACTCGAGGATTAAAATGGATTGCGTCTATCTTGGGAAACAAATTCATCCATGTACAATCGAATCTGAACAGCAAGCCTGATCATGTCCAGTTTGGTTTCAGTTGAATTATTCCAGTACTGTAACTAAACTGTCCTAGTGTTCTAGTGTTCTAGTCCTAGCGAAAAGCTCTCGTAATCTCAATGTCTAGCCTCTAGCAAAAGCACTTACAGTAATCTTCATTTTAAAAAAACTTAAACACTTCCTAATGGGTGAAATAATCGATAGTAGGCTCAACAAACCGAAATACGGTATTTTTTATCTTTTTTTATCTTTTAGAAAACACTTTGTTGAGAGAAGCTTATTCAAATTTTAACTCAAATATTCTTAAAATGATTTCTTAACTTGAACTTTACACAAGTACAAGTTTCCCACAAAAAAAAAACAATAAAATCAATCATTAAATTCCGGTGATGGCCTCAAAAAGTGACTTGTCTGTGTCATGACCGAAAAAGCCAACACACCAAAAATTCTCTTTCCCTTCTCGACTTTTTTTTTCTTTCTTCTATGCTTTGTTTGCCTTTCGAGATTCGTTGCCAAAAGTATCGACTCGATTGGAATGAAAAAAAAAGGTGAAAAGAGAGGTGCTCTGTTGCACAGACCCACCTCTCCCCAATCTATCAACTCTCCAAATTCTCTTCTAGAGACTGCTCTCTCCTTCCCCCAAAAATCCTCTATTCTCTTCACTTATCACCTGTTTTTGAAAAGAAACGATTTTTAAACGAAAGAACACGAGAATCTTTTCATCAGAAGTTAAATATTGAGATTTTTCTGCTTAATTTTGCTTGATATCCAGATATCCAGATATCCAGCTTGATTGATATCCATATCCAGCTTGATTCTTAGTCCAAAACTCATCCATTTCCTATTTTACATTAGCTTTCACCATAAGCCAATCTATTTTCTTAACAATTTTCATCATTTCAATCATTTCAATCATTTCAATAGCTTGTTTTTATGATCAAATGACCTCTTTCGAAAGGGGCAAAAGAGAGGAGAGGCAGAGAGTTGTTTACGACGGTTTTCTCAATCTACAAAAAAAATTCTCTTCTCCCAATTCAATAACTAAATAAACCCCTCAAAAACTTATTAAACCATTTCTAACCACAAAAATTAATCACAAATTAAATCCTAAAATTTATTGGATGAATGAAATTTGTTATTGCCTTTGAATGATCACTAAATTTCTCATCAAATCGCTTCAGTTTTTCCCGGTTTTTAAATCCCTCAAGGATTTGTTATTTTTTATTCTTTTTTTACCATTTAAAGGATGTAAGAGATGAGATGAGATGAGAAAAAAAAAGGTGAAAAACAAAAAGTGCAACGAGACAGCCCCCTAAACTCTTTTTTTTGCCTGTTTTTCTCAATTTTTACATGATTTCTCTTCAAATTTTCTCTGATTCTCTATTATTTGAAAGTTCTGAAATCTTTCAATCACTCTTTAGCAGAGATCTCTCTTTTCCTTTCTACAGTACTCCTCTTTTGGGGGAAGACTTTGATCAGACTCTCTCTCTCTTTGAGAAGATCAGTCTCTTCATTCTTTTTCCGTCAACATTTCCACACTTACCACCAATTTCTTAACGAATTTTGGATTTAAAAGTTAGAATCCCACCTAGCCAAGGCAATGATAACTTTGCTCTCTCGGTGTCGGGAGGCACTTTTATGTAGTGGTAACGCTACATCTTATGCCCTATCAGATGGCCTTGCTCGTTGGGTGAATCCTAGCGAGTTGCCGAGTCCTAGCGAGTTGCCAAAGCCGGATCAGTCTCTTCATTCTTTTTCCGTCAACATTTCCACACTTACCACCAATTTCTTAATGAATTTTGGGTTTAAATTGTTGAAATGATATGAAGTTGATCCTTTTTTTCTGTTATAATTGTTCTTGTTATCATTTTCTTTGTCATTTTTCATCATCAAAGTCAGAGATCAAAATCTTTAAGCTATTTTGTGGGTTTCTTATCTTTTTAAAACTCATTTCATCATTTCAAAGCTCAAATCAATCGATTTCATTTAAGAATTGAGCTTTTCAACAAATTATAGCAGTTAAAAAGAATAAAAGAAAGTTATAGAGTTTTAAAACAGATACTGTTTATCAGATTTACTGATAAACAGTATCTGTTTATACTGTTTAAAACTGTTTGTTAATACTGTTTGTTAATACTGTTTAAAACAGATACTGTTTTATACTTATTTGTCTCAGCGATTGTAGTTTAAGCGATTGTATTTAGTTTAAGATCTTAGTTTTTTTGTTTTAAGTCAAAATCCAATATTCTAAAGTCCTAAAGTCGTTTGGTTGATCAGTTGGCAAATGAATTTACACCAGCTCACTAACAGGTAACAAGCTAATAGTGTAAAGGAATCTTTTTTCTCATTGTACGGTGTTCTCATTGAACGGTCAGTTTTCCACAGAACTTGAAGTTACTCTAAACTTGATTTGCCATCTTTACAACCTTTATATCTTTAAACTTTAAACTACAAACAACTTTAAACTACAACTTTAAACTACAAACAACTTTAAACTACAAACAACAACTTTAAACTACAACTTTAAACTATAAACTACAAACATCTTTAAAAACTCCTCCCTTCCACCAAAATCACCTAAAAACATGTTTTTCAAAAAATCGAAACGCAAAAGAAGTTAGAAAGCTGAGGCAATGAAAAAGCGCTATATTAAAAAGGTTTGCAAAAGTAAAAGCAATTTTAGTAAACGGAACGAGAGAAAACAGCTTTGAGCGTTCACTTATTTTCCAATCTCTTTCGCTAGAGCTTGAATTGTCTCGAATCTCCTCAAATCTCCTCTATTTCTTCATTCTTCTTCTATGCTCCCCTCAATTTTCCCTTTTGGCACAACCTCAAAACAACATCTGAATATAGGCACTCAAAGAGAGAAAAAGACGGCAAAAAGAACCTCCGAGAGCCCCAAAAACGAAAACAACTTTTTTCCCCCGTTTCCCCATTTTTTCTTCACCCCTCCTCGTGTCAACAATTGATTATTTCACTTTTGTTTTTCTACTTTTTCCCCATTTTCCCAATTTCATTATTTATTTCAACAAATCAGCTATTAATCAATCAGCTATTATTCGATCAGCTATTATTCGATCAGCTATTATTCGATTAGCTATTATTCGATCAGCTATTATTCTATCAGCTATTAATCAATCAGCTATTATTCTATCAGCTATTAATCAATCAGCTATTATTCTATCAGCTATTATTCGATCAGCTATTATTCTATCAGCTATTAATCGATCAGCTATTCCTCTTCCTATTATTCGATCAGCTATTCCTATCATTTATCACACGTCACCTTCTTTCTGTTTTTAGATTTCATTCTTGCGCAATCTCTTTTTCTCTTTTTTGTCTCTTTTTCTGTTTCTCTTTTTTGAAATAGCTGAAAAATTGATCTAAGAAATATCCTAGAGTTTTCAAAAATAGCTCAACTTTCACAAATTTCTCAATTCAACTAAACTCTATCGTACTTTGAAAGGGTTTTGTCCAAGATTTTGAAAGCTTTCCCCAAAAGGTTTCTTATTTTTTCAGAAAGCTAAATCTAAATGAAACTTTTTTACACAAAGTTTGTATTATCTAAGTTAACTATTATTTAATTTCTATTATCTTTTATTAGATCTATCCGGGAAATTTGGTTACTGTATGTCTTAAGTCTTGTCTATTACTGTAGTCTTGTCTATTACCGTAGTCTTGTCTATTACCGTAGTCTTGTCTATTACCATAGTCTTGTCTATTACCGTAGTCTTGTCGCTTTCTTCTTTTGAAAATTGAACTCAAAAAGAGTTTTATGTCTTTTGAATCCAATTTTTATCCAATCCAATTCGATTTTTTTTTCTTTTACAAGCCATTTACAAATGATCGTCAACTTTCAAAACAAAATCTGATAAATTTGCTTTTCTTTCTTTTCTTTCTTTCTTTTCTTTCTTTCTTTCTTTCTTTCTTTCTTTCGATAATCTTTTCGCTTCTTTGAATCCCCTTTAAATATTGCTTATCGAAATCTATGACTAATGTAACTTAAAGCCTTTTTAAAATCTATATTATCTTTTTATTTGATCAATTTTCTCTATTAGATGCCAAAAAGAAAGCTGTTGATCGATCCGGTACTTGAGGGATATATTGGCAAATATGAACCACAAGATGAAAGTGATCTGCAAGGAAATGGTAAAGGATTTCAAAAGATCGGCTAAACTAAAAAGATAACTAAAAGGTTTAAGAAAATTATAAAATAAGATTATCTATTTAAACGAAAAAATAGATCAAAAGAGAAATCTATTTCGAGATCTTTCTGGAGTTTTACCAGCTCCAGAAAGATCTCGAAAAGGGATTGTATCGGAAATCCTCAATGAATTAATCCAGGACCAAAAATTGGCTTTTGAAAGTGAAATCTAGGAAAAATATTTGATTTTTAGATAGTTTTTAGATCAATTTTGTTATCTAATTATTATGTTTATCTAATTATTATTATCTAATCGACTTTCAGCCATGTTCCCATCAATATTTGCCTCAACAAGTGATCAACAAGACACAGGCAAATTGATTTGCGATGTTTGTGGAGATGTGGCTTTTGGAAAACATTATGGAATAAATGCGTGTAATGGTGAGTTGTTTGTAAAGGGGAAAACATATTCAGCTAATGGATAAAATAGGTTTTTTTTTTCAATTGGATGGGTTTTCTATTAACCTATCTTTTCTATGAATAAGATTCGGGAAATTAATAAGGAAACATCATTGAAACAGAGTGGAAATTCGAATTGAATGTACTGAGATAAAGATTTAAAGATAATTTTGTAAGTATACATTTATCTTTTTTGAGTACTTTGTGAATTTGGGGTTGGGGATTGGGAAAGGCTGGCTGGCTGGCTGGAAAGGCTTGCTGGCTTAACACTCATTGACAGTACAGCCAAGTACTGTACCCTTGTACTTGGATTACTGTACTTGCGCAACTGTACCTGGGTCTACTGTACTTGGATTCCTGTACTTGGATTCCTGTACTTGGATTACTGTACTTGGATTACTGTACTTGAATTCCTGTACTTGGGCATACTGTAGACAAACTCTACATAATCTTTCCAGGCTGCAAGGGTTTCTTTCGTCGTTCGGTGTGGTCTCGTCGACAGTACACGTGCCGTTTCGGCGGTGATTGTCCTGTGGTGAAAGAGCATCGAAACGTTTGTCGATCATGTCGATTAAAGAAATGTTTCGAAGTGGGAATGAATCCTGATTGTGAGTGTTTCCGAAGAAATTAATGATATCAAAATTCAGCCGTTCAAAACGAGAGGGATCGACACAGAGCACATCGAAAGAAAAAAGGATTGGATCAACAGACACAGGTTGGCAAAGGGCACTTGAAAACAACGCGTGTTTTCAATGGGGAATATTGATTGTTTCGTTTTAATTCTTACTGTAGCCTACTGTGTACAGTACTTTACAGAATACAGAACACTTTGCTTAGTGTAGTCGTCTAAAAAAACGTTTTCTAAAGTCTTCTTCTAGCTAGTTTATTCGAAATCCTGATTTCCATTGGCTTAAATAAAAATCACAACTAAAACTTTACATTAAATCTATTTTGACTTGAGTTTCCAACTTCTAAACCAGTTTCCAAGTACAGATTGCTTTCAGACCGAATGCCCAAATGGTGGACCGGCGTGGATGGAGAAAACGATTAAAATCGAGCGCGGTCCGACCCCGTCCGATCAAATTACTGATGTAAAGTTTTGAAATAAAATCAATTTTCTAACTTTTCCTTTCCAGGATCTCCCAAATCCGTGCTCTCTAGAGAATTGCATCATTGCCGAGCATTTGCTACAATTGGAACACCAAGTAAGCAATAGAAACAACTTGATTTACCAATAGAATAGTCAAATATAAAATTTGATGAATACTTTTACCGTCATCGTTTTCAATCTTTCATTCAGCTCTTCCAAAACGCTCCCTCTCCCTCAAAGTTCAGTCCCTATTCACCAGTCAGCACTGATCTACCATTTGAGGTTTATTTATAATATAGCTATATCTAACTACTTTATAATATAGCTATATCAAGATATCATATCACAAATCTCTTTTCTAGGTTCTCTTTCGTAAGCCTGAACTCGTTTGTCCCCGATATCCGATGCATTTTAAAGCAGAGAAAGCGTTGACAGTGGAAGCGCTTATTGATGGTAAAAAAATTGCAACAATGTAAATAAAGAAAAGAAATGAATGGAAAAGAGGAATGGAAAAGGAACCATGGGATTGAACCCTGGAGCTTTTGTGTTACGGGGAGATTCTCTAGCACTGAGCTGTTGGTGCCTTGTTTAATCAAGAAGAAATAGGAAAGACAAGGAAGAAAGAGAGGGAAATATCCGGGTTTTTCAAAACCGTAATACAAATTTAGATATGATTTTACAGTAACGTAATACTACAGTAAAACATCTAATATCAAAATCTAAATCTAAACCTAAACCTAAACCTAAATCTAAAACTACCTGAAAATTTGCCAGGATGCTCCTATGGGGGGCGCATGAGCATCGCCAAGCGGGTGTGCCTTAGCTCCGGGAACTGGCTGAGATCCAGAAAATGGGGGTTCAGCCCAAACCCAAATAGACTTAGTGCGAGGCGCTAGCCGCTAGCCTTCGCACTAAGTCCAAACCTAAATCTAAACCTAAACCTAAATCTAAATCTAAACCTAAATCTTCCAGGTTGGCGTCGACACTTTGTCTATTATTCTGATTGGGTACGCGGATTGGACGATTTCATTTTTCTCTCTGAGCCCGATCAAGATTGTTTGGCGAGAAGGAGATTGGTGCATCATGGATGGTTTGTTTTCAATTCAAAGCCACAATTAACGATTTAAGCTACAGTATTCTACATTATTTCAAATGAAAATCTTTAGCTTAATTAGAGAATTGAGCAGTCATTGTAGAAATAGGATACACAAGGAAGAGAGAGAGAGAAATACTCGATTTATCGATAGTCAGTGATGGGTTACTGTAGTCAGCTTTAGAATCTTTATTTAAGATATAAATTAGTTTATTTCTTAAGACATTTGATTAGCTCAATAAATTTTAGGCTTTTAATTAATTAATATTTAATTAATAAAATTGTAGGATCAGTCACGCGTACTACTCAGCAAAATCCCCAGAGACGGGGCTCTGTTTCGCGAATGGATCTTTTCATCCGTATGGAGAATCACTTCAACGATTCACTCCTGATACTAAGTAAGCTAAATTTTATAATTTATAATAATTTTATATGAAATTTGCTTAGAATAAGCTAAAGAAAAGCTAAAGAAAATGAATACTAACAAGTTTTCAAATCAATTTCCCAGATGCGAAGAGTTCTATCGTAACTCGATCGGTCGTTTCGTCAACTACCTTGTCGCTCCAATGCGATCAATTGATTTAGATGAAACGGAAATGGTTCTTCTCAAAGCAATAACTTTCTTTGCGGAAAGTAAGAGGAAATTCCCTTTTATGTAAACAATAAACATTTCCCAGAAACTGGTCTATCAAATGAGGGAAAGATGGCGGTTGGGAGAGCGAGAGATCGATATATAAATGCTTTGTATGCACATATACGGTAAGCTAAAGCATGCTATAGATATTTAGGTTGTCTTCAGAAAGTCTTTTTTATCCCTTTATCCGTCTAACTTATCTTTACCATTCATTCAGACGATCCCGCTCTGATGGAGCGGCGACAGCGACGACTCGTTTGACGAGGATTCTCTTGTTTATGAGCACTGTTACGGTTTGGTTTTTGGAAAAAAAGGCTATAGATCTGTTATAAATTCTTTGTTAAACAGTAGTTTATTATGTTCAGTCTAGTTACAATTGTTTTTAACAGGCGCTGCCTAATTGCACCTAACAGGCGCTGCCATATTGTCTTTTTACTTCTCATCACAACTACCCTCATAGCTGATCTTATAGTTAGAGAATGATGAATGAATGAGAAGATCAATCTCTGATCTGATAATAAGCTATAAGATATTTTTTAGAGCCATTTTAGAGCCATTTTAGAGTCTTTAGAGCCATTTTAGAGTCTTTAGAGCCATTTAGAGCCATTTTAGAGTCATTTAAAGCCATTTTAGAGCCATTTTAGAGCCATTTTAGAGCCATTTTAGAGTCTTTGCCATTTGATGAACGAGAACGTGCAAATGTCGGCCGTCTTCTATACGATCGATTTTGATCAATTGATTAAGGTATTGCAGAATATTTGAATCGGCCACTGAACTGATTCGGCTGATCCATTCCATTCGGCCACTGAACAAGCATTTGATTTGAGCACTTTTAATCTTTATTTGAAGATTGATAAACTGAATTGAAATGGATCAATCTTGAAGACAAAGACAAAGATAAATGTGACGGTGAAAGGTGAAATGCTTTCGAAAACGGATTAGGTAACTAGTAAAAAAGAAGTGATTTCTTATTACTTGTAATCAATAACTATTCATTTTTGATCTTTAAAATAGACTTGAAATTTATTGAAATTATTTTCCTTCGTCTAGATCTAGATCCTGAAAGTTAGAGGCGTTTTTATAGTAGAATGAAAAGATTTTTTGCACAGACTAATAACAAATCTTCAATTGTACCATCCTAGCCTAGTTATCTCAAGCTCTCAAGCTCTAAAGCTCAAGTGACAAGTGGTTGTTCAGTAGCCGATGATGATCTCTGTCTCTCTGTCTCTCAAAGCCTCTCCCTTTGTTGGGAAGTGTCTCCATTCCAATTCTAGGATTCCCACTCGACCTCTCCTCGTTCATCTCCTCCAGCACATTCATCTCTCCATCCAACAATCCATCAATCCAATCAACAACCACATTCACATTTTGATCCATTCCTTCGCCAAACCACCGACAACTCTCAAACCCAACCCCCAGTCGTTTCACTTTCCGAATTTCATTGAACATGGCATGTGTTAAGATTTTTCTGGCTTATTTATTTAACGGTTCTTTCAGAAAATGACTTGATTCGATTTTGATTAGACTTACGCTTTCTAGCGCTTTCTAAAGCGCTTTCTAAAAGGTCAGCGCAGAAAGGGCTTTTAGTTTTTATAATTAATATTAAATCAAATTTCAAACAGCTTAGAAAAGACAGTCTCTAAGTTTTTATAATTAAAATTAAATCAACTTTCAAACAGCTCAGAAAAGACAATCTTTTAGATTTTATAATTAAAATTAAATCAAATTTCAAAAACTTTTTCTGTAACTTTTTCGGTACGGACCTTTTAGAAAACGTTTCAAAGTACAGCTTTTTTTAACACGTTGACGACAATGGCGTTTTTGCACAAACAATCGCATGGGACAACAACGCTGTTTTTTTTCGACAAAAAATGTCACCTGTCGTCGACACTGTCGCCAATGTCGTCGGCGTGTTAAAGTATCTTCCGGTACCTCCAAAATTCAATTAAAACCTTGAGAGATACTCATTTGTTTTTTTGCAAAAAAACTTTTATTTCAACGATTCTTTTTTCACTTTGAATGTTTTTATTCGGTTTTTCTTTTGTTTGTGATAGTCAAATGTAAATATTTTGTGAAGAAATTTCTGTGATAGTTCTATTCAAAATAAAACAATCAAACGATTATGCAAAGAAAGTTGAGCAAAAAAGAGAATGTTTTGTTTCATCAGAATGAAAATCTTTGTTTGATATTCAATTAATAAGGATAACACCATGCTTGGAGACAAAAAAAGAGCAAAAGTTGGGGTAGGCTAATTTCCGCCATTTTATTTGCACAACAGGGTCATTTGCGCAACTGGGTCCTTTGTGCAACTGGGTCCTTTGTGCAACTGGGTCCTTTGCGCAAATGGATCCTTTGTGCAACAGGGCCATTTGCGCAACAGGGCCATTTGCACAACAGGGTCATTTGCGCAACTCATCATAATTTTCTTCTAAGTAAACCAATCTTTATGATTTAGGTTTCATTTTGTAGATCTCAATAAGTGTAACAAAATGACACCAAAATCATAAAGATTGGTCGACTTAGAAGAAAGTTATGGCGAGTTACGCAAAAGACCTAGCGCAAAAGACCTGCGCAAAAAAATTTGGCGCAAAGTAGCCTATCCCCAAAAGTTTCGAAAAAAAAGCGGCTATTCAGGTAGTTTGATGGTTTCGGGGTACTGTAAGGGATATTGTAAAGAATTTTATGCTAAACTTTTATCACTTAAACGCTAAAGTACAGTTGATAGTTTGTTTCACAATGAATATTGCATCAAATTTCATCGATCTTCTTACTATTTTTTGAACTCCCTCACAGTTTTCCCCTTTAAATGGCACAAAAGACTAGGTCTCATTTGGAAAATTGGCAACATTTGTTGTTTAAAAATCTAGAATTTGAATAAATACAAGTAGTCGAAGCACACATGCGATTTCTCAAGGCACACACATAAAAACATCGTTACATAGAAAGATGAGCCGGGGAAAGAAACGCTTAATGACTGAAGAAGGTACATAAACTGTAGTACAGTAAAGTTTGAGATATTTGAGAGTTTAGCCTATCATTTCAATTAGAGTGTGTTCCTCGCGAGTAATGCGTTTTTTAAAGTGCAAAATTGGGAAAAAATTATCGTACTTTTAGCAAAAATTGTTGCAAAAAAATGACGAGCCCCGCATTATATATGACACTTTTAAAAGATACTCAGCCGTTTAACTGATTTTGTGGGAAATTCCCCTCCAATGTAAAAAATTATTTTTTTTTTTGAAAAACCTGGGGGGTGGGACAAATGCAACCTTTTTTTGCTGGAAAAGGCCTTAGGAAAGGTCGTAGAGTTTCAAAAATGTGTTCATAGGAGGGAATCGGATCCGTAGATTCCGAATTTCGACAAATCAGACCTCGCTGACACGTCAAATTTGGGCTAAAAGGCAAAAACTACGCAACTTAACGCTTTTCCGCAGTTTTTGCCTTTTAGCCCAAATTTTACGTGTCAGCGAGGTCTGATTTGTCGAAATTCGGAATCTACGCAAACGATTCCCTTATATGGAAATATTTTTCGAAGCTCTACGGCCTTGCCTAAGGCCTTTTCCAGCAAAAAAAGGTGCGCAAATGTCCAGGTGCGCAAAAAAAGGTCGCATTTGTCCTACCCCCAAAACCTGCCCAAAAAATTGCTTTTATATTTTTTTCGCGCAGGCGCACTTTTTAGAAAACGCATTACTCGAGTAAAAAAATTACTTATGCAAATTTACTCGAGTAATTACTGACTCGCGAGGAACACACTCTACATTGAAAGATGAGCCGGGAAAGAAGCGCTTAATGACTGAAGAAGGTACATAAACTGTAGTACAGTACAGTACAAGTGCAGTACAAGTTTTCTTATTGTTAGGAATACTGTATTGACAATATCTGACAACTTTTTTACTTTAATAGATAATCTGAAAGAATACTTTAGATAGTGACAATATCTCAATAAGTTTACTGTAGGCTATCTTTAGCTTACTGCAGGCTATAGTACCTTTAGCTTACTGTAGGCCACAGCACCTTTAGCTTACTGGCTTATTATAGGCTACATCTTTAGACATCAAGCCACTGTTCAACCCGGCAAGGGCTGGCAATTGAATAGGAAACACCGATTTTGAGAGCAAAGAAAATACATTTTGTTGAGCCACACCCGTGAAAGGAAAAAAGAGATTGAAACAGAAACAAATTGAAACTGAAGGAAATGGGAAATAAATTACAATGGCTAAACAAGATCTATGAAACAAAGAGATAAGGAAAATGAAAGTGATTGAACAGAGTGCTCATTCCAATCCATCCCCAATTATCCCATTTGTTGAAGAGCTTCCTTGTAGGACATCTTGTCCACATCGTCAGCGATATCCGATTTACTGTGAACGCCCGATGTGCTGTCGGATGAGCCGGCACCAAGCTGAAATTGATTTCAATAATGGTTTCACAAGGACTCCATACACTTAATACTCTCGATATTCAGGCCTATTGAATCTTTGATAGCTAGTTATAGCTAATGTAAGGATACAGGATCTAACCTTGTTGCAGTACGGTAATTTTTAACTACAATACCTGCATCTATGTACTTGGTTACACTTGTTTTACCCTCCAAAGCTACTATATATTCTGGCAATTTTAAAACAATTGTTATAGTTTATAAGATTATCTCAATCTATTAGACTCTATAATTGTATTATATTGACTATATTGAGTATATTGACTATATAAACTATATAAACTATATTAACTACCGTAAATACTGTAATAGTACCCCACCCCCATAATGATGGTGCGGAGCGTTGCGTAGTCTAGCTTTGGACGCGTTTTTCTCGACACTGGTTTATACTACAATGCGCGCTTGGGTATCAAAAAATAGCTGAAATTCAGGGCTATTTTTTGATACCAAAGACGCATTTTTTGAAAGTATGGGCGCTTTGAAAAAAATGAAATACTAAAAAAACTTTTGCGACTACGCGACTGTACGAGGGGGTGGGGTACTATTACAGTATTTACGGTATATTAACTATATTAACTATATTAACTATATTAACTACAATACCTTTGCCAATACAGCTGGCCCAAGACGATTTCTCAGAATTGTCACGTACTTCTCATAGCGTTCAATCTGAATAGAATATTTGTAGACTTTACGATTACTTTATTTATTCTAATGTGCAACAAATCTATTTTTCAATCATTACACAAAATTGCTTCTATTAGGAATAATTAAATATACTTTTTATAATATTACGCAAAAATATATTAACCATTTTTACCTCAGATGTAAGCAATCGTTCTCGATAGAAAAACTCGTGCACAGCTCGCCCACGAGCGCTCAATGGGGGAGCATTTTGACGAACAGATTCGAGTTGCTCACGCAAAGCACTTCCCGCACTCTCGTGATTCTAAAAAGATTTTATTTAAGACTACGGATTGATTGAATTGTCTTCAAATGATTTACATACCCTCAATTGATCGGGTAGACTGGCAGTTGAAGGCAAAGCGGGTAAACGAGGTCGATTGAATGAATTCGATGAAGCGGCTGGGGGAAGGGCTCGCGAGGAGAAACAAGCACACACAAAATTGATCTCAGAGACCCAAGAGGCAACTTCAGAAGTGTCGCTGAAAAGGCTTTTTGAATGAAAGCTGTATAAAGCTTTACAGAAGATTTGTTGAATTCAATCCAAAAGGATTTGATTGAAATTTTGCGAGGAAATTTGCTGTTTGAATTATAGAAGTTCACCATTTCTAGATTGCTGGTAATAAACATACCCTAAATACTGTAATAGTACCCCACCATAATGACAGTGCGGAGTGTTGCGTAGTCTAGCTTTGAACGAGTTTTTCTCGACACTGGTTTATGCTACAATGCAGGCTTAGGTATCAAAAAATAGCTGAAATTCAGGACTATTTTTTGATACCAAAGACGCATTTTTTGAAAGTACGGGCGCTTTGAAAAAAATGAAACTAAAAAACTTTTGCGACTACGCGACTGTACGAGAAGGGTGGGGTACTATTACAGTATTTACGGTATGTATCTACGTAATGTAAACTTTGATACTATTGACTTTTACTTGGGAGGCTTGTAGAGAGATTATGTGTCTACTTTCATAACAAAGTCATTACAATCGTCAATCGCCTACCTTGTCTGAAAAAGATATTCCCCAAGATTTGCAGTCCTCAAACGGAAACAATGTTGTTTCTTCGGATAATCGATTGCCGGTTCAGCGATTGCGTGATGAAGGAGAATTGTATTTGAGAAAGTCTCCCAACGGGATTTCCTAAATTGACAAAAAGATTTATAGGTATTCAGCCTCGTTAACTGAATATTTTAACTGTGTAAAAGAGACTAGATTAAAGACTTTACAAGATCGTTAAGCCTAAAGCCTTTAGAAATGCTTTAGATATGCTATTTTGCTATTTTTTTTATCGAGATCTGTATGCATTTTTAGATCACATTTTTTTAGAATAGATTCTTTTATCTTGATATCTATGTACTTTTTGAATACATTCATCTTTTTCAAACTCACTTTTTCACCTCTTCATCCCGATCAAAGTACAAGGCCAACCCTCTCAACCTCATGTACCACATTCGCCATCCACGACGCCCAAAAGGAGCTGAAATTAGATTAGAACAATTTTGCCGATAAATATGGGAGTGGGACAAATGCGACCTTTTTTTGCGCACCCGGACATTTGCGCACCTTTTTTTCCGCACCTTGCCCATTAGCGCACCTTTTTTCGCGTTTTAAAAAAGCTCTAAAAAGCTAATATTAACCAATTTCTATTCCAAATGTTGTTTTTCTAGGTAATTTGAGGGTGTCGAATTCAAATTTTGACATAACAGAGCGTGTGGAACCAAATTTGAAAGACGTTTTGTCTTTCTAGATCAAATTACAGAAAATTGTCGATTTTTCTCTTTATATAACTCCGTCCGTTTGTTTCCACAAGCTCTGATATGTCAAAATTTCGATTCTACGCCCTAAAATTATCTAGAAAAACAACTTTTGGAATAGAAATTGGTTAATATTAGCTTTTTAGAGCTTTTTTAAAACGCGAAACAGATGCGCTAATGGGCAAGGTGTGGAAAAAAAGGTGCGCAAATGTCCGGGTGCGCAAAAAAAGGTCGCATTTGTCCCACTCTCATAAATATCGATAGATAAACGATAAACATCGAAATCCTAAACTCACTCTTGTTCCCATCCGAATCGAAAACACTTTTCCTCATCACCCAACCCGATTTGTACTCGACTTGACTCTCCGGATCGACTTCTGCCAATCGAAGCGCTCGTCCCAAAGAGGCCTCCTTTTTAACATCACTGAATTCATTTTAAAATTCAAATTGAACTAATCAATCTCACCCATCAGCGACAATCGGTTTCTGTTTGATCGACGCGTAGAGTTGTTTCAGCAAAATCGCATCGTAATTCCCGCCAGTTCCGCTAAGATTATTAACGAAATCTCTGAAATTTTTTTTGATTAATATAAAATCTAAACAATTTTTTTACCTAGCTGACATCTTTTTCCCGCAATTCGGCCCATGCAAGTCGGAATTGAGGAGCAAAAGGGCGCAGGTCAGCGAATGAACGTCGTCTAGAAATTGATCACTTTGTTAATAATGTTTATAATGAATATAATGAAATAATATAATGATATTTTAAAAATATTCAAGCTATTTTAAATAAATTATCTAATATATCTATTAAAATCTTAAATATAAATACCAGAATTGTTGAAAAGTGACGGATTGCACTCGAAATATCGCCGAGAAAAGTGCTGCAAGAGGCGCTCTCGTTGTGACGTCTCGCCGATCAGTTCAACCCTTTAAAGTTTTTAAAATTTACTAATCTACTAGTTATCTAGTTAATATAAACACTGGTTTAGACCAAGATTTCATATGAAATACCTTGTCAAAAATTCTCGCAATGAGGCGTCAATCCGTTTCCCTTGAAACTGATGCAATTGCATGTACTGATCCGTGACCAATAAAGCAAATTCGTTTCTGAATTTGAGATTTTAGTGAAATGAATTTTTTCAACTCACTGTAAATCAAGCTGTTGTGAGACTTGAGCTGTTGTATATCCATTGAGACAAAACAAATGTCGAGCTAACTTTGTGGCTGGATTCCCTTGACCGAGACGATCATTTGAGACAGAGGATGAGGAAAAGGAGAGAACACTGAAAAGTTGGATACTAATTAAAAGTTAAAAGTTGAGGCAATGTTGGCAACAAGAGTTTAGAAAGGTTTTGTAAAGAAATGATGCTTAGAAGTCTTTAACTCTTATAGTTAGGTGAAGCTTGAAAGCTTGAAAGCTTTGAAGCTTGAAAAGTCTTCTTTACAGGTATAACTTTTTAAAGTACATTATATAGATTTGAAGATTGACTAACCGATGCGTGGATGGACTGCAATGAGTGGATGGAGTTGGTGTGATGGAGATGGCTCGATGGTGATTGTGATGATAGCCATTCACTGCGTGTACGGTCACCGCGCTCTCTCGTGCCGGACTATCGGTGTTCTGGAATGAATTAGTTGTATTAGTTAGCTTAAACTTGTAAATTGAAGATGACTGATCATTCTTAGCGGTTTACTCTATCAGATAGAACGCACAATAACATATGTATCCGAGCTCGATGTCCTTTGACAGAGTTGTGGATGTGAAGAGGTCGAAGTAATCCCACAAATCGATGTCTGCATCGCTGAATCGACACACTCTCTAAACAAAAAGAATAGAATATAAAGATTGATTTTGAAAAACTTTGCGAACCTTTCATTTGAAAGATTCGCAAAAATCAATGACTGATTTCGAAGCTCGGTTGAAATGAAATGGGCGTAAATTGTAGCCAATTTCTGTCGAAATGAAAAGTGAAAGGGGACAAAAGGAAAAAGAGAGCTTAAAAAAAGAGAGCTTTTTTCAACAAGCTTAAAAATTTTCCTTTTTCTCATTTCTCACAATCAATTGTTTTCACTTTTTTTAAAAGACTTACTTTGATGGTTTTTCGTGAACAGGCGAGTTTTTTGCTTCCATATCTTCAATTATTTGATCGCTTGTTTGTTGCTAAATCGGCTTAAATTGTAAATTGAAATTTTTAAAAGCTTATTTAAACTTAAAATTGATAAAATATTTAAAGATTCAATCTTTTTACAAACTTGATGAATATCGATGAACTCTTCAGCAATGATGGGTGTTGTCGCCTCCTCTGATCCCTCCTTTGAGCTCTGAGATTTGTTGAACAACTAAATAACTTTAATAATTGTTAATAACTGAATATTTTTAATGATGAATACCGTAAATACTGTAATAGTACCCCACCCCCGTCGTACAGCCGCGTAGTCGCAAATGTTTTTTAGTGTTTCATTTTTTTCAAAGCACCCGTACTTTCAAAAAATGCGTCTTTGATATCAAAAAATAGCCCTGAATTTCAGCTTTCATTTGATACTTAAGCACACACTGTAGCATAAAAGAGTGGCGAGAAAAACTCATTCAAAGCTAGACTACGCAACAGTTCGCACCGTCATTATGGGGGTGGGGTACTATTACAGCATTTACGGTAGGTATTTTCAAATTTCAGTCACTCACATCTCTCCTTTGCGGAATCCGACTTCGACGAACCGAATGAAAATCGGTCGGTGAAAAGCGCGGTGACTCGGCGATGGTCATTTGGGGTGGGAGTTGTTCTCGAGCAATCTGAACAAGATTTTGTTTGTTGTTTCTTATTTTCTTGTTACTTGTCTACCTTTGCATAGCTGGGTGAGATATTTGGAGTGAGATTGAGGATTTTATCGCCGGTCATCACGAAAGCCTCACATCTCGGACTCCTCCCATCCGAGTTTCGACTCTTTATCGATGTTCCAGATAGAGAAGTTGGCAGTCCATCGAGCATCTAGATTTTTTTTGATAATTATTTGTTTTACAAGAACATCATCCGGTTAAATCCCATGATTATGAATAAAAGAGTGGTTAGTGTAAACACGGTAAACTGGGTAGTGAACTGAAAACTAGTAAACATAGCTTGAAAACTGAAAACTAGTAAACATAGCTTGAAAACTGGAAACTAGTAAACAGAGCTTGAAAACTGGAAACTAGTAAACTAGGTTTGAAAAGTAAAGTAGATAGACTAATGCTAGCATTATACAATATTAGTGTTAACAATTGTAAAATCTAATAAGATTGATTTGAAAGTATGACCGCCTTGTGGTCAACCTACCTCTGGTGCGCCGATTGGTGTATGTGACTGCGCCAAAGTGGCCATCTACCCGCGAAAAAGACCCCTTAAAGAAAGATGAAAATTTTTTGAAAACGATGAAAACACACATGAATGAAATTTGAAACTGAATCTGTCGATAACAAAAAAGAACAGAATATTTCGAGCAGATGGATGTCGTAAATGTCCTTGAGGAAAAGGCGGGGGAAAGAAAGGGAGAGCCGGATATTTTGTGGTGGATATTGCCCTTTGTGGCACGTAGAATCGATATCTTTTTAAGCCAGTTTTTTGAAATTCAAGCAGATCTAAGATCTCTGATGGGCAATTCGAATATTTATTTCCACGTAGTGACACACAAATCTTTGTCTTTTATCTCTCTTTCTCGATGTGTGTAAGAGTGTAACACCAAAGAGCTGTAAACAAAAGGTTCAAAAAGAGAAAAAGATGGGGTGCGCAAGGAGAAAATAGGGAATTCTCTTGTAAAACAGGAGTTTTTGATCGAAAAACGGAGATGGATATAATTGGAAAGGAAATGGAATGGAAAATGGGAATTTGTGAGGGTTTTGATGGGGGGGACAGAAAGAGTTTTCCCCAAAATGTCAATAAGTTGACGGCTTGAGGTGAGGGAAAGGATAATATTTGGATATTTCGATAGAATGAGACTACGATATTGCCTTAATATCTGATTCCTGTAGTATTTGCAATACTGTAATACTGTACAGTAATTTAGGTTTTAATAAACAAGCATTACAGTGTCCTCTCTTCGGTTTTAACCGTACAATTTTTTGATAACATAGAAAAAGGCTTTCAAAGAAACTAAACCCTTGTTAAACAGTTCAATTTTGAAATCCTTTAAGGCAAGGGTCAAGGTCAACAAAACAAATCACTGAAAAAATTTATAAAAAATTTATAAATAAAGCTTTCAGTGCTGAAAATAGATGAAAAGGAAGCTTTTAAAGCGGAGACTGTTAAAAGTTCAATTTTCCGTAATCCGAGAAAGGGAAGAGCTGCTCTTTTCAATTTTTGCACATCACAGAGTCGTGTTTTAACGGATGGCATAGAGAAAGGGGGAGGGGGTTGAAGAAGAGAAAAGGGGTGGCACAGACATCGATCGGCCCGAGGGAAGGGTAAGGGGAATGGTGAGGGACATTCACAAAGGGGATAGGACGAATGAAATGATGGCTCTCCATCCAAAACGATGAAAACATAAGTGTCTATGATGAGTGTTTGTTGTGTGAAAACGAAATTTTCTGATAGTGCGAAATTTCGCCGGCCTAGTATTTGATGAATCTTTTATGATTGGAAATTGTATTTTTGTAACTATAATATTTTAATTTACAGAATGCTAACACCAGGGACTCTTACTGTAAATTAATTGTGAAGATAGTGTGCAAAATAGAAAATGGGTAAGGTAGAAATGAAAAGAAATACAATTTTTTTTTACTGCAAGGCTGATTTCTATTTACCTTACCTAACTAATTACCTAATTACCTTTCTAACTTTACCGTTATGCAAATTATTTAAGCAAACGTTTGAGAAAACTTGATAGAACTTGGCTAATAAAGGTGCTAAAACATTAATTTCATTGGATAAAGAAGAAAACTTGTAAATTGCTATTGGAAATGTGTAGATCGCCTCAAAATTCGTATCAACGATTACCTTAAATTCTAAAATTGTTGTGCTTTTCAAAAACTTTTCATTAGAAAGTTCTCTTCTCTTTCTTCTTTCCCTTTCCCTATTCGTTTTTTGTATGCTTCTGTTTTTATGCTAAAAAATCTTTGTTTTACATCACATGGCATTTCTAGGGGCCATTTCCACGACTCAGGGAGCTCAATTTTATGCGTTTTCTGTTGATCTCAACCACTTTTCGACACATTGATGGCAGTGGTACAACGACAAGTTCGACAACCAGGAGACGTCAAAAAGGTTTGTGAATTTTTGGTTTTTTTCGTTCTTTCGCTGTTAAAAATTAGCCATTCATTCCATCATTCAAATTCCATCAGTGTTTTTATGATTTTTCAATAAAGAATCGTTTTTTTTTTAGTTTGCAACCGACCTCTGTGTAGGTGGAGCCTCTGCAGCGCTTTCAAAAACAGTGGTCGCTCCTATTGAGCGTGTCAAACTTTTATTACAAGTGGGTTTTGGGCTTTTTTCTCTGTATAGTTTAAGGTTTCTTAAGGTTGTTTAGTTTTTGATTTTTCTATTTAGGTTCAATATTCGCACAAAGGTATCAACGAGAATCAACGATATAAAGGAATCGTCGATGCTTTCATTCGAGTATCAAAAGAGCAAGGATTGCTCTCGTTTTGGAGAGGAAATGCTACAAATGTTATGAGGTAGCTTTTGTAAATGGTAATTTAATTTGATGATTTTAGATATTTTCCTACTCAAGCTTTAAACTTTGCCTTTAACGATCTCTACAAAGGATTCTTTCAGCGGGGAATCGATAAACATAAGGTGGGTTTTTTTGACAAAATCTTTATTAAGTTCAATTTAGAATTTCTGGTCTCACACAGCGTATTCCTTGTTGGCGGGCGGTTGTGCCGGATCGACAACGCTTTGTTTCGTTTATCCATTAGATTTCATTCGAACGCGGCTTAGTGTCGACATTGGTAGAAGTAGAGAAACACGAGAATATAAGGTAAAATTGCAAGGTTAACATATTGTATTTGTTTTTAGGGTTTTGTGGATTGTTTCCGTCAAACTGTTCGCTCAGATGGTATCAGTGGCTTGTACAGAGGGTTCTTCATTTCAATTCAAACCTATTTTCTTTATCGGTTAGTTGACTAAAGATCCGCCAATTGTTGTGTTTTAGAGCTGTTTATTTTGGCATGTATGATGCGATTCGGAATCTCACTCACACAAATCCAAAAGATGTGCATTTTATTGCCTCATTTATGATTGCTCAGGTTAATTAATTAAAATTATTAATCCAAATAATTAATTTAGGGTGTTTCGATATGTTCTGCCTACTTGTAAGTTGATCCGTTTAGTTGTTCTTAAACAAAGAGTTCTTATCATTAACTCTTTAAATTCTAGGACCTATCCATGGGATACTGTTCGGCGGCGAATGATGGTCAAGGTAAGCTGAATATTTACAAAATGTTTTATTCTTTCTCTAGGGGGAGCTAAGCTCAAAACATGCCTGGGAAAGTGCAAAACTAATTGTCGCTCATGAAGGAATCAAGGGTCTTTTTAAGGTTGGTGAGATAATAATTAATAAATTAATTTACATAATTACAAATGTTAAAAAAAAAATTTTTAATTAAAAAACAAACTTCTGGTATTAATATAGTTTAAAACTTAATTTAGGGAGGTTTGGCGAACATTTTTCGAACTAGCGGTGGTGCTTTGGTCATGGCAATATACCAGGAAATTCAGAAGCATATCTGATTAGTGTGCATTTATTTTTTACCATTTTATCTACCTAGCCTTTGTACCTTGGGCGATTTTAACTTTGTTCTCTTTCTACCATAATAACACTGTTGTTTTTTGTTGATTTCACGTTTTCATTTTGCTTCTCAGAAAAACTTTTCAATCTAGTCTATTAGGTCGAGTTTTTTGTTGATTTTAGAGGGATTTTCATTAAATGTTGTATCAGAAATATTTTGTTTACAAGCATTCGCGAAACATGGGATTTGATCTTTGATTGGTTTGACATATGCGTTGTATGATTCTTTCAGATTTTACTAGATGAATGAGCACGACGGAGTCAAAGCCGCCTAAACGAACAAAACTTCAAAAGGTAAACTGGTTTTTGAAAAACCAAATTTGTATATTTTTAGTTTCTCGTCGACCTATCTGTTGGCGGTGTTTCAGCAGCAATTTCAAAGACTGCAGTCGCTCCAATTGAAAGGGTCAAATTATTACTTCAAGTGGATTGATCCTTCAATACAAAATATTTATTTTTTTTAGGTTCAATATTCTCATGGTGATATTTTGAAGACAAAACAGTACAAGGGAATCATCGATGTGCTAACTCGTATCCCAAAAGAACAAGGAGTCTTGTCATTTTGGCGCGGAAATGCCATTAACGTTTTGAGGTATTTTTAAAGCCAGTCTTCAACTATTTTTTTTAGATATTTTCCCACGCAAGCGTTAAATTTTGCGTTTAACGATTTTTATAGAAGCGTTTTACTTTCGGGGCTCGATATGGAACAAGTAGAGTTTTGGCAAAAATTTTTAATGATTTTTTTATAGGATTTCTGGAAATATACCGCTTTGGGTCTAGTAGCTGGGGGTTGTGCTGGAGCGACTTCGATGTGCTTCGTTTATCCACTAGATGTTGTTCGTACTCGTCTTACAGCTGATATTGGAAGAAGTGTGGAATCTCGTAGATATAAGGTAGAATTAACCGTTAAGAAAAGTTCTAGATGGTAGCTTTCTTTGGTATGGAAATCGATTGACCGTGCATTCGCATCTATAAAAAACTTGGACGCCAGCTAGCACTGAATTTCAATTACGAAAAGGAATTTTATAGGGTTTTGTCGACTGTTTCTCAAAAACTGTAAAACAAGATGGAGGATTTACTGCCTTGTACCGTGGTTTCTTCGTATCCCTGCAAACGTATTTCATCTATAGGTATGTTTATTTAGATAATTTGTACTATTTCTTTTTAGAGCTGTCTATTTTGGATTATATGATGCTATTCGAAATCATGTTTTTTCGGATCGAAAGAATATCCATTTTGTCGAGTCTTTTCTGATTGCTCAGGTAAGCTCTTTTGATAATTATTAAATACACAAAGTTTAGCTAGTATCCATATGCTCATCGTATTTGGTCTATCCATGGGATACTATTCGCAATCGGATGATGATAAAAGTATTTTCAAACAGCATACAATTTATTTTATTTTTGTAATTTTCGGGAGAACTTGGTTCCGTTTCTGGATTGGAAAGCGCAAAGTTAATATTAAGTAAAGAAGGATGGCGAGGATTTTACAAGGTTTGAACTTCTTATTTTAAATTTAATACATAAACTTTTTAGGGTGCTCTTGCAAATCTATTTCGTGCCACTGGCGGAGCATTGGTCATGGCCATGTAAGCTGAGCTTCAGCTTAACCATATTTATTTATTCATTCAGATACCACGAGATTCAGAAGCATGTGGTTCACGATAACAAATAATTAGATATTGAGTGATTCGTTTATTCTGTGTATAAAATTTGCTGATGACCCTACGTTTGTGATCTGCTAATCTGGGATACGTGTTCTATTTAATAAAGTTGAAGCTCAATTTTTGTATTTGAAAATATTGTTGAACATATCAAAGCATGATATTTTTTGCTTTATGACTGCAAATGGCAAATTAAGGTTTGATTTAGGGAGAAGCGTCTAGCTTGTCAACTCCTTCACTTCATTGATGCGCGATGTAAAGTGAGTTTTGTAAAGTGTTTTCTATTGTTTTTCTTTTGCCCTCCATATTTTTTTGCCCTTTAGATGTTTTGTTATCTACTCATCTTAACAATATGTATGCATCAAATCAGTTGCCGAAACCCATTTCTCCTCAAGGGACAAGAGACACGAGCTGCCGCTTTTTCGGAAGAAGAAAAGGTATAATACATGCAAAAAATACACTCAAGTATCTGTCTATGCCAGTTCGCTTTAGAATCACAACTTTACTAAATTTTAGGCTAAAGCACGCGAGTTGGCGCGAGAAATGTTCTACTTTGGATACGACAATTACATGGCACATGCATGGCCGTTAGATGAACTGGATCCCATTCATTGCACTGGACGAGGACCGGACACAGAACATCCGTTTGTTTAAATTTTCTTATACTTACGATCATGTTTTAGTGAAAACATCAACATCAACGATGTGCTTGGAGACTATTCGCTCACGCTTATTGACTCGCTTGGATCGTTAGTCGTATTTGATGATCCAGAAGAATTTCAGGTATTTCTATTTTTGTATTATTGACAAATAAGATTACAGAATGCTGTTCGAACAGTTATTAATACAGTGTCTTTTGAAAAGAACTCAACAGTCCAAGTGTTTGAAGCAACTATCAGGTTGTTTTGGGTTTTAATTTTATACCTAATTCCCAATTTTAGGGTAATCGGATCACTTCTCTCGGCTCACTTGATCGCATCAACAAAAAGTGGTTCATTTTCTCGCTTTTCTGTTCCCGATTATGAAGGCGAAATGCTCACCATGGCACACGATTTGATGACACGCTTGATGCCAGCTTTTGAGGGCACAAAAACGGGTAAGGTGCTTTGAATTAGTTTACAGTAGTAGTTATCTATTTTAGGACTACCATATCCCCGAGTGAACCTTATTAGAGGTGTCCTACCAGGGACAATCAATGAGACTTGTACTTCGGGTGCTGGAAGCTTATTATTAGGTACAATAAAAAAGGTAAATTGAAGTCAAGTGTTTTAGAGTTTGGAATTCTCTCGCGACTACTTGAGGATGACAGCTATGAAATGATGGCTAGAAGAATTAACGAAAAGCTATGGGAGCTTCGCAATCCTAACACTGGACTTCTCGGTTCAATAAGATTGCATCAAGTATAAAATAGTTTAGGCAATGTTATTGATATACAAACTGGTAAATGGCAAGGACATTTAAGTGGTTTGGGAGCCGGGCTTGATTCTTTCTACGAGTATCTTTTGAAGGTAACTTAAATTATTGTAAATTTATATCTTTTATTTTTAGGCTTACATATTATTCGACGAGCCCCGGGACTTACAACTTTTCAATGAGGCTTATGCTATCATTTTGGAAAATCTACGTCGTGGAAGGTGCGAATTTTTCCCTAGCAAAAGTACACGAAATTTAGAGTTTTTTGTCGGGGTGAAGGAGAACCTCCACTTTATGTCAATGTCGATGCTCGAGATGGAAGTACAGCCAATACTTGGATTGATGCTCTTCAGGTAACTCTTTTTTGAAACTCAAAACCGAAACGATTTAGGCTTCGTTTGCTGGTGTTCAAGTGCTAGCAGGAGATGTAGAAGAAGCAATTTGTCACCACGCTATTTATTATGCTGTTTGGAAGAAATATGGTGCTCTTCCAGAACGTTTCAATTGGCATCTCAAGTTTGTTTTGCATAATTGACAAGACACCTTTTTTATTTGTTCAGAGCTCCAGACGTTTCATTTTATCCTTTGCGCCCGGAGTTGGCTGAATCGACGTATCACTTATATCAAGCGACGAAAAATCCTTTTTATTTGCATGTTGGACGAGAGATTATGGAAAACATCAATTTGAGAACAAGAGTAGGTACTTGTTTTTCCTCTTTAGTCAGTTGATTTTAGGTTGAGTGTGGTTTTGCTACGGTGCATGACGTTTTTGATGGAAGCTTAGAAGACCGAATGGAGTCGTTTTTCCTTTCAGAGACAATGAAGTACTTATACTTGGTAAGATTTTTTTGTTCTTGACGTTATTTAATAAAAAGGCTTAGCTCTTCGACGAAAATAATATTGTAAATACTCACGGCGAACGGCTTTTGTTCACGACAGAAGGGCATATTTTCCCGATTGATGAGAGATTTCGTAAACCTGCTCACCGCTCAAAGCTTGTGATCTCTAAAAAGCGAGTGCTTAATGGCGGAATACTAAATTTTGAGGGACATTAAATATTGTTGTTTTAGGCAAGAGCCGATACAACGTTTGGCTGGCCCAAAGACGCGTACGGTGATGAGCAATCATCATTTGGTTTCACCGGGGGCTCCACTTGTTGGTTACACAAGACCTGCTGGTATTTTTAGAAACATTATTTAAATTCCTCTCATCTTTTTTAGGCAATATATCGTGTGAGTCAACGTCTTCAATTAGTCGACATCAACCCCCGCTCCCTCTTTCTCTTTTTGCACAACTTTTCGAAACTATAGGCATATCACAGTCAATTGAATACTGGTTTCCATAAAGCTACCCTCCCTCCCCCCAAAAAAGATTGCCTTATTTTGTTTTGGGATAAAAACGGTTTCTAGTCATTTTTTGTAATTCGCTAGTGTTTTTGGTCTAGTTTTGTTACGTCCTTTGTTCTTACCGCTGATGTGATTCTTTACACGTGGTGCAGAATAATTATTTCGCTATGTTGTGATTCTTTCCTTCCAAAAGTGATTACCGCTTACTTACGTGTGATAAAATAAAATTTACAGTACAGTCTAGATTCAAAAGATACGTGAAATAAAAACGCAGTTGAACCGGAATTTCATGAGAAATAATTGACCAAAAAAACGCCGTTGGTTCTTTTTGTTCAGAAGAATCTGTCGATTGGAGTATTCCGTTTTGATGGCCTCACTCCTTTCTCTTTCACATAATGATACCATTGTTTATCTTTAACAAAACTCCTTTCAATCTTTGATTTCAGCTTTTTAAAAAACACAACGTTAAAAGTTCATTTCAGTGAATGTCCCAAGTAGAGCTCGGATGGAGGAGATTCAACTTCTTCGATAAATTCATTATCAATGATCCCGAGAAACCGGGCGAAAGATTTCTTGGATTAAAGGTAAAAGGGTAATCTTCTATTTACAAACAGACTCTTGATAATTTTAATCTCCGACAGTTTTTGAAGCTTTTGAATTTCTACTAGCTCACCTCCAGTTCTTAATTTTAAGCTTAAATGTGAGCTTTGAGCATCTGAATTTGGTTTACCAATAAAATTGATAATATATTTTTTTCCCAGGATGTCGTTGTGGATTGTTGTGCAAGTGTCGGAGATGTTGTTTATTTGGGTGAAGAGAAAGGAGCCGTATTTCGAGTCACAAAGTGAGTGACATACGGAGAATTGATTTCAAATCTTTTAAGCCTTTAAATCAAACTATATCGTATCTAGACGTAACAGTAATTTACACATTTTCTAAATTCATAAATCAATTCCTTTTCAGAGACTTCAAAGAATATTTCTGGCGTTGTTTCCAGCATTCACTCGCCCATTTGAAAGCCGTCGGAGCGATTTTGCTTTCTGTTGGGGTAATTCTGTGAATGGAAAAAAAAAGAGATTCAAATATTGTAGAAAGACGAGCCGACAGAGTCGTTGATAAAAATTTGGAACACCGATCAATTGGAGAAAGGATCGCCGCTGTTGATGAGAACGATTAGGTCGAAGTTTTGAGGAGTTGATGATTTTGTTGATGTTTCTGTTGGTGAGAACGAGTTTTGAGGAGTTGATGATTTTGTGGAACTCACAAAGAAGTATAGATACTTTAGCCAAAAGATTTCCTAAAAATATACAGATAATTACAAAAAAAAGCACAACCAACTAGGCTATCCTTTAGAATCGGTCACGCTCAAGCGCGCACAAGCACAAAATGCACAATGGTGACCGGGGATTCGAATTTGAGAGCAGTCGCTATCGGCTTTGATGATGGAACGGTGGCTGTGTACATTGGAGATATTCTTAAAGATCGGGTTTGTTTTATTGCAGGATCAATAAACAATTTGTAGCATAATAAAGTCAAATGCAGTACAATAAACTACGGTAAGACTCATCTTCAGGCAGTGACAAGTCAATGGCTTCGCGTTCGCGACTCCTCACCACAAGATGGACCAATCACTGGTTTGAGTGTTTGATTTTGAGTTATTTTTTGTGAAAACTTAACATTTTAAATATCTATTCATGTCATTTGAAATCTAGATAATTAAAAAAAAAACTTTTTCTTTTTCAGGTCTCTGTTTATCGACTCTTTCCACCACCTCTGGCCCGATGTTCGTCCTTTTTGTGCTGACTCCGAAAATCATTCAAAGTCATCTAATCGAAAATAAAACAATAATGCATACGGTTTGGTTTTGAAATAAAAAAGAAAAATCGTCGTATAATTCTTTCAGTTGAGACACAATTCCCCGAACATGAATGGAGTCGATCGAATGTGTTGGGCTTTCGACGAGATACGACAAGAATTAGTTGTCGCCAATCGTGATGTGAGTTATTGAGCAAATATTGAGCAAATATTGGTCTAAAATTTCCAAAACACTCTCCCATTTCACCCTTTTCAGATGGTCTTCTTTTTCAATGCCCAACAGTGCCTCGATCCAAACAATACACAGGTATTAAGCTGTCTAGAAAGCCAGAAAGCTTAAAAGCTCCTTTTTCTTCCTTCTAACTGACTTCTAATCTGACTTTAAAATGCTCAAAGGTAAATGTCAATGTTTAGGGTAAATGTCATGCATTGGGAAGAGCTCACGATACTCTGCAACTCGTCGAAGCCGATGGATTCATTGCCTTGTTGACCCGTCAACCAGCGCTCATCCCGTGAGTGTTACTATAACTTTTTTTTTTTGACAAAAACTACTGTACAATCAAAAGCTTTTGCCTGACTACAGTAAGCTAGAATAAACCAGTAATTTTTAAACCATTAAACCCCTTTCAGAACCTCCGAGGCTGAATGGATGTCCCTTGTCTCTGTCTATGATGTAAACAATAAATACATTGGTTTCTCGTGTTCTCTTCCCTCGGCATGCACATTGATTCGACTGGGAAGCACGATTATGATATTGAGTCAGTTAGATTACTCAAATAGTTAATTTTTGCTTAAGAATAAAACCCTTTAGAAGTTATGATAGTTTTTAGAAAAAACGCTAGTCGTTTGTTCGGAATAAAATCTATTAGAGTTCGGCAAACAAAACCGAAACCAAAACAGACCAAAACCAAAACCAAAACACCAAAACAAACCAAAACTCAATTTGCATATAAATTAATATGTAAATTTAAAATTGTAAAATGCAAATTTGCCTTTCACTTTTTCTCACACCCCAAAATCTCAAAAAATCAAAATCAGAAAAAAGGACCAAAACACGACCTCGAAATTTCGAAACAAAAAATAGCCTATGGGATAGATTTTTGGACGCTGATTTCAAATCTGCAAACATATTTTCGCTAGCTCCTCTCAATCGCGAGATATTGGCGAGTTTTGGTTTGTTTTGGTTTTGGTTTTGGTTTGGTTTTGTTATGGTTTTGGTTTTGGTGGTTTTGGTTTTGGTTAAGTTTTGTTTTCCGAAGTCTACAACCTATGCTTACCGTAACCCATTTTCCCTTTAGGCCGTGACGGTACTTTGTCAGCTCTTGTTCCTAAACATCTTAACGCAAAACTCGAGATTTTGTATCGAAAGAATTTCTATGATGTTGCGCTGAGTTTGGCGAAGAAATGCGAGGAAGCGGTAGATAAATTGCCGACAATACACGCGAAATATGCTGATTATTTGTACAGGTACTGTAGCTATTATCGTAAATATTGTAATAGTATAGTCGCGTAGTCGCAAAAAAAAGTTTTTTAGTATTTTATTTCAAAAAAAAATAGCTCTGAATTTCAGCTATTTTTTTGATACCTAAGCGCGCATTGTAGCTTAAAGCAGTGTCGAGAAAAACGCTTTTAAAGCTAGACTACGCAACGCTCCGCACCGTTTTTATTACAGTATTTACGGTGAGAGATTTTCATAAAAACCGAACCACTTTTAGCAAAGGCGACTTCGCGAACGCCATCGAGCAGTACAAGGACACGATGGGACATCTCGAGCCATCGTATGTCATTAAGAGATTCCTCGATGCATCCAAGATTCAACAATTGTGTGCATATTTGGAGGTTTGCTTTGGGAGAAATTGTAAAATTCTAATTAACGAGTTTAGAAATAAGCAAACTCATTCATTTTATAGACCCTTCACGCGAAACGCCTCAACAACTCTCATCACACGACCATTTTAATCAATTGCTATGCGAAAATGGGTAAGTTTATGGGTTTCTTGCATGAAAATACACTGAATTGCAGTTTATTTTTTATTTACTGCAGTAGAGAGAAAAGCCTTTACTCTTTGCAGCCATAGAATTTTGTGATTTAGCTGACAAGTCGAAGATCCGAAAGTTCGTTGAGCAAACAACGAAGGAAAACTGCGATCTAGAGGCGGCGATCAGTGTGAGTTTTCAAAAAAAAGTCTTCTTTTACGGTATTGCTAATTTCTTTAGGTATTACGATCCTCAAGCCTTTACGAACCGGCCTCTCTATTGGCTTTGAAGCATCAAATGCATGGACATCATTTGAGGATTCTCATTGACGATCAGAGGAAATATGATCGAGCCATTCGATATCTACAATCACTTGACCCGATTATTGTAAGGTTTTAAAAGGAAACTTAAAGTTTAACGGATACAATTTAGAAAGTAGAGGAATTTAGGCTTGAGAGTTTATTTCCAATGAGGTCTTGAGGTCTTGAGAGTTTATTTCCAATTTATTTCCTAAGTGGGCTAGTACCAGGGAAAGCAATCCAGCACCAAATCACTTATTCACTAATGAATTTGCTACTAGATTATTAGATCTATGAGATTGCCGTAGTTGTTAAAGATACTTTTTTATGAGCAAAGGCTTTTTAGGCGGTTGACTACCTAGAAGAATACGGTCGTTCCCTTCTCGAGGCGCAGCCTGAAGAAACGATGAAGTTGATTACGAAAACGGTGGCCTCAATAAAAGAAAGTAACAGTTTTTTTATTAACTTTTTATTTTCCTTGAAAATTCTAGACGATTTCGATGCATCACGTTTGTTGAAAGTGTTCATCGTGGATTCATCAAAAAGCACTCAATTCATTGAGACAATTATTGATAAGGTAAGGTAATTAATAAGAAAACAATGTAAATGTTTTGTTTTTAGGTACCTCCCATCTGTGCGCTTACCCTCAAGCAAACGATCATCGAGCTCCGTTTGAGGGAATATGTGAGAGAAAAGGGGAATTTGGTGAGTTATTGGTGGAAAATTGGATAAAGAAGTTATAGCAATTGATAGAATCGATATTTTTAAAGTATTTTTACTAATTCAAAGTGCACTAAATCCTTAAAGGCAAATAGGAAAACGGTTCCTGTTCTAAAATGGTTACGGTAACTATTGATGCAATCAATAAGTATGCAGTTTGGTCATTGTTGTTGCAATTTGCCAATTTCAGCAAATCGATACTTTCATGTCAAACGTGATCCCGTTAATCAGTGATGACACTGAGGATCATGCTCTACAATTGGCTCGGATATTCGACTGTCCACCCCTACAACGATTCATTCTTGAAAGGAGTGAGAAGTGAGCCAAACTACATTGTATTTAATCATTTTACTTAACAAATAATCTTTTTTATCTACAGTAACCCCACCCTCAAACAATCAGAAAATCAGAAATGAGTTTTTCAGAAAATCGCCGGATCTCATCCAATTCTACATCAAACAAGGAAAACTAAAAGATTTGATTGAAAGCTGTAAAAAGAGAAAGTTTGTTGTAAATTAATTTTTCCAATTTTTTTCTATTAGGGATCGATCACTTTGGCTGGAAACGCTTGTTTTCATTTCTCAAATACGAGAACCGATTGAGGAAAGATTGCTGAAAGAAATGCTTGATGAGTAGTTTATAAGAGCTTTAGAAAGAAATACTCAATCATTTGCAGGATCTCGTCGGAGAATCTCGTCCATCCGCTTGTCGTTCTCGAAATTTTATCGCGAAGTGAGACACTCAAAGTGAGAATTGAGAATTGATTGAGCACTCGAAGTAAGAATTCGTGAAAACTTAATATTTTAGGTGTCAACTGTTCGCGAATATGTGATTCAATGGCTACAAAAACAGGAAAAACAGGTAGAAATATCAAGGAAACAAGAAAAACGATAGAAAAATCAATTTCAGATTTCCGAGGACAAGAAAGCGATTGTCGAGAGTGAGAAACGAATGGTCGAGGTACAAGCAGAGACGGAGAAACTTCATTTCAAGTAGGCAACATTTCAAATGTAAACTATCATCTTTTTCCTAATTATAGTTGTACCAATGAATTGTACACAAATTATCCTACCCAATTCAGAGTACAAACGATTCAAGCGGCAAAATGTTGTGCCTGTGCGACCGCTCTTCAACTGCCCGCCATTCATTTCCTATGCAAGCATAGGTTTCGTGCAAAACTTACAGATTGTAATGATAAATACAAAAATCTTTAGTTTCCACGTACATTGCTTTGAGTCTTATGCCGAACAAGCTGATGCCTGTCCGGCTTGCGCTGCCAAATACACACCGTCAGAGCAAAGGTTTCAGAAAAAGACTTTGGAAATAAATCGAACTTTCAGGATTGCTCAAACCGAAAAGCTGATGCAAAAGGGCGCTCACGCAATTTTCCAAAATGAGGTTTTCAAAAAAAACTAAATGCGAAACAAAAAACTTTAGCTCAAAAACAGCTCAAATGGGATCAGCATCGTTGCGGATTATGTGGGAAGAGGCTTGTTCAGCGCGACAAGTAACACAGCTGCAAGTGTTCGGGTAAGAAAAGGAGTTGAGGAAGAGAAACCAAGATGTTCAGGCTTCTCACTCAACGGATGCGCCAAGAAACAACTATTCGACGAATCCTTTCGATGAAGATAATGGAGATGAGAGATCATCGAATACAACAAGCTCTGGTGAGGAATGTCTTCAATGAAAATACTCTTTTAAGATTGGATTTATAAAATAAGTAAAATTTCAGGAGGACCGACACTACTAAGTAGGCAGATCAGTCGTGTTGGTCGAGTCCCATCAGGCACAAAACCACAAACGATTAGTCGAAATCCCTTTGACGAGTCGACCAATCCTTTTGATAGCGATGAATGAAAAAGATTCGGCCTTTACATGCCTTACAAATTATCTGTGATTCAATAGATTATTCAGGTAAAATAAATTATTTTTGCAGAACAACCGATAAACAACAATCCAGAAAGACAATAAATTACCAAAACTAATTACAACAATTCTAAATACAATAACAAATTTAATAATAAAAATAGTATATAAAAGGCCAATAATACAGGGGAGTATCACAGAAAAAGAAATTAGAGATCACCCGTCAAGTTGATCACTCATAATCATCAGCACAAGAGAGCTCCACCTAAAGCAAAATCATTTATTGTTGATACCATAACAGCTTTTTTTTATTGGTTTAGCAATAAAGTCAAACCCAGTAAATGGATGTGTCCCTCTGCCTCGACCCGTCTTGTCATCGTAGTTCTCCCAAATATATCCGGTTCGTTGCAACTCCTAGAACATAAATGCTTACCGTTTAACTCTGAGTTACTCACCTCGGCCATATTTCTAACAATGTTTTGACGAAGCTCCGTAAAAATTTGTTGCGTCCTCTCTTGAAGTCGGCCCGGTACTCCCGAGTAATGATTCAGAGCGGATAAGGTCTAATAACAAAAAAGTACTTTTCGCAAACTCAAATCTACCAAATAGTTGAGATTGATCCAAATATAGCCTCTCCAATAAGGTGGATCGTGTTCGGTGTTCTTTTGTCCGTAATATGGAGACTGTTTGGAGAGTGATCGAAGCCCAAAATTGGTCCACAATTCCTAAAACTGCTATGATAATGTTTGATAGTCAGCAATGTACCTTTTCATCGCGTATCCTATTCAGCGTGTGTTCCATATATTCAGAATTTGGTGGAATAAGTCGTGCGATAAGTGGATACAAACTATTGTAGCCAAATACATCATCCACCATCCTCAATTGAGGCTTCTCGCTAACGCTAAATGCTGCTACATATGCATACTATATAATGTTTTAAAAACCGTTTCCAAATCCACTCCTCAGGCTGCTTTCCTTTCTTTTTTAATGGGACCCGTTTCAATTCGACGTCGTAACTGTGCAAACCATAATCCACGAAAGCCTAAAGTTAATAAAACTAAAAAAACTGCAAATGGACTTTACCTTAGCTTCATGACTCCAATGCTTTTCAACAAGATCTTCAAAGTCGCTATCATGCTTCAAGTATTCGTCATAACTAAAACAGATAATTGTAAAAGTAAGCACATTTAAAAACCGTTTCTTTTCCGCCTCCGAACCAAAAAGGTTGGCCAGCTCAACCATTACTCTACTCGCAATTGCCAACCAGCATCGAAGATCGAGATGTCGCTCCTAATAATGCTTTATATTTATGACAAACAAAAAATCACTTGAGTAGACGGATGAGATGCTCGAGGATAGTCGTCAAGTCCACTAGATAAGGTTTTTGGGTTTAATTCCGTCTCAATTGTCGCGTTTCTTCCTCGCCATCTAAATAAAAAAGCCTGAATAAGACCATTTTGTATGAATTACCTGAATGTATTCTTCTGATCTCCTTTCTGGCTTTGCCTCAACCAATTATACCATCTGGAGACTTTAGGATAAATTTGCTCGAAGACTTTCTTGTGCTTTACAGAAAACTAAACTTGTATGCTGGTGAGTAAGAAAAGTCCCATTAAAACCTCTTTATCCTCAATCATTTTCCAGATAACATAAAACCAGCTCGGTGGATTTGCAACATTCGATCGTTGAATGACAAATTCTGCAGGCACCTAAAAAACTAAAGTAAGCAATGTAGCGAAAACAAAACCCTAGATTCAGCTTCTTCGCCCAGAATCATTTCTCTTGGTATCCAACCGTTCACGTTCATTGTGTTTAACCATGAAACGAGTATCTGAAGCGACATTGTTTTGAACAAAAATAAATAAAACCTCGAGGGAAAGCTCTTGGTCAAACTTTCGAATCAGCATATTGTGAAATCCCTCGTCCCAAAGAAATCCTCGAGGAAAGAAAGGGCGTGAAGGGACAGCCGTTACGAGAGAATGGGTGCCGTACGCTTGAACCTTGTCACTTCCTGGAAGTTGCACCTAAAAGAAGTTGCACCATCAAAAATATATTTTTAAATGCTTACTTTATTATGACCGTAGAAATATCCAATACTTCCCAACATATTTGACAATGCAAGCTGCCCAAGATGCAGCTCATTGTTTGTATAACCCTAAAAAGTTTATACCAAAAGTTTAAATCCAAAAGTATACCTTGTTTTTCAACTTGAAAGCCTCCTCTATCTTTTCTTCAAACGAGGTGACCCTTGCATTTAGAGCTTCAAGAAAGCTTTTTTCTAAACCATTGGTCATCACGATTTTACAATTATGTTAAAACCTGTCAAAGCGGTGTGGTTCTGAGAATTGAACGAAATCGTTAAGTCGAACTTTTCGGGCAGATTTAATTGAATTGCGGCAATCACAGGATTTTCCACAACATCTTGCTGGTTCAGCTGATAAATGAGACCGTCACTTGTTTCATCGGCGGTCTGAATGTTTTTAGTATTAGTAATACAATGTCTAACGGATGTAATTTAATTAAAATTCCAAAAAAATAAAAACGCACCGTATGACGTAGAAAGTAATCTCGTATGTTTGTAATATCAACCGATGCTCCACCGAGCGTTGAAGAATATACACCATGAGCAGAAATCGATAGATCCACGTAGTAACTTCCAAATTCGTCCGATTGACCATTAAACAATCGTTTCACATGGCGATCGTTCAACTTTTTATTGATAGAAAGAGTGGCTTGTGGGTCCTAAATTTGCAAAAAGGTTAATCGTTTTAAAAAAGACTACCTGTTTCAGTAAATACAGAATTACAGCAGTTCTTTGTTTTGGATTTTTCTAAATTTGTTTTTTTTTCTAGTATATTTCTTGAATTAACCTGCAATCCTGAAATTCGCGCCGTAAAAGTGTCTTCGTGAGAAATCCAATCGGTATTCAAAATCAGGCCCGAAGAGTCGTTCACAATTTGTTGGCCAAACGAGCGTCCATCGGCTTTGGTCCATGCATAATGATTTAGTCCATCTCCTTAATCAAAAATTAACACGACTACTCTGGGAAAAGCAACCTTGATCACAAACATGTCGCATATTTGGCATTGACATCATCGAAGGCTGGCTGTACCAAGCCATTCCAAATAGCATCCCTTTCGGGGTTTTCGTCCGTAATCCAAAGTAGTTTTGTGAGCGAAACGATCCCCATATTGTCTAAATGTAGGGACGTACTCATTAAGTAGTTTGACCATACCTTCTTAGGCTGCTCAGCAAGTTGAATAGGTGGCAAGAATTTTATTAGTGTGGAATCCTTTGAGGGCCAGTGGAAGTAAGCATAAGCAGCTAAAGCTCCCACAACGGAAACTAAACAAGGAAATTAAAAACGTCGGGCTACATCAAAAACTTACTGATTATGAAGTATGAATATGGCATCAAAAGTTTTTGCGATGATTTGGAGCTGCCCGGAGGCCGAGCTTGTTGTTTCAATTTCGCCATCACAACAGGTTTTGTCCCTTGAATCCATTTTGCTGACGTAGAAGTAAAATGGTGAAAAATTGTAACAAATTTTTTAAATACCTATCAAGCTAATCAAAAATAGTCACAAAGTTCAAAATACTCAAGCAATTAATTAAATATTTGTTGCTTAAAAGGCATAAAACCACCGGAAAAGCAGGTTCATTTTCGCGAGTCTCTTTCACATGTGGTTTTTATTTCTTAATTTCTTGCTATTTCTTTTATAGCACGTAATATTTTTCTTTTTTCAGGAATGTCTCGCGACGATTTGGTCCAAAAAGCCAAGCTGGCCGAGCAAGCCGAGCGTCACACCGACATGGCCAAGGCGATCAAGAAAGTGACTGAATTCGGCGACCAACTGACGGGTGAAGAACGCAATCTCTTCTCGATGGCCTACAAGAACATGATTGGGTCTCGTCGTCACGCATGGCGAGTCGTTTCAACAATCGAGCAGATGAACAAAAACTCTTCGGAACCTGCAAACCCTGAGGTCATCAAGAATTACCGGTTGTTGATCGAAAAGGAGATCATGGCTGTATCCGAAGAAGTTATCGAACTTCTCAACAAATTCATTCTTCCAAAAACAACGGAGCCAGAGCACAAAGTGTTCTACCTTAAAATGAAAGCCGACTACCATCGTTACATCGCAGAAGTTGCAACTGAAGACGAACTCTCAAGTGCTACAGAAAATGCCAAAAAAGCCTACGAAGAGGCGCTGAAAGTTGCTGAGCAGCACATGAGGGCCGTCAATCCAATCAGGCTAGGACTTGTGCTCAACTTCAGTGTGTTTTACTACGAGATCCTCAAGGAGTTTGATCTTGCTTGTGAATTGGCAAAAGAATCTTTTGACACGGCGATCCTCCAGCTGGATACCCAGGGAGACGAATGCTACAAAGACTCAACTCTCATCCTGCAATTGCTTCGCGACAACCTCGCTTTGTGGACCGCGAAAGCTACTATTGATGCCAACCCACAAAATCAAGGAACCGCCTGATGAATTATTGGATCATGAAACTGATTGGTGACATTATTTACTTTGGTACGTTTTGCTCTACATTTTCTCATTTTGTCATTTTGTCTCTATGTTGTACAATTACTATCAAAAACTGAATAAATTCTGTAAAACGGTTAAAAAGATTTAAAAAGCTCTGAATTGCATACTATACCTGTAGCCTGTAGTCTAAGTTCGTTGTCGTCTCTTCGGGTTGCCATTCGGCGGTTGCGTTGCGGTCTGTTAGTAATCTAAATCGAAGGTTTTCCTGGTAGTAGTGAGTGAAACATTTTCAGTTAATATGTTTTGTTATCCAGCTTGAAATTTTGGGGAGCGTGTGTTACTGATTTTTTGTTGATTTCTCAAAAAAAACAGCACTTCCATTGTTGCAGGATAGCTGCATTCTTCGTGTAAGATGTGTTCTGAAGAGTCATTGAATCAAGCTAACCATACAAATCAATTTAGCAAGCATGGCCGGCGGCGAGAATGATGCTAGCATTCCCGAGAGCGAGAAAGTTAGGATTGCTTCGGACTTCCTACTTCATTCTCCCCCAGGAGAATTTAATGATGTTGGTTTTTGATGCCATAAACTAACACACTGTTGAATATTTAGGCATTTAATTCCGTTCGAATGCTTCTCAACAACGATTCGCTTCTGAAGGAAGGATGCGCGCCTGCATTCGCCCAATATAACAAGGAACAATTTGTACCAGTTAAGCTGGATGGTGTTGAAAGACAAGTGGGTTTTCATGATATGCTTATTTATTTTGTGCTTTTAGACGTTAGTCACCCCTTTTAACGATTTGGGAAACGGTCGTTTTACTGACGATGCTACAAAGAAATCTTTCCGTTACGATCATTTGCGCAAGGTAAATTTTAATGATATTTCTAAGCTACTTATTGTAAATATAATGCAAGCCTAATCGCCTGATTTAGGAAGCCAGTGATGTTCAATCTCTCGAGCCACTTGAGCACACTGTTGAACTGTGGAGAAAATCTTTGCAAACAGTAAGAGTTAATGATAAAAATTTAAACAGAAACTCAATTAAAGGAGTTGGACGCGTACGTTGAAGATCACTTTGCTCGCGCAGGTGTTGGATGCGTCTTTGCGCGTAATGGCAACATCATTATCTGCATTGAAAGCCATCAATTTCAGCCAAAAAATTTCTGGTGGGTTTTATAAATCAACATATGCTTATCCGATGATTAGTAACGGTCGCTGGCGTTCCCATTGGTTCATCCCAGTTGGTGATGGAAAATCTGGGTTCCAAGAATTGAAAGGACACGTGAAAGTACAAGTAAGTCTTTTGTGAAACCTTACATGCGATTTAATTACGACTTAGGTACATTATTACGAAGATGGGAATGTTCAACTATTCTCCGACAAGGAATTCTCAGTTAAAGTTCAAGTCACGGTAAAGATATGAATTTTTTTAAAATTTGCTTTTGTTTTACAGGCTGATTTCGACAAGACAGCGCGAGATGTTTTGGCGGCTATATCAAAAGAAGAAGCAGCCTACCAGGTTTCCTTTCTCCAATGACGATTAAACTTTTGCTATTTTAGCAAGCTGTCTTGGACAACTACGTAGCTATGGGTGACACGACTTTTAAGGTACGTAGCTATGGGTGCTTTGGTGATTTTTGTATGTAAGTTTTTAGGCTTTGAGAAGACAATTGCCCGTTACTCGATCAAAGATGGATTGGGTGAAGATCCCCGGATACCGTATTGGTCAAGATATGAAGCAGTAGCGTAGTCACAGTTATTTTCTTTACAACCATTTGCTTCGCTCGTATTTATTGACCTTGCATATGTTTTCTCCGATTAAGACTCTGTTCGTCTATTGTGCTTTAAATTTCTGTGCCTAGCTTTGAATTTAAATTATTGCAATTAATTTATCTTTTTCCTGGACTAGTCTTTGGTTCAGTTTTCTGTGCGTTAAAATTACTCGAGCTCTTCAGTAGTTCATCATTTTTATTTGTTTAGAATTTCATGCTGAATCATAATAAATCTATTTCCACAATGCACTTTTGTCGACTGTGCTTCAATGCATATTTATATTGAGCGTTCTTGTGAAGTGTTAGGTATATCTATAAATATAGTTAGCGAACGATAGCGGTGATGAACGAAACGGACGTTTCGTAAGTTTTCTTTGTTAAATCATTCATTCTTTTCTTTGTTAGATGATTCATAAACAACTTATTGTCAGAAAAAAAATGATTTTAGGAACAATGGGACGATGCTGGATGCAATCTCGAAAGCATCTTCAAGCCCTACCACGGTAAAGCTTCCCTTTTTAATTAAAAAATTGTATTTTTAGATGCTAGCATCAACTACTGCCGTGCCAACAACCTCAATGCCAAAATCGATAGAGGTAGACTTTGCAATTCTCAGGACCAAGTTAATTAAATGTTAGGAGTCTACTTGGCTTCCAAGCACGAGTGATAGAGCGTCAGTAACGCTGTTCATCTTCTCGTTCATCCTATTCGTTGTCGCTGTTGCACTTATTGCGAAAGTTGTCATCAGCCGCCGTAAAAAGTAAGTTTCTTATTAAAGTGTTTACAATTTTAGCAAATAGGAGAAACATTATTGGTGGTACGGCCCGATGGAGACTATCGACAAGCTCCCAAAGTGCGGCACCTCTGCAAACTGATGCCACTTACACACCCGTCGGAAATACAAGAACAAATAATAACAGGTTTGTGCTTTCTTTTTATTTGATTGAGCATGGTTCATTTTTGCCCTTTTAGGAACCCTCTTGATGCATCAGGGGAAAATCGACTTGACTGGGAGCGACAATTTTTCGACGAGCAAGAAGCTTCATCGGTAACACTTAGAAATATCTATACCAAAACAAAATTTCAAGGTGAACGTGGAAACATAAAAGTGGGGAAAGTTTAAGTGTTGTATAGTGTGTTTTGTGTTTAATTTTTGAGAATGTTTTTTAAGAGATAAAAAGATGGCATAAAGTTTTTTTTGTTTAGCAAGAGCCTTCTCGACTTCGCTTAGATTTCTCGCGGATGTAATTATGACTTCAAACATTTTCTTCTTATGGTTAGTTTTATTGTTATTTATTTGCTTTTAAAGTCAAAACATTCCATTTCCATGTATTTTGTGTTTTGTCCAAATACGAGTCACTTTTTGATGCTTTTCAATCATTAGTTGCCTAGCTTTATGGTGCATTTTATAATTTCCTTTTAATCGCTTTGGGGGTTTACATTCTCAACTTTCACAATTTGTACAAATTCCAGTACAATGATTCTCATATTTATTTTTTATACTGTGAACAAATAAATTGGGTTAAAGTTATTACTTTATAATAATATTAATCACAATATTTTGATACCCGAAGAATGAACAATGATTAAGTAGATAGTGATGGTTCAAATGATGGTTTCACAGTCTTTACTTCTAACTTTTGTTGGAACTGAGTTTCTCATAGTCGTATGTTTAAAAGAAGTTGCCCTTTGTGGAGATCGGGATGAAGTAGGTGAAAATGATTGCTTCAGGAATGAGGCTCCTGGTGGAATGTAGCTAGTATCCGTAGCTGGTCGTTCCTTTCGTGGTGGCAAAGGGCTTGAAGTTGCGGGGGTACTCGTCGGGGTCAACACTTTCGGATTCTTGCGTTCAATAGCTGGAAACAAAATCTTCATTGTTTCCACTTTTACTCACATTGTGTCCTTGAAATAGATGCCCCATTTGCTGTCCTTCTCGTGCTTCCCGGTCGACTTCTTCGTCCTTTCTGACTAGCTCTTGGCTAAAATTTGTGCTTTTTCGAGGACTTTGTCTAGGGCCAGTGATACCTGAAAAGATCCGCCTTGTGTCCAGAATTTACTAAACTCTTTTACGGCTCGATTTGTGTTTGTCGATGCTGTACGACGTAGTGGAGTTGCTGATGAAGGAGCTAAAAGTTTCAGTTTTTTTTTGTACAAACTCACAACCTGAGCATGCCCTCATCGATCTTCGGCTTGTTCCACTAAATTTGGCGGCACGTTGTGTCGATTGACTCGTTCCCATTTTGTGAGTGTTCGAAAAATGAGAAAATCTTATTCTCCTTTCGAAAAGATCACATTTAATCCAAAAAAAACCACAGAAGCAATCAATTTCCCCATATTAAAAGCCCCAAAAAAAGCAAAGAGAAAAGAAACGGCCAATATTGAGAAAAGGGTGCTAATCCGGATTTGCATCTCGTCAGATTTTTCCACGAGTTATGCATCAAGGAAATTGACATTTAGAGATTTCCTAGCAAAAAGGCAATTAAGGCAGATCAAATAATCATTGTACTTATTAGAAATTGGCTAAATCTTTTCGAATTGTTGAAAGCCCAAAATGCGAGCATGATAGCTGTCAAATGCAAGACTTTCTCATCGCTTCAGATTATTCTCTAACATGCCATTTTCCGAAACACCACAAACAGCTGACCATAGCAAGATGGAAAAAGATTACCGACGCTGAAAAATCGAAGCGAGGTGTCAGTTTCGAAAAAAAAAATCGACGTTTCAAGAGCCTAGAAAGCAATATCTAAAAGATTCCGTGTGATTCGGTCGTCTACAAGAGGCTGTTTTTTTGGGATGTGCTTGAACTGCTTGAGAGGAAGGATCAAAGAAAGAAAGGGTCGTCGTTTCAATCTTCAATCAGTACGTTCATTTACACGAGAGAACGAGAATAAAAACGAAGAACACATGCAAAATAGAGGAGAACAACCTCTTGTGGGAAAAGAAAGGAGAAATGGAGGAGGCCTTTATGGGGGAGAAGAGAGGGCCTTTCAGGAAATCGTCGCCCCATTTTCGTTTCGTCGCGTTTTTTGTGTATCTCGTATGTAATCATTTATCTCCACACACATACTCCCTTTTCTATTCGAAAAAGAAAACACGTCGCAAGCTTTGAGGGGAAAATGGATGCCCCTTGGGAGCACTTCTCGAAACATCTCCCACAATAAACACACACACCATAAAAATTTCTGGCCAGTGATTTCAAGATTCAAGAAGCTCGAAGACAAATTTATCGCATTAAAAGGATAAGTCAGTTACATATAAATATCAAGTCAAGGGGTTCAAGTTTCATTTTCAATGAGGTAGATATGCAAAATATGGAACGGGAAGATAAATAAAAGATGCATCATTTCAAAAACAATCAAAAGGCGACAAGTTTTGGCAGTTAAGATAACAGATAAGTGAGCAAATCAAAATATGAGCAAAGAAAGATTTGAAAGATATTGGCTACCTAAGCAACCAGCAACACAATCGACTTGTCTATACATAGACTGCAACCTATTTGAAAGAAAAGCTAACGAGTAATCCTGGAACAAAAGCAAAATTGAATGCACATTTAAGAGAATCGTCAAGGCTAACGATCACCGTCTCGGATCATCCGCCCAGCCCTGATCGTCGATTGTTTATTCTATTGACAGCCTTTGTGAGAACTTGCGTCAGTTGTCCGTGTTTATTTGCTGGGTCATCAACTGAATTAAGAAAAATCTTTTCAAGCATTAACATTGGAAGCTTAAGAAAATCTGCCATCACGTGCAAAAAGGATAATAAAATACTAATTTAACCACTTACGTCTAGCATCATTTTCTTTATTTGACACCGATGGACCCGGTCTAGAGGTGGAGGTTGAACGAAAGCGAGTTGGAATCGAGACGGTTTGTGGAGGAATTGCTAAATATACGTAGACTTTGAAGCTTTCGAAATATAACAAACGTCTTTCTGGGGCAATCTCCAAGACCATATCCCTGTATTTGGCCATCATCGTTCTTTGCAATTCATCCCTTACCGCATGCTCAAAATCTTCTCGACTCAATTCGAGCTCACGAACCTAAAATGGAGAAAGGTTTCATTACAAAAACCAAATACCTTTGCTTGTGCGTAAGAAAGATCCCTTCTTGTATCGTCGAGAACTCTTCGTTGATTTTGGATTTCCATCTCATACTGTGACAGCTGAAAAGAAAAGATTTTTGAAAAGCAGTCTTTATCTACCTTTTGTCGATGTTCATTATCGAGTCGAACCTTGAATTCTTCCCATTTTTTCTGAAGATCATCTCGATGAGTTTGCTAAAAAGATAAATTAAAACGTTTATAAACCAGTCGTTACCATTTCTCGCCGATGCTTATCATCGTTCCTGGTCGCTTGTTGCTCGAGTCGGCTTAAATAAAAAGTTACGGTATCCCAAAAAAATAACTAACGTGTTGTCTTGTTTACATTGATTGAAATCTCGTGTCAACGTGCGATTTTCATCTTGTACACGGCGCATGCTTTCCTCTAGCTCATTGAGACGTTTTCGCAAATCTGAAGTAATCTAACTGTCTTCAAGTTAGCTTTATAAGTTTACCTTTTTCACTTTGTCTTGTGTTCTCCAGTTGTTTGTTTAGTTCCTTATTTTGCATGCTGACTTGTTTGAGATTCTCGTCTTTTTGAGCATAGTTCTAGATTCAATTTATAATTAACAAAGTTGTCGAAATTTTTTACTCTTTGTAGTTGTGCAATCTCAGACATGTTTCGCTCTTTTGTTTCCTCTAATGTCGTCAGTGTGACCTATGCAAAAAGAGTCCAAGTTTTAAAAGTAAAGTTCAAACCTGCATGATTTGATTTGTGTTTCGTAGCTCTCGTGCACTATTTGCTTCGGCATCTCTGGCTGTGATGAGACTTGCCTCTTGGGCATTGAAACGGGTAATCAACGTGCGAATCGCTTGCTCAGCCTTAACATAAATTATAATGAACTCACTTAATAGATTTTAAGTAAGTCTGAATTCATGAACTTAGTGGCCTTGCTTTAATTAATTAAACATAGCTCCACCTTATCAATTGCTTCTTTCTGTACACGCTCAACATTTGTTTCCACAAACTCCAGCCGTCGCTCAAGCTCAAAATTTCTAAAACTTTCAATTTGCAGTAAAGCAAGATGCGAACCTTTTTGTTGCCAGTTGAATTTTCTCATTCAGTCGTTGATTGCCGAGCATTTCTCCCTCGAGAAGTTCTTGCAAATAATCAATTGTATACGACTAAAACAAAACATTAAAATGCCAAATATAAATACGCCGTAGATGTGCCAGTGCACCAAAACTTTACCTTAATCTGAGCGATCCTATGTTCTATTGGAGCTTTACCAAAGCGTTGACTTTCTTCTGTGACCGTAATCTTAAATTAAAATAACATAAGGGTATCTGTTGTGAACCTCACCTTCAAATTTGAAAGATGGTCAAAAGCATCAGAGATTTCGGCAAAAACACCAGTCATTTGATCGGCTAATCTAAAAATTAAAAGGCTGAATCGTATAATTAAAACAACTAACTGTTCAACGATTGGCACTGTTGGAGCAGGATTAGGCACATGATCCGTCAAAGTGGCTTGAGCATCGAAACGTCTAAAAAGAGGCAGTTGAAGACAAAATAATATAGAAATCACCTCCGAGTGTTGACGCTTGTTGGCTGGTATTGGAAGGTTCCTCGAGGCATTTCTGGAGAAGGAGTTCGATTTAAATTTCTCTAAAAACAAAATTAACCGTAAACTTAAAATGGTAATCAATTCAACTAACCTGTTTGTGTACAGTTCCAACTATTGGTGTGTCGGTCGATCTCGAGCGTCTCAATGGAGTCCTAGATGAAAAAGAAATAAATATTCAGTAAAAATTAACAAACGCATCAAGCGAATGACGCCTCTTGTGTTGTTGTCGTTCTTGTCGAGATTCACGAGACATTTATAAGTTGTCCACTCGACAAAGAATACTGTAAATTTGCAATTAAATTGATTTATATGCAAAATTAAAAGAAAAAAGAATTAGGTACTTTGTAGGTTGGGGGGGGCACCTATATTTTTAATTCTTTTCACTTTTCTAGGGGTAATCGAGGACGTTAAGCACGAATTTGACAGTTTTAGCATAGGTTTTCAACTGAAAAACCGACATTTCAACACGTTAAAGATTTACACTTTTTTGCCCTCTAAATGCAACATTAAGTTTGTGCGACTTTTTCTAGTCACTGCTATTTACCTAGGCTATAGCCCCGCACACCCGGAGACCCGACTAGGCACAGGCTATAGCCCGATTTACCCAGCTCCGGCCTTCCTTACACCCGGAGATCTGACAGGAGGCTCAGATGAGTCGTTACGGAGCCGGGTGAATCAGGCTTATAGCCTGTGCCCAGTCAGGTCTCCGAGTGTGCCATAGCCTAGGAAAATAGAAGTGTAATTTTCAACGTGTAGAAATGTCGGTTTTTCAGTTGAAAACCTATGCTAAAACTATCAAATCCGTGATCAGCATCCTCGATTACCTCTAGAAAAGTGAAAAAATCAAAAATATAGGCGCTCCCCCCTCCCAACCCACAAACTACCAAGAATTAAATCGGTCAAGAACCAAGAATTAAATAGACCTGCCTAATAAGAGTTAACGAGATTTTATATGTAAATTTTGGTTCATATGAAAATTCTTGCGAGCTTCATCCCAGCACACATTTCGGGACAATTTAAATTCTGAATTTAACACCACATTTTTCAGAAATTTCACATTTTTTTCTGTTCATTTCCTGAGCCATGGCGTTTGGGTCAACGATGATTGATAAAAGTAATAAAAAATTAACGGTCTAATGATCACAAAGAGCAAAATAGTTAATTTAACAAAAAAAAACAGACAAAAATGAAAAATATAGGTTTAATATTTGCTGGGGTGGGAACAAAGTACGATTATGAGCCTAGTAAATCGGGGTGACTACTAATCTAGTAAATGAAATTACTAACCCAGTAAACTACTACTAGGCTAGCGATTTCATACACTAGACTAGTAAACGCCGAATTTTGTGGACTGTTTTGCTGTTTTAGAGTCATTTTTGCTAAAGGATTTATAAAATTATAACAACAAAAACAAAATTAACAACGATCACTTTTGAAGTAACTCGTAATCGATTACTAGTCGCTAGTAAAGTTTTACTAATCACTAGTAAATATTTACTAGTGCGCCCCAATGTATTTTTGCATTCTTTACTAGGCTAGTAAAAGGAAATACTAGACTAGTAATCGCAACTACAAGTCTAACCGGAACTTTGGTCCCACCCCTGCATGTGGTGAGAGCATTTTAATCGAAAGAGTCTATAAGTCGAGTAATGGTGCCTTTCTTGGCCATTTGCCAGCACCATGACGCCAAAATACCATCCACGAAACTCTTCTTCTCCAAATTTTTGGGTTTACGACCACATGCACTATTTATAGATCTAATCAGATAAAAATCTTTATTTTGTTAAAGCAAGAAAAACCGCAGCATTTCATTACAGGAAATAAATAAGAGTGTGAGATCAACATAGCAAAATTAATACCTAAATACAGCTCAAAGCACAAAAAACTCACAAGAGGTTAGCACAATCGTTTTGGCAAAGGCATTTGTCATGTGTTAGTGAAAAGTATATAAATACCCAAAGAAATAAATTAGAATTCAAGTAAAAATATTTACAATCACTCTTTGTAATGCTTGGCGAGCGATGGATGAATTGGAGGGGCGAATTCGCGAACCATTTCACCTTCATGCTCTTCCCAAATCGATACGTAATTTCCTAGAATAACACGCGTATAAAGTTGTGGTGTGAAAGAAACTAATGATTTAAAAAACTTGAGCGAATGCACTGAATCACCGAAGATTTCCTCATGCAGTCTTTCACTCTCAACAGCCGGTTGAGCAAGGAAAAATTGGAGAGCCGACCAAATGCTGAAGGCATTCTAAAATAAACCAGACAATATTAACATACCGATGCCATTCTTCGCATTCCTCAATCGCCATGATTCGATTTGCAGGTGGATTGCCTTTCCAAATCTATTTTTCTTAATAGATTACGTTTTAAGTGTCCTCTTACCGGATCCATTTGTAGCATTTTTCGAAGTCGATCGAGAAAAGCTTCGAAGATGTTTAAACCACAGCAGAGTCGCTCTCGCGTTAACAATTCGGCTTCACGTGCGATTGCTCGTTGCTAAAAGTACATTTGATATGAAAAAGATTGACCAACTTACACTGGTATCTCCAAACTTCTCAACAACGTTTGTTAGTTGAAGTCGCGAGTATTTTTCTTCAAGTTTTTGCAATTGTTTCTCTTGTTCGACGACGGCTGAAATTAATTCTTGAAGTCAATGAAAGCAGCAACTAACTTTTCGCTGGTGGTTTCGGGATAACATTTGTGAAAGGAGCGGCAACCAAGAGATCCCAAGTTTCTTCGTGTGCCAAAGCGAGTTCTAATTGTAGACAAAAAGCAACCATGTTTCCGATGAAACGCAACTCCTAAAAAGAAATTGTAGTTAAAAAAACTATAGGACAAAACCTGACAAAATTCGGATTTCATTTCCGAATATTTACTCGCTCCATCAAGATGGTGACAGTAATATTGAAGAATCGCTAAAATATTTTTTATGGAGATTTCACAAAAGTTTAACGAAATGCGAAATTTTACCTGGACTTCCATAATCGTTTCGTGGCAGTTTGCACAACTTCGGCATAAGCTTCAGCACTTCTCGCGTGTGATTCTTCAGTCCTTGCTGCAAGCTGCCCCTCGCCAACTTCAGAACCTCTTCCAAGATTACGGATATTCCTAAGAATCTTTATTATCGAAAAATACAAGCTTCGTTGCCTTGATATTGAAGCAATTGAGCGATAGCCTTAAAATGCGGCATTCCGATGAATCCCGAGTAGACATGAAAAATGTTTGTGAAGGCAGCAACCAAACTTTTACTACCTAAACAAAATAGAATTGAAATTAGCCTACAAAAAACTTACCCCAATGATAAAGAACAGACGCTGTTGGCGGACGTTCACGAGCTGGCGTTTCTTTGAAGGTAACTCGCGAACGCACAAAGCTAAAGAATAATAAGCGCTATTATGTTTAAAAGTTGTATAACACCAATCTTACTGCTAGTACACTTACCATGAGGAGCTCCGACGTTGTGATTTGCTTCTAAGAAGAGATCATTAAATGGAGCCAATCCGCCAAGACGAGCATCCAATAAATCATGACACATTCTGTTTGCCTCAAGTAAAGCATCCAATTCCTATTTTACAAATTTACTCGAAATGAAAGGTTTTTTTACCAAAATACTCGACAATTGATCACTTTCAAACTTCCAGATTGCCGTATCGATTGACTTGATAATAGCAATGTTGATTCGTTGAGAAATAAGTCTATTGAGGTCGATGGTTCTTCCAAGAATCTTAACGTGAAAATTATATTTTAAATTTTCAAGCTCCTCACCCGTACATGTCGCTGTTTAAGTAACGCATCGAATCGAGCAGCTGGTGGTGTTCGAATGGAAACACCCGCTCGCTGGCATTCCGCTTTGAACCGTTTGTCAAGCAACATACTGTACAAAAATTAGTGGAACAACGACTTCTTAAATACATACCACACAGCCAGTTGTTTAAAATGTGTGTAGATGGCATCCGAGAGTTTATAGACGAATTGATCGAAACAAAGATTAACTTCGGCTTCAACCTAAATATAAAACAGTTTTTGAACTTTTACTTGAGCTTACCTCGTCGTACAAAAACTGCTTTTGAAAGTTGAACAAGCAGTAATGTGCTGCATCGTTGTAGAGATCGAGCTAAACTTTCGGGTGTTTAAAAGAATAAAATAAAAGCAAAGTCAATTGTCCTTTTAGAATACCTGGAAAAGAGCACATTCCAAAAGCGAAGCGTCACTAGTGGTCAAAATGTGATCGGTGAGAATCCACGGCATTGACATATCAATAGGGAACTAAAAAGGAACAATTTAAATTATCTACCTTTGTACAAACCTGGATCCTTTCCCCATTCGCGATTTCCAAGTAGAATTCTCTGAACCACAATTGAGAAAGATCTCCGGCAGCTGAAAGCGAGTCTGCGAAGTGCAACAAAGCCGTCCAATGAGTGGTTTTATGCAGAAATCGTTCGATGAACTGCTATTACTGTCTTTTCCCTAAATCAAACCGGAGAAGTAAGAAGAAAATAATTAGTTTCCGACCTTGCTTTTCTTCTTACTCTTCTCTTTTTGGACAACATTGTGTTGGGCTGCCAAAACATCTATACACGTATCACGAATCGATTGAATAATGCTAAAGTGTTTTTAAAAAGTTTAAAGGACTTTAAATTACTTTAAATAGACGGCCAATATTGAGAAAAGGGTGCTAATCCGGATTTGCATCTCGTCAGATTTTTCCACGAGTTATGCATCAAGGAAATTGACATTTAGAGATTTCCTAGCAAAACGGCAATGAAGTCAGATCAAATAATCATTGTGCGTATTAGAGATTGGGTAAATCTTTTCGAATTGTTGAAAGCCCAAAATGCGAGCATGAGAGCTGTCAAATGCAAGACTTTCTCATCGCTTCAGATTATTCTCTAACATGCCATTTTCCGAAACACCACAAACAGCTGACCATAGCAAGATGGAAAAAGATTACCGACGCTGAAAAATCGAAGCGAGGTGTCAGTTTCGAAAAAAAAAATCGACGTTTCAAGAGCCTAGAAAGCAATATCTAAAAGATTCCGTGTGATTCGGTCGTCTACAAGAGGCTGTTTTTTTGGGGATGTGCTTGAACTGCTTGAGAGGAAGGATCAAAGAAAGAAAGGGTCGTCGTTTCAATCTTCAATCAGTACGTTCATTTACACGAGAGAACGAGAATAAAAACGAAGAACACAAGCAAAATAGAGGAGAACAACCTCTTGTGGGAAAAGAAAGGAGAAATGGAGGAGGCCTTTATGGGGGAGAAGAGAGGGCCTTTCAGGAAATCGTCGCCCCATTTTCGTTTCGTCGCGTTTTTTGTGTATCTCGTATGTAATCATTTATCTCCACACACATACTCCCTTTTCTATTCGAAAAAGAAAACAGGGCGCAAGCTTTGAGGGGAAAATAGATGCCCCTAGGAAAATCTCTGAAAAGAAAAGGGAAATGGAGGAGGCCTTTAGGCCTTTGGTAGACAAATTTATCGCATTAAAAGCAAAGTAGCAACATATAAGTATCAACTCAAGGGGTTCAAGTTTCACTTTCAATGAGGTAGATATGCAAAATATGGAACACGGGAAGATAAATAAAAGATGCATCATTTAAAAAACAATCAAAAGGCGACAAGTTTTGGCAGTTAAGATAAGAGATAAGTCAGCAAATCAAAGATGAGCAATGAAAGATTTGAAAGATATTGGCTACCTAAGCAACCAGCAACACAATCAACTTGTCTATAGATAGACTGCAACCTATTTGAAAGAAAAGCTAACGAGTAATCCTGGAACAAAAGCAAAATTGAATGCACATTTAAGAGAATGGTCAAAGCTAACGATCACCGTCTCGGATCATCCGCCCAGCCCCTAACATTAGAAGCTTAAGAAAATCAGCAATCACGTGCAAAAAGAACAATAAAATACTAATTTAACCACTTACGTCTAGCATCATTTTCTTTATTTGACACCGATGGACCCGGTCTAGAGGTGGAGGTTGAACGAAAGCGAGTTGGAATCGAGACGGTTTGTGGAGGAATTGCTAAATATACGTAGACTTTGAAGCTTTCGAAATATAACAAACGTCTTTCTGGGGCAATCTCCAAGACCATATCCCTGTATTTGGCCATCATCGTTCTTTGCAATTCATCCCTTACCGCATGCTCAAAATCTTCTCGACTCAATTCGAGCTCACGAACCTAAAATGGAGAAAGGTTTCATTACAAAAACCAAATACCTTTGCTTGTGCGTAAGAAAGATCCCTTCTTGTATCGTCGAGAACTCTTCGTAGATTTTTGATATCCCGCTCATACTGTGACAGCTGAAAAGTAAAGGTTTTTTGCAATTCATCCCTCATGCAAAGATTTTTGAAAACAGTCTTTACCTACCTTTTGTCGATGTTCAATCTTGAGTTGAACCCTGAATTCCTCCCATTTTTTCTGAAGATCATCTCGATGAGTTTGCTAAAAAAATAAATGAAAACGTTTATAAACCAGTCGTTACCATTTCTCGCCGATGTTTATCAACGTTCCTGGTCGCTTCTTGCTCGAGTCGGCTTAAATAAAAAGTTACGGTATCCCAAAAAAATAACTAACGTGTTGTCTTGTTTACATTGATTGAAATCTCGTGTCAACGTGCGATTTTCATCTTGTACACGGCGCATGCTTTCCTCTAGCTCATTGAGACGTTTTCGCAATTCTGAAGTAATCTAACTGTCTCTCAAGTTAGCTTTATAAGTTTACCATTTTCACTTTGTCTTGTGTTCTCCAATGTGACCTATGGTAAAAGAGTCAAAACAAAAAGTAAATTTCAAACCTGCATGATTTGATTTGTGTTTCGCAGCTCTCGTGCACTATTTGCTTCGGCATCTCTGGCTGCGATGAGACTTGCCTCTTGGGCATTGAAACGGGTAATCAACGTGCGAATCGCTTGCTCAGCCTTAACATAAATTATAATGGACTCAATTAATAGATTTTAAGTAAGTCTAAATTCATGAACTTAGTGGCCTTGCTTTAATTAATTAAACATAACTCCACCTTAGCAAAAACACCAGTCATTTGATCGGCTAATCTAAAAATTAAAAGGCTGAATCGTATAATTAATATAACTAACTGTCCAACAATTGGCACTGTTGGAGCAGGATTGGGCACATGATCGGCTTGAGCATCGAAACGGCTAAAAAGAGGCAGTTGAAGACAAAATAATATAGAAATCACCTCTGAGTGTTGAAGCATGTTGGAACGCTAGAAAATGTCGGAATGTTAGAGGAGAGACCTCTGGAGTTGCCGGAGAAGAATTCTCCAGAAACATCGGTCATTTGATCGGCTAATCTAAAAAATAAAAGGCTGAATCGTATAATTAAAACAACTAACTGTTCAACGATTGGCACTGTTGGAGCAGGATTAGGCACATGATCCCTCAAAGTGGCTTGAGCATCGAAACGTCTAAAAAGAGGCAGTTGAAGACAAAATAATATAGAAATCACCTCCGAGTGTTGAAGATTGTTGGCTCGAGTTGGAAGGTCACTCGACGGTTTTGCTGTTTTAGAGTCATTTTTGCTAAAGGATTTATAAGATTATAAAAACAAAAACAAAATTAACAACGATCATTCCGCCTTTTGAAGTAACTCGTAATCGATTACTCTGTAAAGTTTTACTAATGACTAGTAAATATTTACTAGTGCGCTCCAATGTATTTTTGCATTCTTTACTAGGCTAATAAAAGGAAATACTAGACTAGTAATCGCAATTACTAGTCTAACCGGAACTTCGGTCCCACCCCTGCATGTGGTGAGAGCATTTTAATCGAAAGAGTCTATAAGTCGAATAATGGTGTCTTTTTTGGCCATTTACCAGCACCATGACGCCAAAATACCATCCACGGAACTCTCTTCTTCTCCAAATTTTTGGGTTTAGGGATAGCTTTTGGATCAATCATTGTTGACCCAAAAGCTATCCCTCAGGCAATAAACAGAAAAAATGTGCAATTCCTGAAAAATGTGGTGTTAAATTCAGAATTTAAATTGTCCCGAAATGTGTGATGGGGATGAAGCTCGCAATAATTTTCATATGAACCAAAATTTACATATAAAATCTCGTTAACTCTTATTAGACACGTCTATTTGCGACCGACTTAATTCTTGGCACTTTGTGGGTTGGGGAAGGGCGCCTATATTTTTGATTTTTTTCACTTTTCTAGAGGTAATCGAGGATGCTGAGCACGAATTTGATAGTTTTAGCATAGGTTTTCAACTGAAAAACCGACATTTCTACACGTTGAAAATTACACTTTTATTTACCTAGGCTATGGCTCCGCACACCCGGAGACCTGACTGAGCACAGGCTATAGCCTGATTCACCCGGCTCCGTAACGACTCATCTGAGCCTCCTGGTCAGGTCTCCGGGTGTAAGGAAGGTCGGAGCTGGGTAAATCGGGCTATAGCCTGTGCCTAGTCGGGTCTCCGGGTGTGCGGGGCTATAGCCTAGGTAAATAGCAGTGACTAGAAAAAGTCGCACAAACTTAATGTTGCATTTAGAGGGCAAAAAAGTGTAAATTTTTAACGTGTTGAACTGTCGGTTTTTCAGTTGAAAACCTATGCTAAAACTATCAAATTCGTGCTTAACGCCCTCGATTACCCCTAGAAAAGTGAAAAAATGAAAAATATAGATGCCCTCCCAATCTACAAAGTACCTATTTCTTTCTTTCTTTTAATTTTGCATATAAATCAATTTAATTACAAATTTACAGTATCCTTTATCGAGTGGACAGCTTATAAATGTCGCGTGAAAATCCACAAGAACGACAACAACGCAAGAGGCGCCATTCCATTCATACGTTTGTTAATTTTCACTGAATATTTATTTCTTTTTCATCTAGGACTCCATTGAGACGCCCGACTCATCCAGAAGTCTTCTCCGGCAACTCCATAGTTTCCTCCCCTAACTTTCCGACATTAGATACCGTTTCAACAAACTTCAACACTCAGAGGTGATTTCTATAGTATTTTGTCTTCAACTACCTCTTTTTAGACGTTTCGATGCTCAAGCCGATCATGTCCCCAATCCTGCTCCAACAGTGCCAATTGTTGGACAGTTAGTTGTATTAATTATACGATTCAGCCTTTTAATTTTTTAGATTAGCCGATCAAATGACTGGTGTTTTTGCTAAGGTGGAGTTATGTTTAATTAATTAAAGCAAGGCCACTAAGCTTTTGGGTCAACGATGATTGATAAAAGTAATAAAAAATTAACGGTCTAATGATCACAAAGAGCAAAATAGTTAATTTAACAAAAAAAAAGCATAGACAAAAAATGAAAAATATAGGCTCAATATTTGCTGGGGTGGGAAAAAAGTACGATTACGAGCCTAGTAAATCGGGGTGACTACTAATCTGGTAAATGAAATTACTAACCCAGTAAACTACTACTAGGCTAGCGATTTCATATACTAGACTAGTAAAACGCCGAATTTTGTGGACGGTTTTGCTGTTTTAGAGTCATTTTTGCTAAAGGATTTATAACATTATAACAACAAAAACAAAATTAACAACGATCATTCCTCCTTTTGAAGTAACTCGTAATCGATTACTAGTCGCTAGTAAAGTTTTACTAATGACTAGTAAATATTTACTAGTGCGCTCCAATGTATTTTTGCATTCTTTACTAGGCTAATAAAAGGAAATACTAGACTAGTGCAATTACTAGTCTAACCGGAACTTCGGTCCCACCCCTGCATGTGGTGAGAGCATTTTAATCGAAAGAGTCTATAAGTCGAATAATGGTGTCTTTTTTGGCCATTTACCAGCACCATGACGCCAAAATACCATCCACGGAACTCTCTTCTTCTCCAAATTTTTGGGTTTACGACCACATGCATTATTTATAGATCTAATCAGGTAAAAATCTTTATTTTGTTAAAGCAAGAAAAACCGCATTTCATTACAGAAAATAAATAAGAGTGTGAGATCAACATAGCAAAATGAATACCTAAATACAGCTCAAAGCACAAAAAACTCACCAGAGGTTAGCACAATCGTTTTGGCAAAGGCATTTGTCATGTGTTAGTGAAAAGTATATAAATACCCAAAGAAATAAATTAGAATTCAAGTAAAAATATTTACAATCACTCTTTGTAATGCTTGGCGAGCGATGGATGAATTGGAGGGGCGAATTCGCGAACCATTTCACCTTCATGCTCTTCCCAAATCGATACATAATTTCCTAGAATAACACGCGTATAAAGTTGTGGTGTGAATGAAACTATTGATTTAAAAAACTTACCTAAAGTAGCAAAAATCTGATTGTTGAGCAACTGGAGGCGCCGGATGCGTTCCACCATTTTTGTAAGTACCTAAAACAAAGTGTTGCTTGAAGTTTTCCAAAGGTAAGTTACAATTCCATTAATCGTGTCGTCCTTTTGATCGACTTTTTGAATCCGGTACAAATGATAAGAAAAGTCGAGAATCTAAAATTAATAGTAGCTTGAAATTTAAACAAAAACACACCTCGAAGCGTCGATGTTGTCCCAATAATTGAATCAGGGTGAGAGCGCCCCAATGCACTGAATCACCGAAGATTTCCTCATGCAGTCTTTCACTCTCAACAGCCGGTTGAGCAAGGAAAAATTGGAGAGCCGACCAAATGCTGAAGGCATTCTAAAATAAACCAGACAATATTAACATACCGATGCCATTCTTCGCATTCCTCAATCGCCATGATTCGATTTGCAGGTGGATTGCCTTTCCAAATCTATTTTTCTTAATAGATTACGTTTTAAGTGTCCTCTTACCGGATCCATTTGTAGCATTTTTCGAAGTCGATCGAGAAAAGCTTCGAAGATGTTTAAACCACAGCAGAGTCGCTCTCGCGTTAACAATTCGGCTTCACGTGCGATTGCTCGTTGCTAAAAGTACATTTGATTTGAAAAAGATTGACCAACTTACACTGGTATCTCCAAACTTCTCAACAACGTTTGTTAGTTGAAGTCGCGAGTATTTTTCTTCAAGTTTTTGCAATTGTTTCTCTTGTTCGACGACGGCTGAAATTAATTTTTGAAGTCAATGAAAGCAGCAACTAACTTTTTGCTGGTGGTTTCGGGATAACATTTGTGAAAGGAGCGGCAACCAAGAGATCCCAAGTTTCTTCGTGTGCTAAAGCGAGTTCTAATTGTAGACAAAAAGCAACCATGTTTCCGATGAAACGCAACTCCTAAAAAGAAATTGTAGTTAAAAAAACTATAGGACAAAACCTGACAAAATTCGGATTTCATTTCCGAATATTTACTCGCTCCATCAAGATGGTGACAGTAATATTGAAGAATCGCTAAAATATTTTTTATGGAGATTTCACAAAAGTTTAACGAAATGCGAAATTTTACCTGGACTTCCATAATCGTTTCGTGGCAGTTTGCACAACTTCGGCATAAGCTTCAGCACTTCTCGCGTGTGATTCTTCAGTCCTTGCTGCAAGCTGCCCCTCGCCAACTTCAGAACCTCTTCCAAGATTACGGATATTCCTAAGAATCTTTGTTATCGAAAACTACAAGCTTCGTTGCCTTGATATTGGAGCAATTGAGCGATAGCCTTAAAATGCGGCATTCCGATGAATCCCGAGTAGACATGAAAAATGTTTGTGAAGGCAGCAACCAAACTTTTACTACCTAAACAAAATAGAATTGAAATTAGCCTACAAAAAACTTACCCCAATGATAAAGAACAGACGCTGTTGGCGGACGTTCACGAGCTGGCGTTTCTTTGAAGGTAACTCGCGAACGCACAAAGCTAAAGAATAATAAGCGCTATTATGTTTCTTAAGTTACCGGTGAGTTGTCGTGTTGTAAGTGAAATTTGGAAGAAAGTCGTAGTTCAACTCCCAAAAGATATGCAAAGTGATTCTTCCTAAAAGTTGCATAACACCAATCTTACTGCTAGTACACTTACCATGAGGAGCTCCGACGTTGTGATTTGCTTCCAAGAAGAGATCATTAAATGGAGCCAATCCGCCAAGACGAGCATTCAACAAATCATGACACATTCTGTTTGCCTCAAGTAAAGCATCCAATTCCTATTTTAAAAATTTACTCGAAAGGAAAGGTTTTTTACCAAAATACTCGACAATTGATCACTTTCAAACTTCCAGATTGCCGTATCGATTGACTTAATAATAGCAATGTTGATTCGTTGGGAAATAAGTCTATTGAGGTCGATGGTTCTTCCAAGAATCTTAACGTGAAAATTATATTTGATATTTGAAATTTTCAAGCTCCTCACCTGCACATGTCGCTGTTTAAGTAATGCATCGAATCGAGCAGCTGGTGGTGTTCGAATGGAAACACCCGCTCGCTGGCATTCCGCTTTGAACCGTTTGTCGAGCAACATACTGTACAAAAATTAGTGGAACAACGACTTCTTAAATACATACCACACAGCCAGTTGTTTAAAATGTGTGTAGATGGCATCCGAGAGTTTATAGACGAATTGATCGAAACAAAGATTAACTTCGGCTTCAACCTAAATATAAAACAGTTTTTGAACTTTTACTTGAGCTTACCTCGTCGTACAAAAACTGCTTTTGAAAGTTGAACAAGCAGTAGTGAGCTGCATCGTTGTAGAGATCGAGCTAAACTTTCGGGTGTTTAAAAGAATAAAATAAAAGCAAAGTCAATTGTCCTTTTAGAATACCTGGAAAAGAGCACATTCCAAAAGCGAAGCGTCACTAGTGGTCAAAATGTGATCGGTGAGAATCCACGGCATTGACATATCAATAGGGAACTAAAAAGGAACAATTTAAATTATCTACCTTTGTACAAACCTGGATCCTTTCCCCATTCGCGATTTCCAAGTAGAATTCTCTGAACCACAATTGAGAAAGATCTCCGGCAGCTGAAAGCGAGTCTGCGAAGTGCAACAAAGCCGTCCAATGAGTGGTTTTATGCAGAAATCGTTCAATTCTAAAATAGATTTCAATTTTCGCCTTGTTCTTTGCGTTTTACTTTTCAACAGTTTTCTCATCAAGCTCTTTGCGCAGAATCTTTTTGCCACCCGCGCTTCTTTCAGACACCAACGATTCGAGTTGAGTCCTTGCCATGTAAAGCTAAAATAAAAACATGTAACAATTAAAATATTGTTTATACCTGTGTCGAGCTAGGCTCTGGGGGAAGACTTCTTTTGACTAGACGAACATCACTTGATGAACTGCTATTACTGTCTTTTCCCTAAATCAAACCGATAAGTAAGAAGAAAATAATTAGTTTCCGACCTTGCTTTTCTTCTTACTCTTCTCTTTTTGGACAACATTGTGTTGGGCTGCCAAAACATCTATACACGTATCACGAATCGATTGAATAATGCTAAAGTGTTTTTAAAAAGTTTAAAGAACTTTAAATTACTTGGCTAACAGATCCTTCTTTCCTTTGAGAGCTTTTAGGAGTGGCTCGGATAGAGAATTTTGCACAAAATCCTAAATTAAGATAAACATGATGGCAACAATACAAATAAAACCTGAAGTTCCGTGTAAACACATCGTCGAATAGCCTGTGAGAAAGTGGGCTCCAACCGCGAGAGAAGCGCTTGAAGGCCTGTAATTTATCAGTTAGTAAAAGACACAAGTCTTGACGCCTTAAATAACTTACCTTTAATCATGCCAATCACTTGAATGATTGCACTCTTTTCCTCGACCGAGTAATTGTATCTCGTTGCTCGTTCATAATCCTCCGCTGTTTCAGGACATTGTTGATTGATGGCAGGATTCGTCGGGTGAAGCAGTTTCCATGAAATCGTCTCCACAATGTTCGCAGTCCATCGACAAAGCAATTGAAGACCGCTCAACCCAAGGGATGTCAACTCCACATTTTCTACATCAGTCGGATCTCTGTCACAAATCGTCATCTATATCAAAATTGATATTCCAAGTTCAGAATTGAATTGCTACTTCACTATTCAGTTTTGCTAATTGTGCGAGATAACTTTCGTGTTCCAACTTGATCGCCGGGAGCCTTTCCACAATTTGAATGTTGCAGCGATTCCCTGAAATAGCCAAAAAGAGTAAGTCATTTATTTAAAAAGTCACCTTTTTTGTCGCTTAGTGGCCATTTATTTGCATCATAGACTTTCGTCATTCGGACAAAAGCAAACGGTTCGATTTGCATATCGCCAAAAAGCGGTACAACTTCGATGTACTAAATTCGATTTAGAAGCTTTGAAATAAATTGTAGCTACCTTGAATATTCTGTCCAATTTCGCAATGGATAGACGCTTTTTGTGTTCAAGTTTGGCAAGCATTGAGACATCCGGATCAGACTCGATCAAGTAAATACTGAAAGCGATCGCCTAAAACAAAATAAATTGTCACTGTCCCTTAAAACAATATTACCTTTACATACATGTGCTTCTCGGGGGCGCTCAAGTACAATTTGTTCTCAAGCATAAATTGGCAAATGTTAATCACATCGGTGAGAAGCTCTTCGTATCCTTCGATCTAAATTTTTAGATACAGGTAAAAGTTTTGATTGATTCAAAATTATTTCAATCAAACAGAAAAAAAATTAAACCTTTGAGATGTCGTTTCGTAGAGATTCCTTGATTTTGTTGTGAGATGCCAAGAAAAGCGATAAATTGTGCATATCGTGGATAGCTTGTGTGTCGGTCAACACTTGCAAAAATTGAGCAGCTCTTTAAAAATAAAGTCATACAAAAGAAGGAAGCCTAAAATACCTTTTAAACGTCGAAACATCATTTTTGATTGAAGCCTTCATGTTTCTCAATTCGTCAAGCACGGCGAACATGTTCAAAAACTTTCCCAGCGTCAAAAGATAGGCTTCAGAAACGAAATCCTAAGAATCGTAATTATTTTTTTTTCTAAACAATTACTTACCTTTCGTTTTTCGGAGTGGCATAATCTTTTCACTTCCATGCATAATCGCTGAGCCGCTTGCTCCTAAATTTAAATTGTATACATCGAGAGACCTTGATATTTCAACAGATCTATTCTAAAAGCTCTTTAAAATGGCAAGCGAACCGCAAAATGCATGAAACCGTAGAGTTTGTCGACTTCGGGCTTCAGTACCTCGACCACTTTCATGTTGATTTCAACTCGATTTGGTTGATCACTGGATCTTGCCTAAAATAGTAAATTTTAAAAAGAAATTTAAATTACAATCAAAAACAAAGAGTAAACAAACGTACCATGGGAACGGCTCTTGAGCAACACCTCCAAGTGTACAACAACGAAGCATGGTGATGGCCTTGTTCGAGCATATGATTCTAAAAAATATTTATGGTCAGTTGTTATATTCAAAGTAAAAATCTTTAGTTTTTAAATAGAACTTTTTAAAACTCACAAATTCCGAGTGCCTGGTCGCCTCCTCGATATACTTTGAGACGCCAGTGATATACGCATTTTTATCCTCGAAATTCGTATCGAAAATAGCTCTAAATTGATAGAATAAAGTGGAATAAGTTTAAACGAGTTTTATAAGTTTGTAATAACTTTCTAAATGAAAACAAACCGGCATAAAAGGGGCAGCGGTCTTGATTCGATCGGCGGAAGGTCATCAGGCAACAAACATTCATCGAGTAGCTAAAATTAGGAAATGATTCAGTACACACCTCCGTTTTTCATTAAAATTAAGATTTTTTCAAAAATAAAAGTCTTACCTCAACATTCGTTACGGCATCCGTTATCGATACCGTGTCCGTGGCCATCCAATGCTTCTTTTCGGTGTCGTTTTCGTGTAGAGTCTAAAATGACAAAATTAAAAATTAAAAAAGCCATTTTAAATAAAAAAAAGGAGATTCAAAAAAGATAAGAGAATCATTTGCTCCGGCAATCAAAACATGAATCGTTCAGAGTTTATCATCGAGAAGGACTACACAAGTGAACGCCCAATTCCACCCAACAATCCCCTCTTTGCTCTCTCTTACTAAATCTATGGGATAAGCGCTGGATGGGTGAATTGTTGTAGGGAAATTGATCTCATATTGAATGGATTTGTTGTCTACGGATTCAGTGAAAGACACCACTGGCGGGTGTTCGGATACCGCTTCGAATACGTACTATTCGGGTGAGTGATTGAAAAGCTGTTATGGTGAGTGAGTGAGTGACTATATGTTCTTTACCACTTTTCTTATAAATTAAAATATTAACAATTGCATTTGTATTAATTAAATTTGCATTCAAATCGGTTTAACCGTCGTTCTTTCAAAGAAGAACCTTTTGGTTTGACTTGTGACTTGGTTTGACTTGCAATTTTTAAACCTAGAAATGAAATAGAGACCTTTCCAGGCCCCGAGATCAATGCTGAACAAGAGTTTTTCCTCTATGAGCTGGAAACTACTGACTCAGGGAGTATTGGATTGGTTCTCCGGTAAATGATAAGCAATAAAATTTAACAAACGAAACCATTTAGAGCAATTTACGATTGTGGTGATGTGAAGAAATTCTCGCGAGCCTTAGAGCATCGGATACACATTTATGATAGGAGTATTCAAAATGTGAGTGAATTAGGCCGAACAAGAGGGTTTTGGTGCCCAAATCAATCAAGAATCGATTCTTTGCCCCATCAAGATCAATGTAAATCACAAAATTTTTACCTCTAAACATTTCCAGGTGTGCTCTCATCACTATCAAAGTTTTGTCGTCTCAATGAAACAACTCATGCAATTGCAGGATCGATCTGAAGATATTAAAGTTTGTTTCGAAAAAAACAACGATAAGATTTGAGAGAAATTCTAGAAAGATTTCATCGCGATCGACTCGAAAATCCAGGCGGCCAGTCAAGATTTGAAAGAGAAAAGCGCCGATGTCGTCAAATATAGAAAATTGACAAAGGTTTGAGGAAAAAGTTCTACAATTACAATACGAATAAGCTTGTATTGGATGTAAAACTTTTAAGCTTTTAAAATTTAATTGCAGAACGCAACTACGGCCATCGATCAGATCTCGCTTTGTTTGCCCGCTTTGGAGAACTACGCGAAACTGTTGAGTCTGATGGAACAGAAAAAGTGAGTCTTATTAAAGTTTACTAACTTTAGATTACTATTTACAAATAAATATCGAAAAATTTAGATACTATCAAGCTTTGAAAGTCCTCGAAGAGCTCGAGCATACTCATTTGGCGTTGGTAGAGAAATATCGTTTCACTCAACTTTTCGCCAACAGCCTTGCCCCGATTCGAAAGCAAATCAAACAGAATGCAAAGAGAAAATATTATATTTTTTTAAAAATTCGATTCTAGGCATATAGTGAATTCAAGGACTTCCTGGAAAACATCAAAAAAGTCGCAGCGAAAATTGGGAGACATGCAAGCAAATGTGTAAGAGTTGAGAACCAAAACTAAACTAGGAATTCGGAAAAAGCAGTTCTCTATTAACTGAAGAGTATTTAGACAGCCGAACAGCACTCATTTGGGGCATCTGAAGCTGAAAGAGCCCGTTTATTGCAAGAGGAATCGAGAAAAAGAGCCGACGATGTACAGGTGATTGAAAACATCTTTCGAGTTACTTGCACAGAAGTATTTGTTACCAGAACAATGGAACCAGAGTGTTAACAAGTTAAACAAGATCACGTCAAACTTTCAGGTCACTGTCTCATCCGACGGAAGTCTCATCAAGAAGAAAGTCACCCCAACACCCCGATCGAGCAAAAAAGACGACGATTTTCTTGTAGGCACAATCTTCTACAACTACAAAAACTTCTACAAGAAAATTTTTAGGGTGACGAATCAATCTCAGCTCAAGATATTCAAGATTTCACTCCAATTCATCGCTGCTTTCAAATATTTAATGTACTTGGAGCAAAAGATGAATTCGAGAGGTGAAAAGGAAAAAAAAGACTATTCAACAACATTCAAATTTTAGATATTATCGTGAACAGAGAACGGAACAGTGCAAATTGGTTAGTCTCCAATCGGGAAAGGTTTGTGGAAATGATGAGGATGAAAGGGGGAATCATTTAGAAAGCTTCTCTTCGTCATTACGTTGAGTATCTGGATGAAGTGATCGGGTTCTTTGTGATTGAGGATCGAATTTTGGACACCGAACCGTCATTGGGTGAGTGTCCGAGAGTAGCTTCAAGTCAGATCCATCATCGGCCTCAATCAAACTTTGTTTAGTTGACTCAAATCGATAGTATATCTTCAATTCCATAACCTAAACGTTTGTAACTTTGGTTAATTGATGAATTTGCTAATTTTCAATGAAAGTACAAAAAGGAATGAAAAGACGGACAGCCTAATAGACAACTTTTTTTGAACTGAACGATTAACTTCACCTTTCAGGCACCACCGCTCACAAAGAGGCTCTCTGGGAAGACTCGTTGAAGAAAGTGATCACCACGATGAATAATGGATTTGTGAGTTTTGAAAACACAAAACTATAGTCCTTGATTGTATTCAAATGTATTCAATTTTAGGGTTTATCTCTGGAAGTCGAGTCGATGTTGCGAATGAAAAAAGTGGTTCTCCTCTTTGCGATCACGATGAAATCCTATGGCTACAGCATCGCCCCACTGTACAGTCTACTGCAGAATTTTAGGTAGTAGCAAAAACTAAAACCTTTTATAGAAAATCCTTTCAGAGATCAATATAGTGCTGTGCTTTTAAAAGAGTATCAAGACCAATTCACGAAAGGACTCGACTCGGATACGTACAGGTGGCTGAATTGAATAATAGACGGCAAATACTTGCTTAAAAATTTGATAAAATGAAATCATTTACATTCAGTCCTGTCACCGCCGAAAACGAGGATCAATTCAAATCGATCGTTCGACAATTCCCCTTCTACAAGAGAAGCATCGAACAGGTTCAAACTTTACGGGAGACAAATCTTTGAACTTTTATCCATTTCAGGAACAATTTCCTCGTAAATTCCCATTCTCTCGTTTCGTCATCACCGTTTATAGCTTTGTGAGTGAAGGGGAGATTCTCTGATGAGATTCGTTTAGGCAAAATCGTATTTGAACGCGATCATGAAATTCTTGGAGCATTTACAAATGAAACATTCGGATATCGATGATACATTGAGAAGGTAAGAAAGATTGACCTTTGATCAGCTTTGCCTAAACAAACATATGAACTTTGACTCAGAAGTAAACTGTAGATAAACATTTTAGCATTTGTAGGTTAACTGAATAGCTTTCTATACTTTTTATGATCTGTTTTTTGAAATTTTAGTTAATTAAGAAATGAATTAAGCAATGAATTAAGAAATGAACTAAGCAATGAACTAAGCAATGAATTAAGCAATGAACTAAGCAATGAACTAAGCAATGAACTAAGCAATGAACTAAGCAATGAACTAAGCAATGAATTAAGAAATGAATTAAGAAATGAATTAAGCAATGAGTTAAGCATTCAGTAAAACCAAAGAAAAATATCATTGCATTCAGACACGCAAATATTCTAATCAAACGATGGAGTGAAATTCTTAAACAGTATGTGACGGTGAACAAGAATTTGGTGAAGGTTTGATTTGACGTAAAATAAGACGATTTTTATTAGAGTTTATAGTTAATTCAAATCACGATCAACATTGGTTATTTGGAGAAAAGTTGTGAGAGTCTCGGGGGTTTTATTACAAAATTGACAAATGGAGGAGAAATGTCAGCAACATCCACGGGATATCAGGTATAGGATAATCAAAAGAAAAATCTCAATTTTCATTTAACTTTGGACATATTTTGCCTAACTAATACGTTAATTTGAGGTTCCCCTTTTGGAGCGAGATTTTCGTGATGCGCGATCTGAGGTCGAGCAACGAATTGAGGAGAGTTTAACGGAGAAAGTCGACGAGTTCTTAGAGCTTGGTATGAGATTTGAACACAAGATGATTGTAGATGATTGTAGATTACTTGAACACAAGATGATTGTGGATTACTGTCTACTTTTGCTATCAACAACTAGCTCTGGCAAGCTTGATCTGGCAAGCTTGATCTGGCAAGCTTGATCTGGCAAGCTTGATCTGGCAAGCGATCTGGCAAGCTACTGGCAAGCTGATCTGCAAGCTTGATCTGGCAAGCTTGATCTGGCAAGCTTGATCTGGCAAGCTTGATCTGGCAAGCTTGATCTGGCAAGCTTGATCTGGCAAGCTTGATCTGGCAAGCTTGATCTGGCAAGCTTGATCTGGCAAGCTTGATCTGGCAAGCTTGATCAACTCACATAATCACATAGTACTCCAGTTCCATTACCAGACTCAAAATGTAGTAGGTCTTGAATCTGGTAGCATTAGCCGGCTGACTAGTGCCAGATTTATGGAATAAGTGGATAGATCTAGTGCCAGATCTATTTTACAGTAATTCCTGATCAGATAATGTTAGATGTTGTCCACGTTTACTCGCTAAACATTTACTTGCTGATTATTGCAGCTCGTTACGACTGGGAGCTCCCCTCGTCAGCCGGACATGCCTCCGAATTCATCACCGATCTCCTCTCTTTTCTCACCACGACTTTCGTCTCATTCACCGAATTGCCGAGCGCTCTGGCTAGACATATTTGCACACAGGTTTGATTAGAATTAAAACAAAAACAACACCTCATTTAGACCTGTAAACACATTACCCAACGCTTGTCGGAGATGTTGTTAGCACCGGATGTGAAATATCTCAGCCAAGGTGAGGAAAGAAACCGAATGAGATCTGAAAATTCAATATTCAGGAGCTTTGGAGCAACTATCGTTGGATGTGATGCAATGTGAGCTTTTCGCAGAGAGATCATCGATTGCCGGACTTGAGAAGGGAGCTCTCCCTGTCACTTTTGCTCATTTAAGGTCTGTAACAGGCAAGATTTTTGAACTTAAAGGTATAACAATAATGTTATCTTTTGATATAGTTCTAAAGAGGACTTTAAGTGCTTTCAAATGGTATAAAATAGAATTTAATTGGACCACAGAACCCAAAAAGAATCAAGAGACAAAAGGCTTAGATGTCATTAAATGTCAAAAGACTTAAATGTCATTGTCATCGCATTATTCTCTCAGTTTAGCTGCTGTTTGCGTAGAAAATGGTTCAACAAGTGTATTCAATAGTTGTAATATGGTTCAACAAGTGAACAATGATCAATAGTTGTAATATAAACTTACATTTGTAGACAACTCTTGAACTTGGTCTTGGAATCGGACTGGCCGACGTACATTGCCGACTTTGGCCGTCCCACATCGAAATACGCTCGAGTACAGCCAGCAAATGCGATTCTCATCCTCGAAAAGTGAGCCTAACCTTTAAAACTTTCAACTTTCAACCAATGTTAGCTTTTTTTCTCTAAATTAATCTCAATTTTAAAACGATTTTGCAGAATGATCGAATCCGAGAAGAAAAGCGCTGGTTTCTTCAATTTTAACAAAGGCGATCGACGGAAATTCTACGATTCTCTCATCAAACAATTACAACAGAAAATGGCACAATGAGAAAACTTAATCTATTTGCTTTGCTAAATATTTATTTCTGAGCTTTTCTGTGATTCTACATATGAATTGAAATGCCAATCAATCAGCCTTCATACCAAAATTTCTTGATTTCTTGATTTTGAAAAAATAAACGATATAAAATTGAGAAGGAAAAACGGAAAAGGCAAGCTGACTTTGAAAACTAGACAAACTGACTTGCGGAAAGACAAACTGACTTAGTTCCTTTATCATTTTTTTGATATTATAAGTTCCATCAGGAATTACTTATCCCGACTGATTGACCCATTTTTCTGGATTTTCGATGCATAAGAGTTTATAAGAATTGCAACTAATCAAAACAAATATCACAATAAATATTGTGAATCACAGAGCCAAGACATGCCCTAACTTTTAAGTATCAATTTCCATTGCTTTCAAATTTCTTTCTTCACTACCCTAGCTTATTGGTTGTTTAGATGGAAAAATAGCAAAAGCTCATTGATTAAACTGTTTGTTTGGGGATTCAATAAATCTTGAGGCCAAGTGGAGGCTGTGTGTTTATATAGTGAAAGGCGCTCTTGCCCCCTCCCCTCTATCCGATCTTGGGTGTCCCAGTCGCTCTCCACTGCCTCCTAATCTTTGTCTTTTCTTAATCGCCATAAATTGACGATATTGTTATTGATTGCCACATATCATCTGGGAATTGTTTTGCGTTTTCTAAAATTGTAACTATTGTAACGGTCGTATTAGTCAGTTCTCATTAGAGCTCAATTGTTGAGCTCTCAATTGTTATCCTTTCATCGGGCTGATCGCTTATAAAATGGCAGTTTGATTAAAGTAGTTCTAAAAAAGGATTTAGTTAAAACAGAGTCAGAATAGAAGTTCAAAGTTCAAAACAACACCATCAAATGTCTCAAATCCAAAAAAAATCAGTTAACCAACACTCGACACACATTTTAAACGCTAATTTTATCTATAAATATTAATTTTTTTGACTGTTTTACTGTTTTACCCATCATGTAGCCAAGAAAAAAGGATTTTTTTTGGTATAAAACATGAATCAGTTTGCTTTTTTGCATTGTGAGGATTGCTGTTTTGAGCATTTTCTTTTCTTACGCTGTTTTAACTACATACCCTAAGATGTGTGTTGAAAATATCGACTTATGAAATATGAAAAGTTCCCAGATGATATGTGGCAATCAACTTATACTGTATCCTTTACATCCTTTACAAGCCTTTACCTTTACATCAAACCCTTTTCAAATCAATAACAATTGTCATAGACAATCAATAACAATTTATCAATTCCCATTCACCGAAATACGATTAATCTTTTGCATGTGAATTGCCGGCAATGAGTCACTGATGCGGGAGAAAGAGGGAATGATCCTTTGGAGAAGGTGATAAATTGATCGATATTTGGAGGGAAAGGGCCATACCATTTCTCGAGAATTGGATTCTTTCTTCCTCTTTCTTTCAATCAATGATCATTCTTTGTTTATTATCTCTTCTCTTTTCTCCATTTCTTGCCATCTTTTCCTCTGTCACTTTTGATGATCTGCTATTCCTGAAAGGTTTTTTGGGCTGATTTACGGCCAATTGTTTTATTGGTTAAACTGAGACCAGAATTTTTTGGTTGCTATGAATAGATTGGGACAATTCATTGCTCGAACTTTGGACCTAAGTTCATTCAATCTCAACTACTGAATTTTCAAATGTATGCCTTTTAGTGTAAAAACCACATAAAAACCATTGTAAAGAATCGGATACGCTTTTTATTTTGTAATATTGAATTATTAAACAGCTTTTCAACTACAAGATAAATTTCTCTGGGAAAACTTGAAAATCAAAGCCTTTAAGTGATCGTGATCGTTACTTTTTAAATAAAATCGGGGAAACGAGTAAAAAAAATTGTTAAGTGGGGGGCAATATCGGCGGTGAGGAGAAGGGTAAAGGGGATAGTATGATTTTGAAAGGACATAGTGAAAGGAACGGATAAAGAGGTGAGGGAATTGAGGTAAAAGAATAACAGGGTGTAGTGGGAGAGATAGAGGGAACAACAAGGGGTAGAGGGACGGGGATCCCCCTCTCCTTTCCTCTATCTGGACGTGACTCTCCCCCTCCTCCCTCCAATTCGCAGTGACCGGCTTGCACGCTCCATCCTCTCCTTTACCCCTTCTCCTTCAATTCACCACTCTTGCTTTTCTTCTTTTCTGTTAGAAGGATGGGTAAAACGAAGAACTCCTTTCTCCTTCCTCGATCCTCTTGTTCCCCTTTCCGATGTTTTGACCAGTTTCATGCACCCCCCTTTTTCTACTCGATTTCACATGTCCACTGATTGATTGCTACATTTTGCAAGTTCAATTCTCTATCAAAACTCTGTTTTGAAAAGGATTCTCATTTTAAAAAAGCTTACTATTGAATATTTGCCATTCCAGAGGGCATCTGGGAAAGTCTATTGAAACGGTTGATTCTATTGAATTGAGTCTATTGAGTCGATTGGATTTGATAAAGAACACAATGATACTTTGATTAAAAATCACCTTAAGCATCACTTCAGTATTCATTAGTGCCTTTTTTGCAAACATATTCAAACACCTTGCTCAGCTCATTTGCTTGTCAATTACAGTTTTTCGTTTCCGATATCAAATTCGACTGCATCGATCTAGGAAATTAGGATCTAGGATCTAGGAAATTATTCATCAAAGCTATCAAAGCTGATCTTTTTTCTGCTTCTTATACAAAAAGTTTAGAGTTTTCACATTTCGAACATTGATGATTACCACATCTAACACTGATTTTCCTTTTATCAAACGGAAATCGTTACTCAAAACTTCAGTCTATCCCAATCATTCTTCATCTCACCCATTTTTTGACTGTTTGACAGACTGAGTCATATTTTTTTAGAGCTTTTGTAAGAGTTGAAAAGAGTCTGTTGTTTTTCCCTTTCCTATTTTTCTTTTCTTTTCACCCATTCATACTCATTGAGTGTTTACATTGACATTCCCTTTCCCCCTTTCATTATCTCTTTTGTTTTTCGTAACTCCTTGCGCCTCTTCTCGACTTCGACTTCTTTACAATTTTGTTCTGACTACGACATTTCCTGTGACCCAAAAGCCTTGTTTTTGGCTTCTTATCATTTATAAGCATTGAAGAACGGAGTTGAGGGTTTCAAATTTGAATGCTGGTTTTACCTCTAGCTTCTTCCAGAGACTTGTAGTTTATTTTGTTTATGTGTAAAGCAAAAGAACTTTTAAATGAGTTGAGCAGATATTGCAGCCAAGAAATAACTAAGCCAGTCAAGATTAAAAAGGACACACATTGGCTATTTTTCTATGTACTGTAATCTGTAAGCTTACTTTAGCACTAAACCAAAGAGAGCTATCAAATCCTTTATCAAATTGTCAAATTGTCAAATGTCAAAGTTTTCTTTTGTTATTTAGGCTCAAGTGAAATTGAAATTGCTTCAAAATCATTCTCTAATCATTATTTAAATCAACATTTTGAAGATTTTTTTGAGAGAAAATGAGACTTTTTAAGGGAAATAGACAGATGTTAGAGAAGAGATTTTGAAGGGGGAAAAGAGAGAAAGATGGGCATCTTTTCCCTTTTCTTCTTCCCTTTTTGTCGTGTTGTTGTTTGTATCCGATATGCCCATCGAAAGAAACGAAATGTTTACACTCTTGTCCTATATTTATTTTTTTCTTCCTTATGATCGCCTTTGTGATTCCCGAAATTTTGGTATGGGAAATTTCGAGGGAATCACAAAAATTGTTTACGTTTTCTCTTTTCCCCACGATTTCAAAATTGTGGCTTCAAATTCTTTTTTTGGGAAGATTGTTGTGGGCTTTTCAGTGTTCTTTTCAGTGATCTTTTCCACAAATTAGCCTTTTCAAGAAATCCCAAGGCATCATAGTTTGGATAAAATCTTCATTAACAATCGTAGAAAATCTTTTGAACAAATTAGTGACCAGTATTGAAGTCAGAAAAGTTTACTCATTTTTCTAAACACTCCAGATTTCCAAATTGTTTTTGGTTGAAAGAAACTCGTTTCCCATCGGCCCGATTTCTGGGTTTGCCCCTTTTCTCTTTCAAAGGATGACACATTCCTCGTTTCTTTCCTTTTCCTTTTTTTCCATGACCTTCAACCGAGTCACTTTCTGTCGATAAACGTTATATCGGATCTTCTCTTTTTTCTCGGATCGGTCATTCGTTTCCTTTTTTTGGCTACTAATTATCCTCAAATTTATTACTATCACCCTTTGATTTGAGTGATATTTTAAGAGCCATGAAATCAATCTTTCATCAGTTTTATAATTTTCTTATTTTCAATACTGCGAACATCTTGTTTTCATGATTACGTTTCGGATTTGAAAACAAAATCCTTTGAAATGAATCTTTGCGGGTGATTCAAGCTGACGACTCGATTTCTTATCTTTGTCGACGATCTCCTTTGAATTTGACAAGAATTTGACAAGATTCTTGTTTTTATAGACAATCCATTGTTCTATTCAATTTCAATACATATTCATTCAATGTTAAGGTGATGTTCTGCAGATATTACGAGATCTTTTTCCATTGTATGTGAGTCAATTTTGATTGCAGCTTTCCTTTGAAATACTATAAAGTCTCATCTTTTATATTATATAAAAGTAGGAACCTTCCAAAGCAAGCCAGGATTTCAGACCCAGCCAAGAAGCAGAAGTCAGGTTAGGATCTGGATTTGCAGCAAGCTTCTGGTCTAATTCTGGACTGGCCTAGGCCGAGTTATAAGTCTGGCCTGGCTCAGGACCATGTCCTGACCTGGCTTCTGGCGTTGTTTGACCTGGCTTTGTTGTAGGGCTTGCATTCCCTCAGAATTTCAATTTTCACCAAAAAAAGCAAAACATTTTGACCCCTGAGGGACTTGAACCCCCAGCCTTTCGATCTGGAGTCGAACGCGCTACCGTTGCGCCAAGGAGTCTCGCTAGCTTGGCCGAGTAATCAAGGCTTTAAAGATGGCTGAAGTTAATCAGGTTGAATACTTAAGTGATGAATCTTTTTATGTTTAATTTAGCCTAACCGAATCTCAATTTTCCAACACCCTCTTTGATCCAAAATATTTTTTTCAGTCAAGTTTTTCTCTCTTTTTTGATGATTCATTTCATTTTGATATTGAATCGAGAGCTCTCCATCAAATTTCATCAAATTTATTTTAAAACCACTAATCGAACAAAAAATTCTTTTAATTCTTTTCCTTTCATCGCTTACTCATCAATTTATTCATTTTTTAGTTTTTTTAAACAAAATTTTCCATGAAATCAATAGTTTTTAAGGCATTGAACTTCTTATTTTTATATAAAAAGTAGTAAATTAAAAAAACTTTCAAGAATATTTTTGAATTTTCACTGATCTTTTCCAAAACTGGCGCAAATTGTTCCCAAGTGGCTCTCAAATTATCCAATTTCCCCTTTTTTCACTAATTGCAAAGCTTTTGAAGGTTATTTTCATGTAACAGTAAAAGTTTTCTTTTTATGAAATTTAAAAGATGTACTTTGAGAGGTTAAAAATTGAAAATCAACCTTTTCTGACGCTCTGAATTGTCAACAATTCATAAAAATCGCAGGAATGCGATGGAAAACGCGAGATTTTGTCTATTTTTTGTTATTTCTCCTTTCATTTTGTGCTGCTCAAGGGAAAGATGAAGATGAATTAAGCGGAGATCACATTTGCACCGTTCCACAATTGTAAGTTTCTAGCAAAAATAGCAATGATGTTCTTGGATAATAAATGAGTAATTAAATAAGTGAGTTTATTGAACATAATTCCTCGTTTAGAGTCGACACATATGAGATTCAAAAAGTGGTTCGACCGGTCGTGTTCACCGACACGGAAACATGTGCAGATCTTAGTCAGGGATTTCGGTGTAAAGTTGAGAGGTGAGAGGAAAGTCTGGGCAGTATTCCATTTCATTTTTCTTTCTTTTTTACAGAAAGGGCACCAAAGTGACCTATGAGAAAAAGCTGAAGAAAGTCGAGAAATACGTGAAGAAATGCTGCGAGGGTTATTATGAGACAAAGGATAAACATTGTAAACGTGAGTTGAGTAAAAGTGAACTGGCTGGTTCAGGGTTGGCTTCTGGCTGGCTCAAATCCTTTATAAGCCACCCTACTTGTAAAATGATTCATAACATAACTTTCAAAGATCTCTTGGAGTCTCTAGACTTTCAGAAAGTAGATTTGGTCTAGCTGACCCAATCTCTAGGTTATGGTTTGGCTTCTGTTTGGGCCAGATACTTATATGAGCCAAGCTTGGTCCATCAGTCGATCCGATAGTTGATTTTAGAATACCCTGAATCCAATGAAGACCCAGCCACTGGACTTAAATACAATAATTTTTAGCCGAATGTATCCCTGCTTGCAAAAAAGGACACTGTGCCGCGCCGAACGTTTGCGAGTGCGATTCAGGCTATGGAGGAAAGACGTGCTCAGCTTGTTCGTTTTTAATTTACAATGAAATCACTTATCAAAATAATATGTATAAGTTCTTTCAGCTTGTTCATTCGGCAAATGGGGTCCCTCGTGCAGGAGTGATTGCAAATGCGAGAATGGAGCGAGTTGTGATCCAGAAGAGGGGACTTGTGTGTGCAGTGTTGGTGAGTAGAAAACACTATAAAATCATACCATACGATAAAAATATAATAAGGAATAAAAATACAAAGCTGATTATTCACTATTTATCATTAAAATTCAAAAATCTCAGGTTGGAAGGGTGATCTCTGTTCGATTCCCTGTAATCCAACGACAGAATGGGGAGCTGCATGTAAAGAGAAATGTCTATGTCAAAATGGGGGAAAGTGAGTGATATATTATAGATAATATTATTATTGACTAATCTAATGATAATATTATTACATTTTATAATATCTAATATCTATAATATCTTAATAAATAAGTCAAAATCTTATCCTAGATGTGATCAAAACACGGGTGAATGCGAGTGTCCGCAAGGATTCTCTGGGAAATTCTGTCTCAAGCAATGCGATGAGGTTAAAAAATTATCTATACAATAGATTTTCAAAAAAAATCTTCAGGAAACTTTCGGAAAAGATTGTCAATTCAAATGCGCTTGTCAGAATGGTGGACGATGTGATAAAGAGAATGGAGTGTGCATTTGCGCGGCTGGATTCACAGTGAGTACTAGACATGGGGAAATTTCAACCCAAACCTAATTCCACCATTAGCCAATTGCTCTGAAATTTTGTCTACAGATAGAAATCGATATTTTCAGCTTGTAGACAAAATTTTAGAGTAATCGGTTAAGAAACGACTGAGAGAATGAAGATGGAATTAGGTTCGGTTTGGAATTTTCATGTCTATTCCATGTCTATTGAGTAAGGGGATTTTCGACTTAATAACTATAAAAGCATAATTATTCTAAGCTTATTTTCGAATAAGAATAGAAATCTTAAAGAATATTGTAAAAACTTGTTCAATATTGCAAAAACTTCTGATTTCAGGGCCCTGTTTGTGAAGAGGAATGTCAAGAAGGGTTTTTCGGGGAGAATTGCACTCAAAAATGCACATGCCTTAACAAAAATAAATGTGATTCGAAAACGGGAAAGTGAGTTTTAAAATGAATTAAGCTTGAGAAGATATTTCATTTCACAGCTGAATATCTTTTACAATTGAAAGTTTAGATGTATTTGCATCGGATGGCAAGGGAAGCAATGTGAAAACGGATGCAAGAGAGGATACTTTGGGAAAGAGGTATAGTTGGTTTAATGAATCTTTAGATAAAGCTAATAACATTCTTAGACTCTTAATAAATTTAGCTTATAGTCACCTTTACCCATTTCCAGTGCTCGGAGAAATGCAAATGCGCTGGGATCGAAAAATCCGATTCAAAGACGGCTTGTGATTCTTTGACTGGCGAATGCATTTGTGAGGGTGGATTCACTGGACCTGGATGCAATGATAGGGGTAACGAAGTTTTGCATATCGATTTATTACAATTTTCATTCCAGCTTGTCTAGCCGACATGTACGGAGCAAAATGCGACAACCAATGCACATGCAATATGGAGAATACGGAAAGGTTTGTTCAACTATCATAGGTAACAGCTTTTTTTTTCTAAATTGTATCGTTTAGAAATGGACAGTAGTACAAGTTAGTACTAATGACAACTAGTTAGTACTTTAACTATCCTCTATTCAGTTGCACCCCGGACCATGGAGATTGCCGTTGCAAAGCTGGTTTCACTGGAGACTCCTGCGAGAAGAGATGCGACAAAATGAGATGGGGAATTGACTGTGCAAACAATTGCAGGTACAGCTTAAAGTACCATATTTTTTATATAAATCTTTAGGTGTCCATTCAACGTGACTTCTGAATGCACAGCTGATCAAGGGAAATGCGTCTGCTTGCCCGGATTCACTGGAGAAAAGTTTGTTGTTAAAAATAATGTGATATGAAAAGTAAAACGTAGGAAATATAGTGTAACCCTAGATATACACTGTGGTGCAAAAGTCCTGACCGGTCGCACTGTCCTATCAAGTCTGAACCATTTCGCCAGAAAAAGAACGTTAAAATTTTATGGTAAAAACGTTTTTGGATAGCTTAAACCTTCTACTTTTATAATCCAAAGAATGAAAGCAATAACATTTTATTTAACAAAAAATTTTGACAATATTCCGAAACGACTCAAAAAAACATGGTGCAAAAGTCTTGACCGGTACAAGAAAACACAAGAAAATTCAATACTTCGTAGGTCCTCCTTTTGCGACAATGACTGCCTTGATGCGTCTAGGCATCGAGTCGACCAAATCACGTAGAATTCCCAAAGAAAGTTGTCTCCAAACATTTCTGATAAAGAAATAAGCATCGACCTTTGAGTTGAACCGGCGTCCCTTGAGTTTGGCTTTTAAATGGGCCCAAAGATGCCTATAACGTTCAGATCCGGCGAATAGGGAGGTGCTTTGATCAATTCCACACGATGAGCAGTAAAAAGCCGGGCAGGCGAACTTTACCTCCATTTGCAAGCCGGACAACTCGACCCATCAGTAATTGGCTTTTGTGGCAAGGGGCGTTGTCTTGATATAAGACCCATCCTTGTGGCATGTTCGTGTTTGCAAATGGAAGTAAGTTGTTCTCTATGATTGACTTGTACCTTTGAGCGTCGAGATTTCCATCGATAAACACTAGCGGTCCCGATACACTTCGATTCATCGAGCCTAAAAAAGACAAATCGTAAGTAAAAATAGGCGAACACTTACCCCACAACATAATACTCCCACCACCGAATTTGACCGTTGGCTTAACGTATTTGAGCTTATAACGTTGTCCAATTGGTCTTCTGATTAAATGGTTACCGTCCGGGTAGTATAAATTAATTCTAGTCTCATCGGTAAAAATGACTCGGGCCCAGTCATCGGAAGTCCAACACTCGTAGTTCTTTGCAAAATATATCTCAGCTTCCGAGTTTTTGCAATGGTCAAGGGTCGTTTTGCTGGTCTTCTTGCATGCAATCCTGCTCGAACAAGCGACGGTTGATGCCCATCGGGAAATATCCTTGCCAGAAACAGCTTTCAACTTCTTGATCCCATAGCTCGACGTTAGATTAGGGTTTATTCGGTGCTCCCTGATGATCGAACGATCCTCATTTGGTGTTGTAATTGGTGATCGACCTCTTTTTGGGGCTCTATGAACGTTTCCTTTTGATTTGAATTGCGCCACGAGACGTCTCACTGTTTTTTCAGAACACTTGAACGTTTCCATCACATTCTTCACGCGAACGCCTTTTGTTCGATTCTCGACAATTTTCTCTTTGTCAGGCGTTGATAGATATCGTCCTGGCATCTAAAAAAAATAGAATTAGAACCAAAAAGTTTATGCAGAAAGACAAGAAATACCAAAAAAAATCAAGAAATAAAAAACCGGTCAAGACTTTTGCACCATGTTTTTTTGAGTCGTTTCGGAATATTGTCAAAATTTTTTGTTAAATAAAATGTTATTGCTTTCATTCTTTGGATTATAAAAGTAGAAGGTTTAAGCTATCCAAAAACGTTTTTACCATAAAATTTTAACGTTCTTTTTCTGGCGAAATGGTTCAGACTTGATAGGACAGTGCGACCGGTCAGGACTTTTGCACCACAGTGTATAAACAAATCAATTTTATTTTAACAAATTTTAGCAATCACTTTTTTTAGCTGCAGCCAGAATTGCCCTAACGGGAAATTCGGTCTCGATTGCGCTTTCAGCTGTCATTGTCAACACGGTACTTGTGATCCGATTGATGGGAAATGTCTCTGTGAGGATGGTTAGTGATATTAAATACTTTAATCGATAATTATTATATTAAACATTGAAAACTAACATTGAAATGTAATTCAGGTTGGCACGGAGCTTTCTGTCAATATTCTTGTCCGGCTGGGACCTCGGGAAAGGGATGTCAAAAATGTGATTGTGGCGGGAATTCACGAGGATGCAAAGCTGATGGGAAATGTCTATGCAAAGCTGGTGGGATTGATTTTTAGGGATTTCCAACTATAAATGTTTGCTTTAGGCAGCTGAATTTCTATTACTAATATACTTAACTGTAAAAAGTAATGGGTTTACATAGTATCCCGCCAAGTAAACCTTTATGAAAGTGCTTGTTGGTAGGATACCTTTTCTGATATCTTGTACTTGTAGTATTGCATAAAACTACAGTATTTCCGGGATTACACAAGCATTGAGTAAAGTTTCAAAGTTAGAAAGAAATTTATTTTCAGGCTACCAAGCTTCCGAATCCAACAATAAATGCGTGTTGAGCTGCCCAGTTGGACTTTTCGGATTGGATTGCCGATTGAAGAGCATGTGCAAAGTGGAAGGGAAACCAACGAGACGGGGAGCCGCCGCGGATCTTCTCACCGGAGATTGCAGTTGTTCTGGAGGCTATAAAGGTGAGAAAAACTTATCTGTCATATATAAAAGAACAGTGTCTATCTGTCCGTCTGTACGGGCTTTTTCTAATATATAATATAATCAATTTCTTCAGGAGAGGATTGTTCAACGAAATGCGATGCGGGTAAATGGGGTGATTCGTGTCAAAGAGACTGTGATTGTGGAGGGTATTTCTGTAACCAAGAGACCGGTCAATGCGCTTGTCCGCCGGGGAAGAGAGAAGCCAATTGTGAACAAGGTGGGTGTCATTGCCACTAGGTAAGTAACCACGGTTGATTACGGTGATTACGGTGATTACGGTTGATTCCTTAACCTTTCCAAGCACCAATCTTTACTTTTAGAATGCCCTCCCGGCCGTTTTGGTTTCGATTGTGAGCAAGAGTGCACAAATTGTCTCGTTGACGGGGAATCAGCTAACTGTGATGGAAAAACGGGGAAATGCTTCAAGTAAGAGAAATTTGATCCCAGAAAATCGTTTCCTTTTCAGATGCCCTCCAAGCAAATTCGGTCATTTCTGCGAAGAGAATTGCCCGAAAGATCGATACGGAGAGAATTGTGAAAAGGTTAAAATAGGGAGGGAAATGTGGGTGATTAAGAAGAGATTCCAGATTTGCGATTGTTCAAATGGTGATTGCGATCCGGTGAGTGGAGAATGTCATTGCAAAGCCGGATACAAGGGGGAACAATGTGAGAAACGTGAGTGATTGAAGAGATTTTGACTGAATAACTTTCCGTTAAAACGAAAGATATCCAGTTTTAGCATTAGCTACTGTCCCTTTTTTTAGATTGTGACGATGGTTGGTGGGGTTTCGAGTGCTCATCGAAGTGTCCCCGTTGTGTGAATGGTGGAGTGTGTGATGCGGAGAATGGACAATGCATTTGTAGACCGGGATGGCAAGGGAGAACCTGTGAAAGACGTACGTTTTGTATATTTTTGTATATTTATAGATTCAATAACGGATGTAATATCTACTTTATATCAATAGAAAAGGTAAAAATACAGGATAAGTAGTCTTAGAGGAAATATAAGCAAGACTTGGCTGCTAAAGCGCTGCTTTCAAACAAGCTTCCGGCTACTTGCCTTTGACTCCTCCTACCTTACAAGCCAAAGCTCTTTTTACCCTCAAAGTTTAAAGTTTCTCAAAATCACAAACTATTCAGTTATTGGACACCGAAAACTAATACTTTTTTTGATTTCAGAATGCCAACCGGGCTTCTGGGGACTCGACTGTGCGAAGAATTGCACGTGCGCGAGTGAATTCAAACAATGTCATCCAGAGACTGGGGAATGTGCTTGTCCGAATGGTAAATATCTTTATTTTTTATAGTTTTCGGTATTATTTTAATAAGCTAAATATCTAAATCTACTCGAAAAATTCGTAGGAATGAAAGGCGACGAGTGCGGCGAAATGTGCGAAGATGGGTACTTTGGGCCAGATTGTATTCAGAAGTGCAAATGTCAGGTTGGAGCTTAGAAAGGCATCCAATTTACAGTAATCTTAAATAGTAATTCTAGTAATTATGAATTATTATTTATTACAGTAATTATAAATTTTCTAGGGACTCAGTTCCTCATCCTGCAATCGTTTCACCGGATCCTGTCAGTGTCACGCCGGTTTCGAGGGCGAATTCTGTCATAATCGTTTGTTTTTTGAAAAGTTACAAGCAAAGCCTTGAGCTAATGATACTTAACTTGTTTAGTGAAGTATCTTTAGTTTGTCCTGAGGGTCGTTTTGGATTGAAATGTGCGAAAGAGTGTGGCAAATGTCCGGAGGGTGAACGATGCGATCCAGCTATTGGATGTTTGTTTTACGTTTGATTCCAAATCAAAAAATGCTTTTTTTAGGCTGTCATCCTGATCAGATAAGCTGTGGAAAAGCGAGTGAGTTGTTGCTCATTAAAGCACTTAAAGCGGCTTTAAAAAAAAACATATTTTGCTTTCGTAACCTTGCTGTTGAGGAAAGGATATTGAAAGATACACAGAGGCTGATAAAACTTGAGCTAAGGCTACAATAGTTTTCCAAAAAATTGACACATTTTGAAAAGAGCACATAAACATAGGATTTTCCCCATTTCAGTGGAAGACTATTTGGTGATGACAAAAGCGGGTCGCTCGTCTCGTTGGCCAGTCATTTTATTGATCATTGCTTCACTCATCGTCGGATCGATTCTCCTCTTTATTATCGTTCATTACAGAAGAAAATATATGAAAGAGAAAGTGCCCGACTTGCCAACCGTTGTGTAAGTGTTTCGATAAAACAACTAAAGATCAGTGACTTTTGAATGGTGTCTGAATTTCGCACAGTAATCTTAAAATCTTAAATCTTTTCAGTTATCACCCTGAGAATGAAAACAAAGACGCGAACGAGTTCAACAATCCACTTTACTCAAACGTCACCGTTATGGATCATCAAGAACAAATGTAAAAAAAAACAATTTTGAGGCTAACAAATGCTATTTAGGCGTGAGAATTTCCCGGAAGATGATATTGATCAATTAAAAGGGAGAAATATTCGAGGGAGAGCGACAAATGGTGAGAAAATTGATTGAAGGAGAAAAGTTGAAAGAGAAGAGTTGAAAGAGAAGAGTTGAAAGAGAAAGACCTTGTAATTGTTCTTATAGGCTTGAATCTAATATTTAATGAATAAGAATAAAAAGAAATTACAAACCCATTCATTCACCCTTTCAGACTACGCAACGCTGGACGAGTTTCAACGGGCCGGCAGCTCAGCTTCAGCCGGTCCACCTGGTGGTTCTTCTATGTACTCTCCATCATCATCCACTCAATGTAGGGACCCACTACTGCCGAATAAGAGCAAATCTTGATCAAATCTTTCCCACAAATCTCTAGTCCTCTTCAGTTTAAAAACGCTTTGCTTTGGTGGTGGGGGCACAGAAATTTATCCCTAAAGAATCTCATTCTTCTTGCTCAAAACGCCTAGAGATTAAACCTCTTTTCCCCATACGCACGTCTTAAATCAATTAATTGTATAGTGTTTTGCGTTGACCGTTTGTTTTTTTTGCTTGAATTTAGGATGAGAAAAATCCAGAGCTAATCAAAATGCAAATAAAATTAGAATTGAGCTGTTATTTTCTGATACTGATACTGATACTTATCTCTTTTCCATCAAAACCAAGCAAATCCCGATCAACCCAGTATTTCTTTTTTGTTTCATTTCATTTTGGTGAATGGTTTCGATGTTTGTTCTGATTGCAGATGCGAGCATCTCCTCGGATTCATCTTCTCGCACATAGAGAAGAGAATCCACAATTCTTTGTTGATTGTTCCGGGAATTGACTGAGATGTCTCTATCCATTGCATTTCCATTTCTCATCGGTGAGCACATCACATTTGAATATCCCATATTCACAGCTAACTCTGTTTTGGGTCTTTTTCAGTTTAATTTCTGTTGCCTGATGCACGTTTTGGGCTAAACTGTGTCGTTGATTAAAGCGTTTTCTAAAAGATGCGCTTACAAAAAGCTACCGTATCAAGTCTCATTTTAGACAATTCAGTGATCATCCAGAGATTGATGGCAGATTCATTTGTCATTCTAAAACTAAAACAGCAAGTTTACGGTAGCTTTTCGAAGCTTATTCTTTTAGAAAACGATTTAATTAAAGAGCAGTTTATCTTAAACTTTAAAATGGGATTTGAGTGGATGTGTTCACTGAAAAATTTTCGTTTTATTGCATGCCAAAGAGTTGAGATCTGATCGAAAAGCAGTCAGATTGGGGGTGGGACAAATGCGACCTTTTTTTTGCGCACCTGGACATTTGCGCACCTTTTTTTTTGCTGGAAAAGGCCTTAGGAAAGGTCGTAGAGCTTCAAAAATATTTCCATATAAGGGAATCGTATGCGTAGATTCCGAATTTCGACAAATCAGACCTCGCTGACACGTCAAATTTGGGCTAAAAGGCAAAAACTGCGGAAAAGCGTTAAGTTGCGTAGTTTTTGCCTTTTAGCCCAAGTTTGACGTGTCAGCGAGGTCTGATTTGTCGAAATTCGGAATCTACGCATACGATTCCCTTCTCTGAAATCATTTTTGAAGCTCTACGACCTTTCCTAAGGCCTTTTCCAGCAAAAAAGGTGCGCAAATGTCCAGGTGCGCAAAAAAAAGGTAGCATTTGTCCCACCCCCGTCAGATTCAAAAGCGCGATTGAATCTCATGTCTTGTCCTGATATCAAAAGAAACAGGATTGTTATTGGTAAAAACTTATTTTCTAACTGCTAACAGTCGCTGTTTCCAGGTCTAAACTAACAATGAATCTCAAAAATACAATAAGCAAATAAACAATAAGCAAACTAACCAAAAAAACCCCTTCATGCTCAATAAATTGATTATTTTAAAAGTTAAACAAAACCGCATGATTCGCTTTTTTTCGTTTTTCGTTAAACAAGGTCAAATGGCAATTTATATTTTTGCAAGAAAAGTATTGTGATTTGTTTTTTCTCTCTTAAACTCCAATTGCATTTGCCTTGAGATTGTGTGTGCGGGTGACAATAAAGGTACTACCGGTTTTGGTTCTTCCGATAAAATTAGCATGAAAATGTTTTACACATCAAATCCCAATTTTTAGATTCAAGCACGGGTACTTGGGATGCGAAGAAACAAAACGAAGCAAACCAAAGTAAAACAAACGAGAATTTTTATTCATAGAAATTGAACATTTTATTGCTCAACTTTTTCTTTGTCAATTGAAGTTTATTGCTGAATTTTTGGCAAAATCCAGTTCTCTCTTTGCTTTTTTTAGCATCATCAAAACATTCCAGTCCCAGATTAAAATTTTCGGGTTGAATTTTTGAATTGATTACACTGTTACTTCCCCATTTCTTTGTGAAATTCTTTCAGCTACCAGTGATTTGCATAATTTCAGTCTACAATACGTGTGCCTCGATCATTTTTTCACAACGATTAAAGAACTTATTCCTTGTATTCAAAATTCAACAAAAAGTAATAACAATACATTTCAACACAACAAAATTAACAACTAGGTCAAAAATCTTATCACCTCTTTATTTTGAAACGATCCAAAACGTGTTTCGGGCCGTCATCTTCACGTGCTCTTTTCGCATCACCACTTCCGAAGAACTAAAAAAAAATCATTCGGGTTGAGTAAAAATGTATCTAGCAATAAGCATAATTTTTCGAAAAAGTCCAAAATGCACCTCTTTTTCTGCAGCTTTAACCTCCTCATTGCGTTCCGTTCTACGAAGTTGGGTAACAATCTCCTTGCGACGAGCCTAAAAATGATTTAGAACTTGCATGATGTTCATCTAAACCTTGTTGAGCGCTGATCCTTTTCCTTTCATTTTGTGCCTTGGTGTGAATTTGATTGCCGGCTTGTTCACATGTAGGAGCTAAAAAAAGTGGAATAAAACTAAACAACCGAAAATTGATACCGATTTCTTGCGTTCCTCTTCAGCCTTTTCAAGTGACTCCGTGTCAACACGCGCAATCTCATCCGGATCCAAACAAATCATGTCATGAGGAATCTAAAATGAATTAGACATGACAATGAAGTTGAATCCTGCCTTTTCCAAAAGTTGTTTCACTTCTCGTTCTTTGCGCTGTTTCTTTGTTTCATACGGATTGGCTCGAATCAAATCAACGTTCGCTTCTCCAGAGCCTACACACACAAATGTATAATTTTAAATGCTAATTCACCTGGAATGATCAAAGATGTAAAGCCGTTTGCATGTCCAACTCCTAGCACATCTTCAAACGGAACAAATTTCAGATCAGAAATCACACCAGAGCATCTAGATGTTGGATTATTAAAAAGACAAGCAAAAAAAAGACATTACCTGTGCACAAGATATGGCTCACTACAGACACCCAAATGCATATCTTTGAAAGTCTGAAAATTAGAATTGAAAAGGGTAAAAAAAAAAGTAGAAATATTAATGTAAGTACAAAAAATAACCTGAACAGTGTTTCCAACAGCACACGCAATCACTTTTTGATCGCTGATGGCAACCCGTCCCAAAAGAGGTGAAATCGTGTAGGCGTGCAGTTGTCGATACATACGAACATCCCATATCCTGAAAATACACATGACATCCCAAAAGCTTTCGGACAAAGAATGATACTTTAGCAAATTTTGTCAATTTATAAAAGTGAACCTGCATTTCCGATCGAGTCCAGTGGTCGCCATGTAAGTACCAGATTGATCGACGGCAATTCCCTTCAAGACACCCGTATGAGCCAACATTCGTACCAGAGGTTCTTTTGATGAGGGAGACCAAAGAGAAACAGTTCCTAAATTTGTGTTTTAACAATTTTATACAGAAGTTCAACAAACCATCACTGTGCCCTGTGTGAATAATAGCGTTAGCTGGATTTTGACACATGACATCGAGAGCGCCTAAAATAGAAGATAAAAAATTGTCATCCGTTGCAAAAAAAACCTTGTTTAGTAGGAAATTCCACAACAATTTGTCCAATTGATACATCTAGATAATGTAGCCAAGAGTTTCTACCCTAAATCATGTACTAGCAAATAAGAACAAAAAAAAATTACTTACACTTCCAACAAGTAAAAAATGTTTGGGCAAGAATTCCAATTGCAGCACTTGATTGAAATTCTTCAAGCAATGCAGCTCGGTTCCAACGTTGTCGTAAATATATAAGTAGTTCTTCTGGCTGACAGCAAACATGTTTTCGGTGTGCAAAAATCTGAATCACAAGATTTTACGATAACGCTAGAGATTAAACTTACTTAACGTCTCTCACCGCTTCCATAACATTATTTTCTGTGTGTAATTTCTTTGTCTGCCAATCGAATGCAGCAATATGACCACGCTTACCACCGAGAAGCTTAACAAAAGGATTATAAATGAGAAAACAGCAAATCTCGAACCAAATGTCGACCATTGTCTGTGTAATCGATGTGATAAGGACCAAATTGTTCGAGATGTAGATCGAAGTGCTAAAATAACCATTAAAAATTTAGGCAAAATTCAAGTTTATGGGATTTTCTCAAAACAGTATTTTTCTTTGACTGAAAGCCTTTCGACACTGAGTTTAACCCAAGCAACAAAAAAAATTCGTAAAAGGTTTTTCGCTGAGTTTCGGGCATTTTTAAAAAGAAATTTAAAAGAAAATAAGAAATCCGGTGGAGTGCCATCGATAGCCATATTTTCGATCCAATTCTTGACGCAATACCATCATTTCGTCACACTGTGTACATTGATATTCTTGAACACCCAAAATCAAGCCATGAATCCGAAGTTCGTCTAGCCATTGATTTGTGAAAAACCAGTCTTGAATGTCGGTTAATCGAAGAAAATCGGACATCTTTTGGAAGCTTGGAAGAAAATAAATATCCGCTTTTTAAAAATGTACATTTTTGAAATGTGGTAGTAATCAGCACCACCAAAATACTAAGCCTAAGAGAGTACCATAAACTTCACATCTATGCAGTTAAGTATATGGGATTTTAAAATATGCCCGAAACTCAGCGAAAAACCTTTTCCGACTTTTTTTCTTGGTTACTTGGATTAAACTCAGTGTCGAAAGGCTTTCAGTCAAAGAAAAACACTGTTTTGAGAAAATTTCATAAACTTGAATTTAGCCAAAATTTACACTAACTTTAAGAATTAGGTTCAAAGTATCATAAGACTAAATGATTGACCAACCTTTGTCGCACTTGCCAAATCCACCGACTCAACAATTTCTCGTTGTGTCACATTGCGGGTGAGGTTGCCGTTTTCCGTTTCCAGAAATCCACTTGTTTCTTCGTTTAAAATTTCGGCCCTCGCTGTCGCTGTCACTCGATCTATAATTTACAAACAATGAATCCAACGAAAAAATGCTAAAATCACCTTCATATTTCCGCTTTGTTTTCTCAGCTCGTTTCTTGGCCAATTGTGTACGCATCTGTTCCGGATCGAAGTCTTTAATTCCTGCATCGTGGCGTTTCACAGCGGCATCGCTAATCGGCAACTCTTTCGGGTAACGATCACCCTCCCTAAAATAAGATATTGTTAAATTATAATAAAATCAAAGACTTACTCTTTTTTCTTGTGCTTGCTTTTGAATGGAAAAGTTTGAATCGGTTTCTGTTCGGTCTTCAAGTGTTTCCTCTCCCCCAATGACATCACACTTTTCACATCGCCCGCATCTTCGGCTTTAAACGATATCACTTCAGTCTTCATCTAAACAAAAAAAATTGATTTAATAGAAATCAAGCAAAAATGGGTAAAATGAATTAAAATGGAAAAGAACATGCAAGGAAAAGAAGAAAAGCTAATGGGAAAGTGCGTCAATAGGATATGAACGGAGCAATGGGTAGGCAATGAACAGACGATATGGGGAGTGGGACAAATGCGACCTTTTTTTTGCGCACCCGGACATTTGCGCACCTTTTTTTCCGCACTTAGCCCATTAGCGCACCTTTTTTCGCGTTTTAAAAAAGCTAATATTAACCAATTTCTATTCCAAATGTTGTTTTTCTAGGTAATTTGAGGGTGTCGAATCTAAAATTTTGACATAACAGAGCGTGTGGAACCAATTTGAAAGACCTAGATCAAATTACAGAAAATTGTCGATTTTTCTCTTTGTATAACTCCATCCCTTCGCTTCCACAAGCTCTGATATGTCAAAATTTCGATTCTACGCTCTCAAATTACCTAGAAAAACAACTTTTGGAATAGAAATTGGTTAATATTAGCTTTTTAGAGCTTTTTTAAAACGCGAAAAAAGGTGCGCTAATGGGCTAAGTGCGGAAAAAAAGGTGCGCAAATGTCCGGGTGCGCAAAAAAACATTTGTCGCATTTGTCCCACTCCCACGATATGCCTTCGAAGTTTCCCAAAAGCTCTAGCGGATATCTTTTAAGTTCATGCAAATTCAAACTAAATAAAAATTAAATTAATTAATCAATTAGAAACTTTAGAAAACTGGCGGCAAATTAGGCAATTTTTTTCAGCTCTTTCCAAAGCACATCTATCCTTTAGAAAACTTTTTATCCAAGGGAACACATTTGATACCTAGATATGTGCTTTGTTAAGTGCATTGTTCCCTTTTTCCATGTTCAGGTCATCGTTCACCCCTAAACCCCTCTCCAAAATAATCTCATGGTCTGTCGGAGAGGAGATCACGAGTATTTCCGAATTTTTTCATCTTAGGAGAATGACTGATCAATGGAGTGGGCAGTATTTTATCTCCACTGGAAGTCATTCCTTAAATGGGGAAAATGAAGAGACCGAGACTGTACGAGCGTTGAAAAGACTGGAATTCAACGAGAGATTGTCAAGATCGGAGTTCAAACCACTAAAATTTCCCCTAACTCTCTCGATTTTCATCCATATTTCCTTGTCTCTCTTTTTTTTGTTTTCCGTACTTCAAAGTTTCCAATCGTTTATTTGATTTTTCTCAAATATTCGTCGATCAGAGACGGTAATGTGGTCGTTAATAGACTTGTCTCTCTATTCATCCATTTACATCAGAGACACACACACACTTGTGTCGACAAATAGTTTCTCATGTGACCGCCGATTTTCAGGAGAACCTTTTGAGATCATCGACAAGTTTTTTTTAAATCAACACTTATACTTGTTTGCTATGACTTCCATTGGGGATTTTGTTTGGTTTACTCAGGAATTACTGTTGAACTCAGGAATTACTGCCAGTTAACTAGAATAAGACAATAATTACTGAATAACTTGTGTTCCCAAGCTTTAATCACGAGTTTTCTTCAAGAGTACAACTCCAAAAACAAGTCTATCCAAGTCTATCCAAGTCTATCACCGCTTCTCTCCCTCTTCTTGCAACTTTTTGCAGCCATTTTCCATATTTTGTACTTGTCGTTTTCCTTCGCAAATTTCCCATGGAAATCTTTATTCTCTTACCTAATCTTTTTCTCAAAAATTCGTCTTATTCTTTAATCTTTCCCAGAATTTTTCCATAAGACACGAAAAGTCTGCAAAAAGAGGAAATCCTTTTTTTTCCCTCTTCCAATTATTCCCACCTGTGTATTTTCTCCTTTTCTTTTCCTTTTTTTTCCACCTAATATGGGCCCCTCTCATTTGTGATCAATATGTCACTTTGGGAACCAAAAAGAAAAATTCTTTCTTTTTTTCTTTCTTTCCTCATACGAAAGAATGTTCTTTTCCAAGAAATCCCCTCAAGCAATTAATGCGTTTTTTTTGTGAGGAACTTTTTGATCGCAAAAATTTTGAATAAAAGATTTCTGGGAAATTATCTCCAACAGACTAATTGGGCGGAAAACTTGGCTGATAAGAAACATTAATAGTTTCAATTGCCCAACGGTATACAAAGGCTTTTTATTTAAATTTGATTCAACTTCTTTTATTACTCATAGACAATTTTTATCCCCTTCTTCCTTTTGCCAGCTTTTTGTTTGAGAGTAGTGGAAAGTTTTGTCTTTGTCAGTGGAAAGTTGAGACTTCAGAAGTTGATCGGATACTTGAAAGATGAATAATAAAATATTCACTTTTCCTAATAGAACCAGCTGATGCCGGTTGTCCCATGGAGAGCAAGTCAGAAACGCAAATGAGCCTCTGTTCGCCTGACTCTTCCTTCACAATGAGACGGTTGCTCTTGTCCACCTCTACTCTTTTATCTATTCTCTTTTCGGCTTTTTGGCTTCTTTAGAAAGTTGGTTCAATTCCTGATTGTTCTGGTCGATTAGAGTGTGTTCTTCGTGATTAAATAATTGAATAAATTTACGTAAACAAATTTTTAATCGATTCAAGCTCAATTAATCAAGTTTTGTCTCAATTAATGCGTCAATTAAACAAATTAAATGAGCTGAATATCTTTTAGACGTGTTAATTGCATTATATAATGAGCGCGTTAACGTTTTTTTCACAAATTTTTCCGGGGTAGGCTAATTTCCGCAATTTTTTTTTGCGCAACTCGCCATAACTTTTTTCTAAGTGGGCCAATCTTTATGATTTTGGTTTCATTTTGTTGCACTTATTGAGATCTACAAAATGAAACCTAAATCATAAAGATTGGCTCACTTAGAAGAAAGTAATGGCGAGTTGCGCAAAAAAAAGCCTACCCCGTTTTTTCTCAACGTTTTTACTATTAGTTCATTTACTCTATCCTTCTTTATTTTACTCTTTTTAATTGAATAACTTTCATTTTAGATTTAGTCCAAAAATAGCTGTGATTTAAACTGCGATTATTTTCTTTTAAATAAGATTTACCTACCGTAAATACTGTAATAGTACCCCAACCCCCCGTACAGTCGCGTAGTCGCAAAAGTTTTTTAATATTTCATTTTTTACAAAGCACCCGTACTTTCAAAAAATGCGTCTTTGGTATCAAAAAATAGCCCTGAATTTCAGCTATTTTTTGATACCTAAGCGCGCATTGTAGCATAAGCCAGTGTCGAGAAAAACGCGTCCAAAGCTAGACTACGCAATGCTCCGCACCGTCATTATGGGGGTGCGGTACTATTACAGTATTTACGGTAAGTGATTATACTGACTGTAAATAGTTTATCTCAAGGATTTTCTCGGATATAAATCTAGATCGGAAAAAATATTTAGCAAGAATGTTAGAAAAGATGTGAATACTTCGCAATACTGAGAAAAAAACCCTACAAATAATAAATGAAAGTTTAAATTTGCATATAAATAAATTTACATAATTACGGTAGCCTTTTTGAAATGCACACTTTAGAAAGCGCATTAATCACGAGGAACACAATCTAGTTTTGATCCTGATTTCACTTTTAGACATTCTGATTTAATAGTTCAACCTTAGACAACCAGAAATAAAAATATGATTATTTTTGGCTAGTTTTCATTGGTCAGCAGTTTGATCCTAACCTCCTAACCTGATCAACAGTTTGATCCTAAGCTAGCTTTGTGAAACAATTCTGTTTCAATAATCATCATCACTCCCCAATAACCAGAATATTCTGTCGAGCCAGTCAAGCCAGTCAAGTCAAGTTAAAGTTAAAGTGAAAGTCAAGCCAAAGGCAGAGAACTATTCTGAAAGATTCGGCTTTAAACAACAATTTTGGGAGCTTTAAAATCCGTTTCATCGCAAGATCTAGCTAAACACTATCCACTACAACTCATTCAACTTTCTACCTGTCCACTCATGCACTCATTGATATTTCCTCTCTTTTTTCCCCTTCCAAACTCACCTCGTGGTTCTCTTTCCCCTTCTTCTTCTTCTTTTATTTGTCGAAAGTCTGTTCTCCTTTTTCCTCTCATTGGTTGCCATGAATCGATTCTCAGTTTTCATTTTTCACTGAAAATGATCACTTTTCGCTCTGAACTCCAAAATTTCCCTCTTTTCCATTCAATCAACTGATAAGACGGAACTTGTTTAACCGTTTAACCGATTCTTTCCCATTTTCAAGTTACTTAATCTCCTTTTCAGCTTTTTCTAATCAGAATTTTTCGACAAAAAATGTCCTATTTTGGTGATCGAATTCTTTTCATTTCATCAATCACTTTCTTTCGTTTCATTTTTTTCGGGGAAAGGGGAGACCTGTTCTTGAAAGCGGGCAAGTATTCACCTTTTTTTTTTGCGCTCGTTGATATTGATTTAATTATTCGTCAGTCGAAGAACTCTAGTTAGGTAAGTTACAATATAATTGAATACTTTAATTACTCAAGCCTTACTCAAGCATTTAAACAAACATTTTATTTCAATTTAAAATAAGTTGAGATTAAAGCAGGCAAGTCTTGTTGGCAAGACGCTCTTGTTCAATTTATAATTACTTTCAAAGTGTACTTTGTGCTAAAAAAAGGAAATATAGTCTTTTTGGATCATTCGTTCCTTCAATTCATGCAGAAATACGATGGCTGTAGTGCTCCAGGACGGGTGTGTTTGCTCAGCAAGCACAAAGTACACCAAAAACTTTGGACTAAAGGTAGAGATCAAAATAGCTACAAATAGAGATCAAATAGCTACAAATAGCTTGAATTCGATTTGTCTTACGGTACTGATATTTTAAGCGAAAACTCTTGTAGCGCTAAGTGAATCCAGGCTGTAGTCAAGGCCAAAACATTGTTATTTTCAGAATAACATTTCTCTAATGAAACTTTCCGTGAACTCAAATGTCTCACCTATTTCTTCATTATCAAAACATCTACGTAACTCTTGAAGATTTTCCTTTCAACAAGGGTTTCCCCATTGCATCTTGCTGCTTTCCCTGCTTTCCTTCCC